GTTAGAAAGTCGTGGTTCATGCTGTCCCGATAACGGAACACATCTTCTTTCATTTCAGCAGTATTTGTCAGATTATTTTATTGACACTTTCCTTCATAAGCCCCCAAACATTTTCTATTGGATTTAGGTCAGGGCTGTAGCTTGGCCAATCTAATAATGTCATATTTTGGGTCCAAAACCAGGCCTGAGAATGCTTTGAACGATGTTTTGGGCCGTTGTCTTGCTGGACAATTTCCATACTTGAGCAGATGGAAGTAAATGTCCCTCGAGAATATCTGTGTACCGCTCACTGTTCATATTCCCTTCAAATACACACAGGGGCGTTGCCCCCAACACAGATATGCCACCCAACACGTGAAATTTTGCACTGTACTTTGGGCACTGATACAAAAGTTTTTCAGTTTGTTTGGTCCAGAATTTTAGTGTATTAGGAAACAGCCACACAGAACTTTCATCTGAGAGTACCACATTGTCCCAGTTAAAATTTCTATACTCTAAGCACCAGTTCAACCTTCGCTCCTTTTGTTCAGATTTCATGATCGGTGATGGAATTCCTCGACTTTTCTCCCAACCTATTGCAAGCAGCTCAGTTCTAATTGTCTCCTTACAGACAGCCACAGTTCCTCTATCAATCATATCCAGTCTTAAGTTTTCTAAACTCCTTCGTTTGTTTTTAGAAACAAGAATACCAAGCCGCCTCCTGTCACCGACTGTCAATTTTCTGGGCCTACCTGCGCCTCTCTTGTGCTCAATGCCATCTCCACTTTCAATATTTTTCAAAACACGATAAACAGTGGACAAAGGGATGCCTGTTCTACTTGAAATCACTTTAGCTGATCTGATGTCCTTATTATGATACTCTAAAATCAACCTCCTCTTCTCTAAATCATCCATACTGTGGATCACTGAAAATGACGTCTGCTAGCAAGTAAACAAAGGGGGAAAACTCTTGACAAACTAATGAAATAGGATTAACTGAGTTGTCTCTCTTGAATGAAACCAAGCACTTGATAGCTGGTCAGTGTTTTTTATGCTAGATATCCACTTAAACATATCCCTAAAATTCTCAATAATTTCTGGTCATACTATATTCAACTTGAGAAGCCTTTTACAGAAGTTTATGTACATAGTTTCAATAATTTTACAATTAATGATGCCTCAAATCTCTCTACCGTAACGGAGTATTTGTGCAATCATAGCATCAAATACTTTTATTATATCAATACTGAAATCTTTCCAAATTTATGGTGATAAGGATATAATGACATGCAAGCTTTGTTTGCGTGTCCGTTAAAACAGCTTTGAGCCTTAGACCATGAGAGTGTAGGAGCAATTTTTTTACCTTTATGACACCACTTTTCATAAGCGCAGAGTCGACCACCTTTACGAAATACCAATATTTTTTGTCTTACACAGATTTAGTCTCATACCAGTACTAACACCAAAATCTTCAAGTACATTAATTGTCCTATCTGACTAAATTACCAGATACTCTAGATACAGTGTACATCAACTACACATCAAAGAGCTGAAACACTGGGGTAGTCGGAGGAGACGAAGATACCATTTACACCATTTATATCCAACATATTAAACAACTGTTTTATAAAATGGTAATTATTAGTGGGTTTAAAGTGCAACCCCGACGGGTGTCAATATCACGCACCCAATGTAATCAGTCAATCCATTGCCTGTTCTTACACAAGAGGATAGATAAGAATTAATGCCAATATTTATACACTTCTGGAATAGAACTTTATCATTGACAAAATCGATAAAAAAACCTAAATAAAATCTTCCCCTTTTTTCAGATAAATATTTTTGGATCATGGCCTGCAAATCTGGCCAACAGTTGAATAATTTGGCATAAAACCGGCTTGCATTTCAGATAACATGTTCTTTCTAAATAGAAGAATGATGGCCTTGAGTGGATCCTGACACCTGATGTCAGGGTTCAGGAATTGTTGACTTGTCCGTAATTGTAATCGGCCTCGCTGGTTAGATCCGGGGCTGAGGTGAGTACAACACATGCCGTTGGTGAAGTGTGCGTGGTTGATAGAGGGCAGGTGACAGGAGGTGTAAAATCTTGTGCCATCTGTCCCATGGGACTGATAGGAAGTCCTGGTCTGTTTGGAACAGGCCTCCTATTAACTGGAGTCGAAGTGATGGAGTTAACTCTGACTTCGCCTCGTTGATTATCCAAAATTACACTGACTAGCATTCTACATTCCCTTTCTGTTTCTCTCAGAGAGCTATTCCCCTAACTCAAATTGTATTCAAATGTTTGTGTGCTCCCAATTGTACCCAAGGCAACGATGGCGTTTAAGTTAAACAGAACAAAAGACTTATATTCATGGCAGACCAATCCAATGGAGTAAACATGGCTGAGCGAAGAATTTCTTTCGGACCCACAGCACATTGTTTGAGTTGGATAACTCCATACGTCAGGTTGAATAAAAATGTGCAGTGTTCATCATCATGGCTTTTAGTTCAGTAAATGATGTTAAATGGGTACTTTTAAAATTTAAGGTTGTACAATACAATAATCGTTATCATGCAGAAGCATTTTTTCAACGATGTGATCAGAAGTGTGCAAGAGTTTGGTAAACATTATCAGTAGATGGACTTTTGATCACAGACTATCAAGTTTATTACAACGTATTCAGATTGCACTGGCACGACCTCTTGTATGTTTTGCGAGGGAATAATCTAGACATGGTAATGGATTACACATGGACAGTAGGTGCGTCCCTAGCAATGTAGGAAGCAAACATGATTGAAACAATGGCTTCATTGCCTTAACCCAGGGCTACTTTCTCAGATAACAGTTGCAATGACAGTATTGCACACATTACAGCATCAGGTCGGACATACAGAACATGCTATCGTATTTTATACTGTTGGAATTGTACTGCCACTATATTGTGGTCTGCCACTGGAATTATTTTGTAATCAGAACAACATTATTCTTGTTGGACCTGAGGCAGCCAGTTCATGCATGTTCTGTTTGGTATCCTATGTTGTCACCCACTCAGATAAACTCCCATCTTCCCGAGGCAAGAGAGTTAACTGACTTTAAAAGTCCAGTTTCCACCCTTGCCGAACCAGGCTGGACTTCCTTGGCTCGATCGTAGTGCCACCAGTGGCTATTACGAGTTATGTCCTTTCGATGCCTCTCCTATTGACCAATCAGATTCAACCTCTCGTATCACTTGCATTTGCTTCAAACAAAACGGTGGCGCCCAGTCAAGACGATCTGATCGATAATCAAGATCTATATTGTGATAAAACGAGTCTTACATCGCGAAGTGCATCGAATCACGTGAGCACCTTGATTAAAAACATGAAAAGATTTAGAAAATATCTGTTGACAACGAGTTAGTGGTGCACATGCTTTGCAAATTCTGCAGTCGACCGAAATCTGCATGACACTTTACGAACCAGATTTCGATTTCGGTGCGCGATTTTGATTGGACTATGCATAGACTCATTAGTCCAGGCAAAGTGAACTGGACTTTGATAGTCAGTTAACTCACTTGCCTCTGGAATATTATAAACTCCATTCAGAACAGCCATTGTAACTCCCCAATCTCATTAAAATCAGATCTTAGTTTTCGCTACCTCTAAACAAAGATCTGAGGACATCCCATTACGGGTCATGTCAGAACAACCTTTCGCGAATGTTGATGGACTAATGAAATGACTGACAAGAAATCGACATTGGCCAATTAGAAGGCAGCTTTCTCGAGTTTTACGACACTAGTTTCAAACTGGCGACTACGCTTCGAAACATATTTTGACGTATTCTCGATTAAAGATTTTAAAACTGATAAGAACATTCTGGAATGGCTTATAGATGGCACAGATTGTATGGATATAATTATAAAACCTGTAACTGTCGTTCTGAATACCTTGTGTTAAATATATCGTGGTTGCATGATTAGAAAACACATTCCGACTGTCACATTCATGATCCGGTAAGCGATGCTCTGGTTGGTTGGATGAAAGGTCGTTCTGACGTGACCTCTAATGGGATGTCCTCAGATCTTTGTTTAGCGATAGTGAGAACTAAGATCTGATTTTAATGAGATTGTGTAACCTCCCAATTCCCTCTTTAGTCTTCTGCTTCAGCCTAGGCATTCCTATGATGGCCATTGCCAAAGAGAACAAGACCAGACACAGGTGGTTGTGCATATTTTAATGAAAAAGATGTCAACAATTGTATATATGTCACATATGAACAGATGATGGAGGGAAAATTGTTATCAATATCTACAAACATACAAAACTTGAAAATCAGTTGGACTTTTGTTACATCATTACAACTATATCACTTCACAATTTGGCCAAGCGCTAGCATTACACATCGACTCCATCCAAAACATAATTGAGAGAAAAACATTTGTTTTTTGTCCACCCATTCTTTTTCAGGCATAATTGAATAAGATAAATACACAGAATTTATAGAATTTAATGGAATGTGTAAACTATAAAATAACAATACATGGTTTTAGTAGTGTATGACTAGAGCCCACAGGGACATCAGGGCACCAGTGTATCCTGCAAATGTACTCATCTTGAGAGTCAAACTTGCAGCCTGTGGTAGGCTAACACTGTCACCACAGGGCTATCATAGCAAGGGAGGAGGCTGACACTACAAAGTTCTTCCTTGATCCCAGTGAAGGGATTTTTTAACTGAAGATTTTCAATTTGGCAACAGGAAAATAGTACATACCGTTTTCGACGTAAAAAGCGCTCCGCTCTAATAAGCGCCCACGGAGATATTTGCTGATATATTGGCAAGTGAACAAGCCCAATTAGCATCCCTACCGATTGACCAATGTACGCACACGCGTGTTGTTATATGCACCCTTATTTAAGGGCAATTAAATTCTGGAAAAATATATCTTTCGTACACAAACATTTCAGGCTGTCAGCATAAACCATGAAATTTATCTTTCAACTATGTTTTTTTTCCACCAAAATAATATTCTAATAAGAGCTCCCAATTTTGAGAGCGCCCTGAGCACCTATTACGTCGAATACGGTACTTGGTATTTACGAGTGAGTGACTGGCAAATAATTCTGAGTCAGCAACTTTATAGCTTCATCACTACAGCTTGTCAAGCCTACCAGAGTGGTTGAGTAGTTGGGTCCTTAGCAGCATTAATCAGTATTCCAGTAACATGGCAGGGGAGACCAGAAACCAGCTTCACACACTGTACCAGTACAGTGGGGAATCAAACCTGGCCCTCCGCAGTGATGAGCCTTAACCACAAGGCTACCCCAATACCAGGCAAATCAGGGATTGAAAGTGTGATTCACAACCAGCTTATTATCCTCCCAACAATCTGCACCCAATTTGGCCATCTAATCCTCATTGCCATTGCCTCTTAAACCAGACATGATATTCATGTATCAGGGTGAAAGGGGCTTTAGAAATACTCGATTGCATAAACACTGCCGGCAAATTTACTGAGCTCAGACCAGAAACACCATAGTCGATGTGGGCAACAATCCAAGGCGTCAGGATACAATTCCATATTATTAGCAGCAGTGAAGAAATAGTCTTTTGTGCTGCTTTTGATCACGCTTGGTAGCCATTGTGACCAACTAATACCCATTTTAGTCACTCGAGGCATCACTTATTGGAGGCCCCGTCCTGCAAACACCAGTCTCGGGTTTCAAGAAGTCGTATCACAAGGTTGTTTGGTCATACATGTGTCTTCAATAAATACTTTGTGGTATGGAAATGTTTCACTGGTGTATTCGAGGCTGGAAGAGATGCCGTTCTTCATTAGTCAACATCCTGGCGTTGAACTTCCTCGGCCGGGATCTCGGTCTGGACTGGTTTCAGCATGGATTCTGTACTCTGCATACTGCAACAGATTGTAGAGTGTGTTTAGGTGAGTAAGTAGATGTTCTTAACACACTAATCAACAAAATATTCTTACCATATCCCTGTAACCTGCAATTGTGACACATAAACAACCAAAGCATTGAGACTGACCATCCAATCTTGTTTAGTATTAGGTACATGGGACCTATTCCTCTCCGGAATGTTACCAGCAGAACCACTAACCACTGTTTTAGTGTTTACCCGTGGATCCCTATTCCCACATTACAATATGATTAATATAACATATGTTACATTTGGGATAACACTTTCTTAGTAAAGTACAGATTCTCGTACTTTTTTGGGTTGAGTCCCATCCGGGATTCGAACCCACACTTGCCAGAGTGAGGCACCTAATCGCCAGCACACAAAGTCAGCGATCTAACCCACTCAGCCACCGAGGCTTCCACAAAAATGAAAGTCCGACAACTGGTAGTCTAGATCGCTGACTTTGTGTGCTGGCAATCCCGGACAGGACTCAACCCCAAAAAGTACGAGAATCTGTACTTTACTAAGAAAGTGTTATCCCAAATATAACATATGTTACATTTGACCACTTTCTAAATGGCATTGTGTATTCAATATGATTAATAGTCAGCCAAAACACCAACAGCCTCCCTGAGTTGGGTTTAATAACACTTTGAACAGTATATTAGTCACCCTACAACATAATGGAGGTGGGAGAAAGTCAACAGTGATGGTCAGTAGTGGTGGGACGATACACCAATACATTGGTGGATCACGATTTTTTACTCCTCGATACAAGTATCGATCACAGTCACACACTAAGTAAAAAATATTGATTCTGACCTTAAATGTTTGTGTAGCGGCCATAAAATTTCTGAGTCCTATGATGGGATTCGAACCACGGACCTGATCAGAGGTCGGACGCCTTGTCCACATGACCAAAGAGCTGACAAGGTAAGGATGTCATCTGTGGGATGACTCCATGCCCTGCTACATACTCCCCCGTCAACAGAAGGCACCTCCGGGGCCACATAGTAGGGTACTGAGGCTTATTTTGCTCAAATTTAATATGAACGTGCTCAGCCCAACGTTGGGTGCCAATGTAGCGGCCATAAAATTTCCGAGTCCCGTGATGGGATTCGAACCACGGACCTTCTGATCCGAGGTTGGACGCCTTGTCCACGTGACCAAAGAGGTTAACCCTGTCAGCAAGCTGACAAGGTAAGGATGTCATCTGTGGGATGACTCCACGCCCCCTGCTACATTTGCTTTAATAACTGTTCCACTAAACACAAAACAGTAGTGCAAGTTAATAGTGAAAACATAAATATTTTCATTTGTTGTGCCATACTTCACACTGCCAACTGTAAATCATCAGTGTGCCAGGTATTTGGCCATCCTCTATTAAAAAGATGGCTTTTGCACCACAGATAAGAGCACATGCAAGTGTCATGATACATATTGGATCGTGAGTAAGGTATCCTGATACATATCATATCGCACAGGTGGTATATATCGTCCCAGCCCTAATGGTTACTCAGGTACACCATGGGCATTGGGCCAATCAGGTCGTCTGGGACTGGAATTCCAAACTTCAGATCCCATCAGGTAAAGATGACAATCTGCACAGAAAACTGGAGCATCTTTTCACAATAAAGAGTAACAGAGATTTTGAATATTTTGACAAAAGACTTGCTCTAAACTCACATGCCAATAGAATAAACAGGTAATGACTACGAAGTAATGGGTACTCACAGGTGTTCAATCCTCTGTGCCTGGTTGTGTGTGGGCGTGTCAACGTACTTAAGGCCAACGCCCCCCATGCCTTTAGTTGGGGTGCTGGAGCTATTGGGCTCGGGGTCGGGGATCAGGGTAAACATCTCATCCTGACCCCCTTTGTTGCTCGGCAACTCAACTGCCGCTGGTTTCCTGATAGGCGACACCCTCTCTAGGTCATCGTCAGTGGAGTGAGATCGGATCTTAGCTTCTGCTTCTCGCGCCATTTTACGAACTTTAGATTCTATGAATGAAAGAACTTTACCCATTAATTTACATAGGATTTTGCATGGAATCATGTTGCGACATTATCTGAAAAAGTTCGATATCAACTGAGAATCTGGTGGTCAGACTTGGTTGATGCAAGTCATCGTATCCCAATTGCATAGATCGATGTCAACCAGTGAATTGTCTGGCCCAGACTTGATTATTTACAGACTGTCATCATATATTTAAAATATTGCAGAGTGCGGCGTTAAACAACAAACACACAGTACTATTCACACAGACACTACCACTACAGGTAACCACTGTGAATTTATTCAGTCGTATTCACGCAGCCGCTACCACTACAGTTTCTAACTGTGACTTTATTCAGACAGCCACTACCACTACAGTTACCAACTGTGAATTTATTCAGTAGTATTCAGACAGCCATTGTGACCATTTAATCTCCATTTACTGCATGAGACTTATTCTGCCCAACAGGGGTCACCCTACATTTCATTCTCTCTCTCTTCCATTATAAGAAGGGTACTGCATACCTCCATTAACAAATGACTCGATGGTGACGAAGGCGCCAGTTTTGCCAGCGGACACCGGGGTGACTGGAGAGGAGCTGATGGGTGGAGACTGCATCTTCACTTTATCAGGATCTGGCATCTGAAACATTCAGCATAAAAATAATGAAATTATATTTGAAATATCTTTGTTAATTCTTTCAACAGAACACACAAACACCCTGACTCTCACAAAGATGCTTGTACAGTGTCATGTAATTTAGTGGTTAGGAATAACATCTATGGTGGGAAAAACATCAATTTGTAAATTTTACAATAAAAGGAACATTTATATACTTATCCTATCACACTATGCATTTCTTCCTTTTTCTTTCGATCCTATGTGAAAACGTGCTTGAACAAAATTTCAAGCTTCTAAAAAACAATTCACCCGAACACATCCAAGCATCACCAGGGTCACTACCCAAAACAAATGGGTCACGCACTGGAATCCTGTGCATAGTGAACTACACGACATGATCATGTGATTGCCTCTGCCACAGGATTCTCTTTCACAGAGCTGACAGGAGCTGTGATGCAGGGATGGTCGGGAGGTCATATTGCGTGAGACGGGATAGGTATACAAATATACAATTTATTGTAAACTTTACAATGTTTAAACTCATCCTATCGTACACTATGCATTTGTCCCACCCTAGCCGGTCTTAAAAATTCTATAACACTGCCTTGACAAGAACTTCTGAATCAGGAAAACATACCATAACATGCGATACGATCTCTATATGTTAGATAGATGTAACAGCATGTTTGCAGGTATGACATCATTATATAAATGAACGCGTAGCTGTAAAGAACAATCTATTTAGCATATGACTTGCAATCAATCCAGAAGGGGTTGTTACATTCCTGGGTCGTACCCAAACTCAACGAGAGCAACAACACGTCTGGTCATTTAGTCTTCATTTAGTCAAAAGCCAAGGTGCAGCGCATGCACAATGATGTCATCAGCCGAAGTCACCAGTTTTCGTCATGTGATGTAACAAGTCGATCTATTTATAGTATGTAAACACATCAGGGGTCACCAGTAGGGCTGTTATGATTCACTCACGTATTCGGTGAATCGAAACGTATAAATTCTTGAATTGAATTCTTTATTCATGACCAATAGAATCGAATATTTATGAATATGCAATCATGTTCATTTACATACCCTGTATCTAAAAATATCCATAAGAACATATTATATGCATAGATTTCTTCAAAGACAACACTCTTATAATATTTAATTTGACAGTATTGTGATCACTGGTCATTGTCACATTTGAGCAGATACTGTCACCTGGATAAGTGCAGTATATAAATGTGTAATATATTAATAATTAACAAACCATGTCAAATAATTTGTGTTGCTTTTGTTTCATTGAATGTAACAAATAATACATCAACTGCTGACTTGTTTTTGTATTTGTGAATTAATATTCGCCTTCGTTACCCTATATTCGTGATACAAATTGTATTCGCCTCATAGTGTATTCGTTGCAGCCCTAGTCACCAGTCAGTTGATTCTACAAGACAGGTCACAGCAAGTAAGGACTTGGAACCAGACTAATAAATTACAATAAACACTGGAGCTAACGTTCCAGGATTTATACACAAAACGTAGTACCAAATAACAGGAGCAGGTACACGCACTGACTATGTGCCTGTGACAGATATGTCACGGAAAAAGTGGGAAGTGAAGATCGTAACTGACTTACGATAGCACCCTTCCATAATGGCAGTGAGTGAGTGAGTGAATTATTAAATTATGGAATTATTGAATCTTAACTTTGAGACATATATCCATTGTTAACTAAAGGCATATTTACCCTGGACTCTAAGATAAGCATCCTGTTCTCCAGGAGTTTGAGTCTGGCGTCGGCATTATTCCAGCGACTCATGTCCAGCGCCGGCTCCTGGGTGGCGGGTATGGACTTCTGTAGATCAAACATGGCCTCCATCTGGCCAACACGACTATCAACAGCTTCCAGCATCTGAAGGACAGAGAGGATTGTAACACACATTATTTTCTTCTATATTCATGATGGAGTTATTACAGGGTTTGTGCAGAATTATTATCACAAAAATGCATTTTTTAGAGTAAAAATATCATTTATACTTATCTTGACTTATACTCATTGCTTATCTCTCTCTTTTCCGAAAGGTAGTAGAAACTTTCTGTGTTTCCCAGAGAAGACAAAAAACAGCTCACCCGAATGTATATTCTATGTTCGTGGTTGGTTTGTTGTGTAACGCCGCACTCAGCAATATTCCAGCTATATGACGGCGGTCTGTAAATATTTGAGTCTAGATCAGACAATCCGGTGATTAATATCATGAGCATCTATCCATACAATTGGGATCGATGACATGCATCAAGCAAGTCAGCGAACCTGACCACGCGACCCCGTTAGTCGCCTTTTACGACAAGCATAGTCGCCTTTTACGGCAAGCATAGATTGCTGAAGATCTATTCTACCCCAGATCTTCACGGGTCCTATGTTCGTGTAATCACATTGTTAGCAAAGATACAGATGTCATTTTGACATTTATTTTTACTTACTGACATGATATTGTTGATTTTCTCATTAAGTTCTTGAAAACAAAGAACTGCTGCATTTGTGTTGATCCCATCCCTGCTGTCCCCGTTGACTGCCGCCACAGGCTCGGACAGGGGCGTGGTGGGTGAAGCAGCTGCCGCATCAATGGCCGATTCATTCCCTGGACAAACAAAGGTGTTTCTGTGTAAATTGATCATAAAATAAGAGAAACAAGTATTTGTCACAGAAGTGACGAAATATCCCCCGCCTGTATATACACCAAAATACCAAATAGGAAGACAATCCAGCGATTAGTTCTTGAGATATCGCGGCAACACCGTTTTCAAACTCCAAAAGCAGATTTGCCTGCTGTGACCTTGAAAATAGGGTCAAGGTCACCAAAACTGACTGGTGTCTGCGGTGTCTGTATATACACCATAGTTCCAAATATTAAGACAATCCTGCGATTAGTTCTTGAGATATCGCGGCAACACCGTTTTCAAACTCCAAAAGCAGATTTGCCTGCTGTGACCTTGAAAATGGGCTCAAGGTCACCAAAACCGACTGGTGTCTGCGGAGTCCATATATACACCCTAGTACCAAATAGGAAGACAATCCAGAGATTAGTTCTTGAGATATCGCGGCAACACCGTTTTCCAACTCCAAAAGCAGATATGCCTGCTGTGAACTTGAAAATGGGGTCAAGGTCACCAAAACCGACTGGTGTCTGCGGAGTCTGTATATACACCATAGTTCCAAATATGAAGACAATCCAGTGTTTAGTTCTTGAGATATCGCGGCAACAAACAGGTGGGACGTACGGACGGACGGACGGACGGACGGACGGTTGTGAATACTATATCCCCCGCTTCGCGCGGCGGGGGATAACAAGACATTCACAACATCAAACATGAAATTCTATGATGTTGAAAACATAAATGACAATGATTTGAACCATTAGAAACGTTTTGTCAAAATAACATTTTTATTATGCAAGTGTGAATCCCAGAGGAGAAATTGCTTTTGTCAGACCATATAATACCTCCTAAGCCTCAAGTATTATACTTTAATCGACTTAGGGTTTATATTCTGTGTCTGCACCCATAAAGAAACAACTTTAATACTAAAGGTGAATGAGAAACTGTGTGTTTATGTCAGACACTGTAGCCAACAATATTCAGCAGCCTGTCGATAATCTTGACAAACCAGTGACCAAAATTGGACAATCTTAGACACCTTGCAGGGATTTGTCTGGTCCTGCTCAAAGGCCAATATTCGGCCCAAAGTCTGCGGCAAATGTCAGTAAAAATTCCCAAATTAGAAATAACACTTTCCCACTTCATGTTAATGTGTGATGTCTTTGTGGAGGTAACTTGTATATCACTGACAACAGGGCCAATAAAAAGGAAGGGGCATCAATGCTTAGTTTTACATAATCACACTGAATGCAATGTTAAAATACCTCTGAATCAAGGAAAATATTTTGGTTTTTTTTAAATCCCAATTTTGAACAAAATAATCATTTCTTCCCCCAGTTTGCTTTTCATGGGCACTAAGTTTAGAATCCTAGATAAATTCCTACCCCGACATTTCTGACTGCCATGGCACCTGCACCCAAACTGTAGCTCCAGCTAAGGAATGTATGTGATCTGTGTTAAATTCTTAATTGTTAAAAAGGGAATTTCAGAAGGTGACAAAGCTCAAGAACCCACACATCCTTCATTGGGCAGCCAAAGGTTGCTCAGGGTTCACGACCTTCTATGGAGGCATCATCAGACCTTCACGCCGAGCAGGTACCGTATCAAATATTATTGAGATTAAACTATATTATTTATAACTACTTGAAGGGTTGTATGTTTTCTTACCTTGAGGCTTTGGCATGTTTACCACCTCCACAGCCCGGGGTTTGACTCGAGCAATACTTGGCGTGTACAAGGAAAATAAAGAGTCACATGACTGGTTGGGGTCAATGACCTCCTTGATAACCCGGGGTTTGCCGGGCCCGGGGAGCGATGACCGGATCGAAGGGGATCTGTACTTGCTTAGTTCAACTTGAGTCATGGCTGACGCCGATCTGTTGAGAGTTGTCTTCTTGGCAGCAGCATTGGTGGCACTCACTGCACGTGGTGGCGGCATGCTGGTGGAGGATTCTGGGAAATACAGATAAAATATACTAGGAATTTACAACCTAAACGTAGTTCTGTTTGTGTGTTGTTTTACGTCCACTGTAGCATGGTCGCCTGTAAATAATAGAGTCTGGACAAACCAGTGACTGAAACGTCAAGAATAAGCTCCGACATCGGTGTATAGTATGACTCTATATTATCATGGGCTCTATATTATCATACCGGGAATCTCGTAATCCATACCCCCTGTCGACTATTTACTTATGCAAATCTAAGCAAAATATTTCATCGCATGATCAAATACAGGACTCATTGCTGTATGTCATGGCTACACAGATTTACTTTGCTTTGGGAATGTTTTTGAAGTCGAATTACTCCTATCTCCATAAAAAATAGATTACAAAAGAACCCATTTGTTTGGAAGAAGTTCCTTGACCCAAGTTAGGTCGTATGACTACTGATCATACATAATCCAAAACAGGAAGTGATGTAAAGCACATATTCCACACGTATCATACCACAATGAAACAGAGTTGCCAGCCCTTGAGTCGCTACAGACACAGTTAACACTCTGAAATGACCAGTATTTGCTATATCCCCTTAACGCCAAGCGCCAGGCAGTTTAATGCTGCACTCAACAATATTCCAGCTATATGACGGCGGTCTGCAAATAATTGAGTCTGGACCAGACAATCCAGTGATTGACATCATGAGCATCTATCCACGCAATTGGAATACGATGACATGCATCAACCAAGTCACCGAGCCTGACCACCCGATCCCATTAGTCACCTCTTACGACACGCATAGTCGCCTTTAAGGAAAGCATGGTCTGCTGAAGACCTATTCTACCCCAAGTACCATCTTTTAATGTCTTCAGGTATAACCTGACTGGAGACTGGAAAGTCGACCTTCCGATATCCAGGCACCCAATCGATCCACTTGACCACGAGGCGGAAAGGTTGATGATAGCATAAATAAACGAGGCTTACAACTGTTGAGTCCAACATGCCTGTGCACTGTCAGCCGGTATACAAAGAGGTAACTTAATGCTTCAGTAGTTTAACTGGAAGACATCTTTGAAATGCATCCAAAGTAAATGCAAAAGTTCAAATTTTTCTTATGCAGAAAAACAGTTAAAATCTGTGCAAAGCATGAAGATGAAATGCACACTGAAGATAACTACATGCAATTCATGTGGGTCCCTGACACTAACATCACCATTCTTAAAGGTCTTAATATACAACAACCTCCTTGCTTGTGTGTTTATGACTGTCTTTTCATAAAGTGTTCTCACTGACAAACTAAGGGACATAACTCTTGCTCAGTTCGGCTAATCCAGACTACAATTTCAATCAGAACCAAATTCATGGATTTCAATGTATTATAGCATTGTGCCTTTTCTGAAGCCCAAAATCTGGGTAATCTTAACAGAACAGCGAGCATGGTTTTACACCACTTTTAGCAATTAATGGGCTTCACACATTGTACCAATGTGGGGAATCAAACCCGGGTCGTAGGCATGACAAACAAACGTTTTAACCACTAGGCTACCCCACCACCCCTAATTTTAATAGGGCATCAGGGTCAAGAATATCTTGAACTCACTTGCAGGCTCTTTCTTTGTTGCTGTGGTCGCTGTGGTCGCTGTGGCTGCAGACTTAGGTCGAATCTGAAAACAACACTGCAACTGAGGCAACAGATGTGTGGGAAACAAGAACTCTTCATGTTAATTCTTTGATTGATCTGGCTGGTTATTCGACTTATTGGTGTTTTATGAGGAGTTGTGCAAAACATAAAAATCATTTACTAAAAGAGGTGACTGTGGGACACCATTGTCACGGAAACAAAGATCAGGTCATTGTGCACACTCCGTCGCAGTGGTGACTCAGCATAACACCACTGTAAAACCAATGTAAACATAGGATAACTACGCAAAAACAAGTAGATTTTTACGTATTTGCATACTTTCTCAATGAAAGTTAACCATTCTTTGACATTTGTTTATGAAAATGTGTAGACTTGTCAAACATGAAACGGATGAAAAGCATATGCAATATCTTGAATGGACTGTGAAAGATGTGACGAATTGTCACATGGCGCTGGCCTGTGGCAGAGGTACTATGCTAGCTGGCTGCCGGCCGCATGGAACTCTGGGTAGGAGAGTGGTCATTGTGCATTCAAATGAAGATGTACTCAAAACGTTAGTTCCTACACACAAACATTTCACTTTCACTGGAGACATATCAATGTTTGTTTGTTTGTTGTTTAACGCAGCAGTCAGCAATATTCCAGCTATATGATGGCGGTTTGTAAATAATCAAGTCTGGACCAGACAATCCAGTGACTGACACCATGAGTATCAATCCATGCATCAACAATGACAGCAATGGTCAAGTTCATTATTCGTTGTGGGAAAAGTCACGGACATACAAAATCGGATTCACCAATGTCAAAGGAAAATTGCAGGCACCAAAGGCCCCCGAGTATGAACCATTTTTAGCCAATAATAATAATAATAAGAAGTGAGGGAGTGAATGTGGCTTTACGCCGCTTTTAGCAATATCCCAGCGGGCTTCACACATTGTACCATTGTATGGAATTGAACCCCGGGTCTTCGGCGTGAGGAACGAACACTTTAACCACTAGGCTACCCGACCGCCCCTACAAACAAGTGAAGTTTTACTGGTTTACTGTTACTTGCCAAGGACAAGTTCACAATTTTGATAATTCCACACTCCTAAACCCATGGTCTTTGGTTCCTGGCATGCCTAAGGGACACAACTCTGCACCTGTCTGTGGCCTGTCAGACTCACCCTTCCAGAAGGAGGCCTGGCAATGTTGTCCATGGAGGAGTTGAGTTTGAAGGCGGAGGAGGGTTTACTGGAGTAGGTCGTGCGACAGTGCTTCTGAACTCGCTGGAGGACTTCTGTAACCATTATGATCTTCCTCTCCGCAAACTGGGTGGAGAAAAACTGGTCCTTGGTCACCAAGGGTTTGTAGGAAAACATATCCCGGAGAATCTGAAGGGAAAAAGGATTTTGAAAATGAATACATGAAGTTTAAGTTTCCACAAAAATAAACAAGAACACCAGCAAATGTGAGATTTAATGCCATAGAGAAATCAAAATTATATTGGTAATTTATAAGTCATATGCTTCCATGACAACCAAGAAAATATATTACAGCAGAGCTGTTTTTGTAAATATTAATCAAACAGGATATTCATATCGTTTTGAGGAACGTCTCAAAGAGTAGAGAGAAAAAATGGAAGCTTCAAATACCAATAAATGACATGTTTCACATGACGCAGGGCAGGAACCCTGCATAGTTGACATTATTTTCACAACGAAACATTTTCAGTGAGTCATATTTTATTATCAGTCAGATCACTTCCTTCAAAAACATCGAAACAGCTGTTACAGAAAATGTTTACTTTTGCATAATTTGACACGATGTAATTTCTCTGTTATCAATATCTTGTCAATAAAAGGTTAAACTCATGTAGAACTCTAAACGGTATTCATGATTTTCCAAATGAGTCAGGATGAATCCAAGTGTTCATTGGCTAGGTGAAACTCTGTTCAACCAATCAGATTGCTACACATACTCCCATGTGTACTGTCTACACAGTTATAAACAAACGCATAAACATTAGTACTTTGTGAACAAGGTTTCATGTGCCGAAATTCTAACACAAAGTAATCGATGTTTATGTCCTCTTACCTTGTAAATAGAGTCTATGAAAGTTGCATCAGACTTGGCAAACAGTACAATATCCTTGGCAGCAATCTCTTCAGCCAGATTGGTGTTGTAGCTGGTGAAGCCATGATGGAGGATGGGCATGAAGGCCTTAGCATCACCTTGAGTCAACCTGCCAGGCAATATTCCAAACATACAACAATCTGACATTCAGGAGTTCACTTACATTTGCTCATACATATTTCTAGAAACATAATTAGAATGACATAGGGACTACAGTTTCAGTCACAAAATACTCATTTCCAGCTTGATTAGATTACAAGCCAGTGTTTATCCCAGCCTAGGTCACATAATAAACCAACACCAGTGTGGTCACTGAAGCCGAAACGGAATAAGCTTGGGGGTTATCAGCTTCTGTTTACAAACAAAGCTTCAGAACAGTCGACTTTCTGTCCCTTCAGAGAGTCAGGGCTTTAGATCATTTTTTAAAATATGGAGTTTTTATTCACATTATCAGTGTTTGATAGTTTTCTTTGGGTATTCAATATATTTTTCATCCATTGGATTCAGTCTTTTGGGTATTTTTAAACCAATCAGAAAGACAACTGCTGAAAAAATTCTGCTTGAAATGTTGTTCCAGTCAACTACCTACAATAAACTACGGTTATAATGAACCCAAAGGGACCACTCATTTTAGTTCATTATAGTGAGTGAGTGAGTGAGTGAGTATGGTTTTACGCTGCTTTTAGCAATATTCCAGCAATATCACGGCGGGGGACACCAGAAATGGGCTTCACACATTGTACCCATGTCGGGTGTTCGGCGTGAACGCTTTCACCACTAGGCTACCCGACCGCCCCTTAAAGAAATTGGGTATAACAGCGGGTTGAAAATGGCTACATTGGGTAAATTACTCACTTATACTACTGAGTTTTCGTAAACATTTCAAGAGTATTTGAAAGCAAACGACTCAAATTATCTGGGTTATGGCGACTTATTGTCCATATTTTACGTAAATATGCAGCTTATCTAGAGTTCTGGGTATTCATGAAAAGTTTGTTAAATGCAAATTCCTTTCCGCGCACGTCAGCAGTACATCTTGATTAACTCATCTCACAAACAAACAATTTATTGGGTAAAAATTGCATAGTGTCCCTAAAGCAACTTCCAAACCATTATTAACTGGACTTTCAATGGCTACCTTCAGAGGAAAATAGTTATGGAACTAGGGGGACAAGCTATCCACGTGTACTTGAACTGCACTTGTGAAGGCCAAGGTAATATCATCAATCAGTCTCCATAAAAAATGTTCTTGTACAATTGTTTAATGTGTAGCTTTATAAATTCACCAACAAAAGAATTGCGAATACCATACATGTTGATTAATACATGAAGAATTACTCATATTCAAGAGATATTAGATTAGTTCAACTCACAAACAAATATACTGGTATGTTGTGTGAATTTACGCTCATGAACGCATCACATGTGACGTCATAGACCCATGACCCGAGACTCACCTTTTGTCTCATGTAGAATTAGCATGTAAAGCAGCATATTATGATAAGAATAGACACTCTGTGGTAACACTTGACTGATTGTTAGGTTTGTCATTAAGTAGTACATATTGGAAACATCTCTTCTTAACATACATACCTCTCTATATGTTTCTATACTTTGTGTTTCTTTTGGCAGTGAGCATCTTCCGATCGCTTCACACATTATTTCACCGAAATTAATTAAAACAATATTAAAAGGAATTTTGAATAAAATTAATGAAATAAGTTACAAACATAAGTCCAGATATACAAAGAACACTTTTTATAGCCAGACAGTGTAATTACATGACTAATTTGCGTACTTCAGTATGGATTTGTTGACATGGTATTTCTGGTGTTACGTGCTCAAGGTTATGTCTTTCCATGTGGGGAAAAACATCAAAACTCATTAATTCGTGTATAATGCGCACCCCCTTCTACACAGCTGTGTTTTTTTGGAAAAAAAGTGTGCACTATACTCAAGAAAATACGGTATTAGCAGCCTAAAGGTTTCTGGTATTCAAAGTAGACAGCTACACTATTTTAGCTATGGTCAGCTATTTGTATGTCAATGTCAGTAAACATTCCTTCGTGCATGTGTCTATGTGTATAAGTACATAAAGTAAAGAAGTAAACTGGTAAACAATATTTTGAGAAACTCACCCCTTGATATCAACCGACTCTGGATATTTCATTAACTTGATCTCTGTCTGCAGCTTCCTGAGGTTATTTTTCAAATCTCCAGTTGGCATCTTGAATACTGATATCTAAAACAAAAGCTTGTCATAATTTATATCAAATTATTTCGCATTGTTTACATTACATTTTTAGATCCCTAAATCATCACAGAAAGTTTGTCTCTTTCTTTCTCACAATATGCAAACATCATTAGTTGGTACATAATCCACGTGCATATCTGACCTCGCCAAGTGAATTCTCATGAATTTAACAGTGCATTTTGATATGATTGAAAACTGAATCACATTGCTCGAATCGTAATGTTTTGATCGAAAACTGGACAAAATACACTAACTTGCGTTCCAAAAGTTAATAATCACAGCAGGACTAATTCCTTGACAGAAACGAGTACTAGCATACACAATTCCAACGAAATACGCTAACATACATTCAAGTGAGTTTATTTCAATCGTTGATAGCCAGCTCTGTCGCTGAACCTCTTCTGACTCTATGTGTTTGTTCACGTTCGAATATGACGCGATTTCCCGCGAAAAGCGCCACCTGGGGGTCGTTTTTCTTGTTCTATTTGCGTGCGCTGTTTCGTTTCCGAGAACAGTTGAAATGGGAAACTGGAAGTTAGCACAGCAAAGAAGCTGAAACCAACTTGGACCATCTGTCACTTTAGTGGGGTGGCGTTACCTAAGAAATCACAAACACTACACGTAAGCATTTTTTCATTATTAATTAAAAACCAATTCAACATGTTATCATGGTAGGAAATGCGCATACAAAATGTCAGATTTAAGAACGGGGTGAAATAAGGAAGCTGAATCGTTTTAAATAGCCGTCAGCTGTTTGGCTCGAGAACGCTTGGAGCCTTCATTTAGATTGGAAGTTCGCTGAAGTTTAATCTGACGCGACCTTCTACGGCTATGTCCTCAGATCTTAATGAAGATCGGAGTAAAAGATCTGATTTTAACGACATTGTGTACAATGTGTGACCTGGCTGATTGTGGGTCGTTGCTTATATTGTCAACCATAGTTTGCCTCACCTAGATCAATCTCATTGAAATCAGATCTTACTTCCCGCTTCCGCTGTACAAATTTCATTCACCTCAGTTACATATGATTGACGTAATGTAATAATATTTTATTTTTTTTGTTTACGCCGCACTCAGCAATATTCCAGCTATATCATGACGGCCTGTAAATAGTCGAGTCTGGACCAGACAATCCAGTGACATATCATGAGCATTGATCTTCTACGCAACTTAGTGATTGACATAATAAACATTGATCTACACACCTGGGATACCACCAGTGGCGGGTCCAGGGTAGGTTGGGGTGTTTCGGGCGGTCGTCACCCCCTTTTTAAAAGAAACAAAAAATCCTGCAATGATTATATGATGATTTGCATGTTAAAGTACAATTTACAATGGTTTATATGTTGTGTTTGTGTATTTTTGTTATGGCTTTTGGGTGGACCACGCACGCACGAAAGCACGCACGCACGCACACAGGCACGCTACCACCTCCCCCCCCCCCCCCCCCCGACCACGTCGCGCATCAAATCAACCAATAATGACGACCAATTCTAACCCGGATCCTTACTTTGTTTTTGTTTTTTGTTTGTTGTTTAACGACGAACTCAACAATTAATATTCCAGCTATATGACGGCGGTCTGTATTTAATTGAGTCTGGACCAGACAATCCAGTGATTGACATCATGCGCATCGATCCATGCAATTGGGATACGATGACATGTATCAGCCAAGTCAGCGGGCCTGACCACCCGATCCTGTTAGTCGCCTCTTACAAGCATAGTCACCTTTTACGGCAAGCATGGGCTGTTGAAGACCTATTCTACCCCTGATCTTCACGGGTCGGATCTTTACTGGTCAACGTAATAATAGTACTGACATGATGCAAATGAGTTTATTCACAACTTCCAAACGAGCTACACGTAAAACGTAATAATAGTACTGACATGATGCAAATGAGTTTATTCACAACTTCCAAACGAGCTACACGTAAAATGACATCGTCAGATCTGAAGTTTAGTGCTCCGAGACAGCCTTAAGCAGGATGTTCCCAGCTGGGAAGATAGTGACAGGTGCCCCGTGTATCATCATGACGTCATCAGTGAAGTAGTGACCAATCGGTTGACCACTGGGTAGATCCTGCACACTATAAGCTGGTTGCAAATTGACCCCCGCGTCCAGAAGTGTGAGGTTGGTCACTATGGGCCGCGGGATGACTTCCGGGGGACTCCAGGATACGACGAGCACTGCGTGGTCGGCATACGACAGGAAACGGTGCCACACCTGCACTTCCGGTCCGTACTGAATTACACGAAAAGTTCAAGTTAAAGGTATCTCAAAATGACATGGATCGTTCATTCGTAGAATGGTGTGATTTGGTCCGTCTGTGTTATTAGCATATGTATGGTAAATGGGAAAGCTTGTTTCATGGTTCTGGAATGAGTTTTGGAATGTCTCTTGGCCGGTTTAATAGTTTATTTTATATATGGTGTTACAATTGAAAAACACGTCTTCTTTAATACACCCTAGTGTTTTAACACTGTTAGCGTTTTCCTTTTAATTGCAATTGCTGATTACTTTTTGTTTGTTGTTTAACGCCACCCAGCAATATTTCAGCTACACATGTATATGACGCCTGTCTGTAAATAATCGAGTCTGGATCAGACAATCCAGTGATTGACATCATGAGCATCAATCGACGCAAATGGGATACGATGACATGCATCAACCAAGTCAACTGACCACCCGATCCCATTAGTCGCCTTTTACGACAAGAATGGGTTGCTGAAGACTTTTCCTGACTCGGATCTTCACGGGACTGGTGCTTACTACTTTGGAAAGGGAATGTCACCTGTGCTTTGATCAATGGGGTGTTGTCGAGAGTGTCCTGATCGAGCTCAATGATGGGCTTCCGCAGCACGATGTCCTTGTCAGCAGCCGCTAGGTGGCGCAAATCGGAACCAAGAAATAGAGGGGAGTTGAGCATGGCCCAGAATGACAGCTGAGTATGTGTGCACGTCTCCGGCAGTCCACTGGATCCCAGCAACAACTGATATGGTAAAACTATTCATTTTCTCTAGTATCGCAAGTGTCATCGAAACCCACACATACATACTACACGTATTTCCAAATATAACTTGAGGGAACTGTATGCACAAATGCTAGTACTATTTTTTAATTGGACTCGAAGGATACAGGGGTCTTAGGAAATTATATTCTAATTTGAGTACAACTACCGATTCCTGGGGGGCACGGGTGGCCCAGTCGTCTAAGGCGCCGCGATTCTCTGTGCAGAGTTGCGTCCCGTGGACACGCCAGAAACCTATGATTGTGGGTTCGAATCCCGGTTCTCCCCGATTATGTTTCTAGGTTTGTCAGCACCATACCCGTGCTCGTGGGTTTCACCGAAGTGATAAACGTCTGAGACCTGCATCACTTCGGGCTTTCCTCCCACATTAAGCTGACACGCCGCGATAAACACAACTCACTCACTCGACGAATCCTGTGATCCATCCAATCAAATCCTTGACAATAGGCAGTGAGTGAGTATGGTTTTACACCGCCTTTAGCACTATTCCAGCAATATCACGGCGGGGGACACCAGAAATCATCTTCCCGAGGCAAGGGAGTTAACTGATTGTACATGTCCAGTTTCTTTCAGTTTACTCCATTGCCTTGGAAGCTGCGAGCTCCATCCCAGCGCGTGACACCTTCGCTACACTCTCGATAATATCGCAATACGGTAGACAAGAGCTCCGCGAACGGGATATCGCTGTGGGGAGTTTGGGGATTTCACACGTTGTACCCAAGTCGGAATCGAACCCTTGTCTTCTGCGTGATGAGCGAACGTGTTAACCACAAGGCTACCCCACTGCTCCGTCAATTGAGTCCTAGCAAACGTCATTGTAACTCATATTTCATGGTGTATATAAGTCCAGAATTTGACGAATACCCTAGCTACACACAATGTCTCAAATTGACACTGATGAACGTCCATACCAAGATCTATACTAGATCGTGGAACACAGTCCGCCTTTAAGTGGATACTGCCTATATTATTACCATTGCATTGGTTTGGGGTGGCTCTGTATTTAGGTTTTTATAGCAGTATTAAGGGAAATAGATATAATCCTAGATGAGCAAAGATGGAGAAAACTCCATGCAGCACAATGAATTTGTTTACGTACTGAAATATGTTGGTGGTATTTTGTAAGAAATGCTTTTCTCATCAACGTGAAGTCAACAGTTTTTGACATACCAGACCCAAATCGTTCCATCGACCTTGCCCTTGGTGGCTGCTGATGTTGTATTCGTCACGTGTGAAGAAGAGTGAGGTGTAATAGATGCTGTTCCACGTGGAGGTGTAACTCAGTCTCTTCGTACTCCGAAACGTGTGGCACACGCCCTTGATGACGTCATAATTAGGCTAAAAGAATTCACATGTGTCACTTAGTGCAGGGCGATCGTATTTGTCTGTTTGTTGTTTAACGCCACACTCTATGACGACGGTCTGTAAATAATCGAGTCTGGGCCAGACAATCCAGTGTTTGATATCATGTGCATCGATCCACGCCAATGGGATACGATGACATGCATTAACCACCCGATCCCTTTAGTCGCCTCTTACGACGAGCACAGGTTCCTGAAGACCAGTTCTCACCCTGGTCTCCAAGGGTCACGGCGATATTTACATCACGTCCAAATTATGCACTTATATCATAGCAAGCAAGATACATTTGAATAAATGATCTATTGGAATGAAAATACTTGTCGAACAATTAACCAAACACTCACCGTAACATTAGCATGGACAAGTCGTGCAGGCCAACCACATGAAACAAGGGGAGACCACCCAGTGGAGTTGATGGACTTGTCGAGGAATATAGCGCCTGAAACAATACAATAAATAGCCAAAAGAATGTGACACCAATCCTATGGCCATGATCGAGGGTTCTAATCCCAGATTCGCCCTGATTATGATCCTTGGTTTGTCAGCACTAGAACCCATGATCATGGGTGTCACCAAAGTGGCAAACGACTGATACCTGCATCACTTAGGGCTTTCATCCCACCTTAAGAGCGTGATGATCCGGGCTAGAATAGGTTTTCGGCAACACATGATTGCCGTAAAAGGCGACTTCGCTTGTCGTAAGAGGCGACTAACGGGAATACTGACTTGGTTGATGCATGTCGTCGTATCCCTATTGCTTGGATCGATGCTCATGATATCAATCACTGGATTATCTGGCCCAAACTCGATTATTTTACAGACCGCAGTCATAAAGCTGTAATATTGCTGAGTGCGGCGTTAAACAACAAACAAACAAATAAACATCCGACCTTAAGCTGACACGCCGTGATATACATGGGACTGAAATACTCTCACTCATTTATATTCATTTAGAGAACTCACTTGTTTCCAATTCCTTGACATCCTCAGTAACCCCATCAACGTAGATCATGTCTACTCCCCACGCTGCCATGTCACCCACATCTGCAGCCACGTGACCTTTTGATCCCGGGTACCCATTCTCGGTTATAATCCCAAGATCCATGTGAAGTCCAAGTTTCAAGTTCTTGGAATGGAGCTGAAATATCATTATGTAAAGAACTTGCAGTGTCACTGAAGTCTTTGACGTGAAGACTTCTGGATAATAATAATAAAAAGCTATTTATATTGCGCATATATCCACATCACTCAGGTTGTGTGCTCACAGCGTTTCTATTACCCCGATCACTGGATCAGTGTGCACTGAAGAATAATTCTCAGCTCCCTCGGGAGTATACAACCCGAGCTGCCAAGCTCTAGAAGGTTAACAACCACATTGCCATCTCATCCTACCGGGTACCCATTCATTTCTGGGTGAACAGAGGCACATTTCGAACAAAGCCACTTGCTCAAGGAGACGCTTTGCGATGGGGCGCCGCAATTCGCTTTGTGGTGTTGCGTCCCAGAATCCTGTGATTGTGATCCCACCTAACCCATGATTATTTGTCAGCACCACAACGGTGGCCATTCGATTCACCAAATAGGTAAACGCCTGCCTCTCATCGGGCTTTCAAATATCATTAAACTGACACGACGTGGTATCACTCAAGTACTGTTCAAAATGGCGTTAAACCAAACACACTCACTCACCCCTACCACTGCTTACATATTGAGCCAGTGACGCGATGCCATCAGGGAACCGGCTTCTGTCGGAGAGTAGTCTCCCTTGTGTGTTCCGCCTCTTCTCCGACCAACAGTCCCCTATGAGAAGGTACGTGTAGCCAGCGTCGCGATATCCATCTGTTGCCATGGTATCAGCCATCTGCTTGATCCTGGTTTGGCTGAAACGGAGACAGAGATCCTTATGTACGTCGTACTGACTTTATGAAACGTGTTCAAATTTTTGTTGTTTCCAGAACCATATTCGTAAAATCAGTAGGGTACAAATTTATTCATTTCTAAATTATCCACATAATATCTTTTGAACGTCATCATTATCGTGACGTCATTGAACATTGCGTCAACAATGGTGTAATGCGCGTGACCTCATTATTTCACATGTGATTTGTGGGTTTCTCAATCCCCTATCACAAGATTCGACGTCAGATCACTCATTTTATTACTGTCACGACGTCACTTGAGATCGACTGTGACGTAAACAGAGAGATTATTATTCGAACATGTGTGTCATATTGGTTTTACGGAACGAGTGTCCGAATTCGAATATTTCCCGAGCAAAGGCGAAAATACATGAATTCATGAGTTTCGTAAAATCAGTATGATGCATATGGGAGTATAATAATTTCTTTATTGCCCATTATTTCTTAAACCGTTTGAGCTCCACCTTAGAAAAATGCACTGATGACGACCGCCGTCTTAGAAAATCACAATCGATGAGGTCAACGTTCTCAGCTATGACGTCTTTTCTAGTGTGACGTCAGTCCGACCTTACGTCACAATAACATTTGAATGACATCAACAGTGGGTGACGGAAACAATACACTGGTGCGCGTGAAGCGATATTGGCACTCGTGCACATTTATAAGTGCAATTATCTTGGACGGAACGTTAAACCACATTCTACCTACCCTCTAACCTTACGGGGGCGGTCGGGTAGCCTAGGTTTAAAGCGTTCGCTCGTCACGCCGAAGACCCGGGTTCGATTCCCGACATGGGTACATTGTGTGAAGCCCATTTCTGCCGTGATATTGCTGGAATATTGCTAAAAGCGGCGTAAAACCATACTCACTCACTCACTCTAACCTTACGGCTAATAAAATGTAAGACTCCAACATAATCATACATGTGCGTTGATAAGTGGCGTGAACTAGCCAATTAGCACGAAGCAACACGATCCACATCTCGTTGACCTACCCGATACACTACCCGATCGTCATCCGTCGGCTCATAGTATCGATCACCTGGAATCGCCAAGGTGCCGTTTATCCCCACGTACATCGTATTTACTCATACAAACGCGCGGAAATACATGAACACGCACGCACACACGCACTTGTGCTTTCTGACCTGAGGCAAGTCTCCAATCCGGCTGCACAGTTGACGCGGCAGTCGTACAGCCCCCGTGTCGTCCAGCCCATAGGAGGAGTGGGTGCGATGTCGCTTATGCCGGTGACTACATACCACGTGACGCACATCAGTGTCAGAAACTTCATGGTCATTTAATGGCGACTGAAGTTATGTACATAACAACGTTCTATGACTATGATAAGGTCAGTATGACATGACGTTATCGCAAATAATCTAATCCTAAACGTGCCGATAGCTGAAACGGTCACGTTGATATATAGTATGTACTACACAAAAGAACTTAAAGCACATCCGATTTTTTCTTTTATATAGGGGATGGTAAATTATTATAGGATTGGGTAGGAGAAACTGATTTCCACCCCACCCACCCGGAAAACATGTAGCATTTATTTATCACGCACGCACGCACGCACGCACGCACGCACGCACACACACACACACACACATCCTCCTTATAATAAGTGATCATTCCCTAACTATTGTTCAAATTCATAAAAAAAGTATTTGAAAATCGCTTCCCACCACCCTCTCTCCCAACAGATGGGATAAATTTTGGCGACCCCCGCTTTTATGACCCAACCCCAATCTCACAGTCCCCACCCCCACCCCACCCTATAATATAAATGACCAGTCCCTTACTACAGTTAATCTGTAATACTTCTTCTGAGTAGTATACAATGAGGGTAGGGAGTATTGGCGCATTAAAGTTTTGAATATTCGGCTAACTGAATGCCGCAAAAGGCGACTATGCTAGTTGTAAGAGGCGACTAACGGGATCGGGTGATCAGGCTCGCGGACTTGGTTGATTCATTCGTGGTATCCCAATTGCGTAGACCGATGCTCATGTCTGGTCCAGACTCGATTCTTTACAGACCGCCGTCATATAGCTTGAATATTGCTGAGTGTGGCGTTAAACAACATGACAAGCAAGACAAGACAAGTGAACCTAACTGAGGATGTTAACAAAAGGGACTATATCATGGGAATGATAATCGAGTGTAAACAAAATCATGATGTAGTTATATACATCTTTTGACAGTGCCGTGAGAAACTATAGACCACGAACAGCATGTAAAGCGATAACGCCTATCCCGTGTGTGTTTGGTTAAACGCCGCTTTGAACAATATTTAAAGTGAAGGGCAAAACGAAAGCGTACTTGAAAAAATATATTTATCATCCAAAACTGGCTCCCAAAGGAGGTATCGCTTGGATGAGATCAAGCGATATCTACACTGTAGATATCGCTGCAATGAAATTACATCACAATGTTTTGCAGACCATTGTGACGTCACTGGTTACCATGACATCACAATCAAATGACATCACTAATGTCTCTGCTACTGAAGCTGTTAGCAGTACTTTTTACACTGAAGACACTGCTAATTACTGTCTACAAATTGAAAAAGTTGAAAGCATGATGTTGGATGATAAATAAAATCTCACCCTCGTGTCTTTTGATATCAAATATATCAACACTCGTTGATAAAAGTGTCAAAAACCTCGGCAAGCCTCGGAATTTTTCCACTTTTATCAACTCGTGTTGATGTATTTGATATCAAATGACACTTGGGTGAGATTCTCTATATATACGTTAGCAAAACGTTACCAGGACGAAGACAGTTGCCGAAACACTGCCAACTCCAAAACACAACTATGGTACTCGTGTCAAATACATCACTATCGAATAACTATATCTTTTAGTTTCACGTTAGCCATCATCAAACATGGGTGTATAGTTTCTTTTGCCCGGTTGTTTATAAAGACACATCAGCTGAATGCTGTGTGGAAGCCTGAAGTGATGCAGCTGGGCCCACTTGCACAAAGCGATCTTAGCGCAAAGACTATCGTAAGCCTATGTTAAATTATGGGAGTTACAATCATCTTAGCGCTAAGATCGCTTTGTGCAAGTGGGCCCAGGTCTCAGACTTGTATGACAATGGTGAACACCTCGAGGACAGAACCATGATACTCCCAATAATATTGGCTGATTTGGACACGGTAGTTTTTTTTATCGTGATTCTATAGTCTGAGCAACCGTGTTTGTTTGGTACTATCAAACAAAATAAATACAAGCAAGTGTTATATTTCATTTTACATTTATATTTACTTGAAAGTACGGTATTTTTTGTAATGCATTCATAAATCGTGTTTAAAAGACCATGTATGTGTGTGTGTGTTCGCGTGTGTGTGTGATGTATGCAGTGTGTGTGTGTGTGTGTGTGTGTGTGTGTGTGTGTGTGTGTGTGTGTGTGTGTGTGTGTGTGTGTGTGTGTGTGTGTGTGTGTGTGTGCAATGTATGTATGTATGTATGTATGTATGTAATGTATGCAATGTATGCAATGTATGTATGTATGTATGTATGTATGTATGTATGTATGTATGTATGTATGTATCCAAACTGCAATGACTTTCCTGCACATAAACATAAATATTTTAAGACTTTGAAAATTCCAGGGATTATACAGATTCCCTGTACTATTTATACCAACTCAACACGTGGATGTTTATGATTAAGTGATTAAGGAAGTAAAATTTGGAAAGATAATGTTCTGGCTAAGCTTGTATAAAATTGTTTATGTCATGGTATGCATGGTATGCATGGTTGGTTACTCAGTGCTGTAGTATCTTGTATACAAGTGCATGCATGCATGCATCAATTATTATTGCATATATCCAACACAGCTGACTATTACATTCAGGGTGTTTCTTAAAGTAGAGCGCAAGGTCCAGCTACAACAGTTTCGGCGGCTGTCTTTCCTGCATGTCTGCGCATGCTCGAGGGGATTCCCCTGATCGGAAATTTTACTGGGCATTTCAGCAGAGCCTCTCATTATCCCAGGTTAGTCAACTCGGCGTTCTCAACAGCAGAGGGGAATGGTAAGTGGCGCATGCACATTTTGGTCTTGCATTGTAGGATCTCGCTTCTGTTTACTTTCATGATTAGAGTATATTACTTGTATACAGCTTATACGAATCGCATACCTGTTTAATATGCCGGGTCAAGAATCTGTACGACTCACCTTGCAATTGAATGATCGCCAGTGATTGCAGAAAATTAAATGCTGTATCATTTAATATAAACTACCCATTGTAAATTGCCTTACTAAATATTACTGCATATTCAGAAACGTTAGAAAAACAAATTAACACCTACACTTAAAACGTGGGTTTCGTCAACCTAAATTTATACACAATGTTCTAATATTTTTATAGAGATCTTTCTAGTTATATTATTTATATGAATATGTATAGCACGTGTATTTTATGGGCATGATAAATATTTCGTAAGCACTCATCAGAAACATTATCACATATCAGGGAGGAATGTGTCCAAATGCATACACTGGAACCTCATTAATCCGGACACCTCACCTTCAGGACGACTTTGTTGGGAATAAATGTACTATTTACAGCAACAGTAAACCAACCTTTTATTTATTCATCAGAAAATGGATTAATCAGGGAGGTTTCAAGAGGGATTGGCTGACTGGTTTAACGAGGTTTCACCGTAGTCATACGTATTCCGGTCATGCAGTGTGTATATACTTATGTAAATACGCAGTGATTATAACCCAAGGAATCTACGGAAATGAAATATACTCCTCAAAAGAAGTTAAGGATCACCCGATTCTTTCATATTGGTAATGTTAATCTGTCATGGCATGAGAGATTAACTATTGTAATATGAAAGAATCAGGTGATCCTTAACTTCTTTTGAGTAGTGTACTAACATTGTCCTGTTTCGGTTCTAGTCGGGGTTTTCGTTCCAGGCAAAATGTAGGTCTCCTTTCAAACGCATGTATGTATATTACATATATAAAAGTATGCATAAGTCATGACCCCCTCCACCACATTTGATTATTTTAGGTGGTTTATATGTGATGCAATATCCTATATGTGATGGATGGAGACTCCCGGGGGTAATACATGTCGTAATGAGCTGTTAGGTAATACAGTGATATGTATAGGAGGAGAACTACAGCGGATCCTGTTAGCTGAGGGACACCACGAACACACTAAACACCGCACACACACGCACGCACGCACGCACACACACTCAAACACACACACACACACGCAAATACACACTCAAACACGCAAACACACACACACACGCTCAAACACACACACACACACGCACGCAAACACACACATACGGAAACACACACACACACGCAAACACACTCACACACACTCAAACACACACACACGCAAACACATACACTTTCACGCAAAAACACACACACACACGCAAACACACACACGCAATCACAAACACCAAAACGCCTGTTCCTCAACTCATAGATCACAAAGTATTCCCTAAGTTCCTAAAATCAAGGGCGGTGGGGTAGCCCAGTGGTTAAAGAAAGCGAACGCTCGTCGCACCGAAGACCCGGATTCAATTCCCCACATGGGTACAATGTGTGAAGCCCATTTCTGGTGTCCCCCGCCGAGATATTGCTGCATGGCATATTGCTAAAAGCAGCGTAAGACTATACTCACTCCTAAAAGCAAAAAAGACCAACTTAAATAATTATAGTTTCGTTGTGTTCATTGTAATTCCTGCATTCTGATTACTTGAATTGGTCACGTGTTATTGCATGAATTTCCCAATAGGATATTAAAAGAATTAAGCCACGCCCACCGAAGCGAACTTTTTTCATCACTACGGAACGTCGGGGAATCCCATTTACAATGTATGGAATTCCTTTTCTGCTTACATGTCTCAACATCACGTTATCAGGCCTGGTAATGTTTTAGCGCTATTTTTTGGCATCAAACATGCTGACAACACGATAATACTGTCGTCTTCGACTCACTGAAAAAAACACGGGCATCGCACAATATCAGTTCCAGTTTAAACGTATAAACAGTTATTATGTTTATTATAATACATAATACCTGAACGTCATCTTCCCGAGGCAAGAGAGTTAACTGACTTACTTTAAAAGTCCAGTTTCCACCCTTACCGAACAAGGCTGGAATTCCTGGGCTCGATCGTATCGCCACCAGTGGTCGTTACGAGTAATGTCCCTTCTAAGCCTCTCCTAAGGACCAATCAGATTCCACCTCTCGTATAACTTGCGTTTGCTTCACACAAAATGGTTGCGCCCGGTCAGGACGATCTGATCGATAATCAAGATCTATATTGTGATAAAACGGGTCTTACATCGCGAAATGCATCAAATCGCGTGGGTACCTTGATTAAAAACATGAGAAGATTTGGAAAATATCTGCTGACAACGAGTTGGTGGTGCACATGCTTTGCAAACCCTGCAATCGACCGAAATCTGCACGACAGTTTACAAACCGGATTTCAATTTCGGTGCGCGATTTCGATTGGACTATGCATAGACTCGTTAGTCCAGCCAAAACGCAACTCCATAATACCAGCCTAGTTCGGCAAGGGTGGAAACTGGACTTTTATAGTCAGTTAACTCTCTTGCCTCGGGAAGACGCCTGAACGTTTGCTTCAGAGTTTAGACATAATAACTGAAATTGAATAAGTAAGGGACGAGAGTTTCAAAAAATCAACGTTTTCACTGATATTGTTCATTCATATAGCTTACATTGATGCGTAAGATACTAGTCATTTCTTACAGCAGAAAAAGACATAAGTATCAGTATTTTATTTTGTATTTACATGAACCATAAGTAAATATTATATCTATAAATATAATGTTCATATCATGACAGCTATACCTAATGTCATTAAATCAGTTTGTGGTAACAGATTGGTACATAGGGCACAGAAGACATCCCACACTGACTTGCTGAAATATATATCATTGATCATATCATTACTCGTGGTCTGCGCATGTCAGGGGAATCCCCGATAGGTATTTTATCCCTGCCTACTGACTGCATTGAATAGAAGGTAAATATATCGGGTTATTTCCTAATGTAAATGTTAGAACAGTATCCATGTCGATATTTCAAATCCGTATTTGTCCAGTAACACCGATAATGTTAATAATAATAATTCTGTGAAACGATTGACCATAGTAACGGTAGATCTACCACGTGAACACCAAGCACTTGTCATTTTCTAGGATATACGATATCCTTTTGCCACAAGACAATATGGCATTCCTTAAACGGATACACACAGATGTCGATGACAGGCGCAGTATTATAAAACACGCTTCCTCTTGTATACCTTAAGCTATTAGATCATTTACCAGATATATTTAAAAAAATTAAAACTAAGAACCTAATTATCATTTGGGAAAAAAACCATCAAATTCCAGGACTATCCAGGTGACCCCTGTTGACAAAGGTATAACCCAATGTTGCACTTAATGCGTTTTATTTCGGATACGACCCTAGGTTGTGCCTGATTAGCACTCAGCTTGAGTTCGTTTTTAAAACCCAGGACGACAAACGTGATTTTGTTTTTGTTTGTTTGTTGTTTAACGCCGCACGCAGCAATATAACATCTGTATGACGGTGGTCTGTAAATATTCGAGTCTGGGCCAGACAATCTAGTGATTGACATAGTTAGCATCGATTGGGGTACGATGACGTGCATAAACCATGTCAGCAAGTCTGACCTCCCGATCCCGTTAGTCGCCTCTTACGACAGGCATTGGTTGTTGAAGATCTACTCTAACCTCGATGTTCACGGGTGCGGCGGAGCGGACCAATGTTAGCACCTGGTAACTGATTTACGTCATTCTAACCTAAGTTGCCCGTACCAACTGAAGTACGACCGTGAACAGCCTCCAAGTGACGTCATCGTTAAGGTTATTTAGTTTCTTTTATTTATAATGATTATTTCATTTATTGATTCTTCCATGAATAAAAGCAAAAGAAGATATTTAAGATAAGTGGAATTTATACCGGTGCATTCTCTAAAACTTTGAATTTTGCTGGACATTTTAGAAAAGAAAAAACTTCAGTTATGTCAAAACATTTGAATTTTCAACTTTCGACACCACTATTCCCCACGACAAACTTTAGTAAAAACTTCATTCCTTGATCCATTGGTCATTTGTTACTGAACGTGATGGCCACGTTGTTGCATCTCTATCTTCATCTCTATCATTTCAGACCGCCTCCGTGGTCTAGTGTTAGAGCGTCCGCCCGGAGAGCAGAAGGTCCGGGGTTCGATCCCCGGCCGCGTCATACCAAAAGACGTTAAAAAATGGTACTTGTTGTTACCCTGTCTGGCGGTCGGCATTAAGGGGATAAAACAAGGACTGGTCGGCTCGGAGTCAGTATACTGTGTCAGAGTGGGTTATTCATGTTAAACTGCGGCATGGTATCTCAGTGGGCTAGCACTATAAATCGGCATCAGTCCGGACAAGTACAGGCAGCCATACACACACACATGCACGTCGCTATTTAAGTGCAATAATCTTGGACGCGACGTTAAACCCAATTTCACCATCACCACCATAGAGGTTAAGGACAATTTGTCGAAAATGAAAGCAAAGTCGTCGGAAGTTCACTGAGAATCAGTTTGTGAAATTCTCGACTTCCTCATTGAAAACATATGTATGTGAAATGTGGGTATAGGACATTTCGGCAAGAAGCAGGCATTCCCCATGGGCACCAATTGTGCTCCCTTTCTTGCTGATTTCCTTCTTTATGCACTCGAGTCAGAATGTCTTCTCAGATCGGCAAAATCAAAACTAGGATCGAAATTGGCCAAGACATTTAACTTAAGTTTTAGGTATATCATCTAGGGGGACTATACAACGAGGGTCTTATAAAGACTCCATGGGTGCATCGATGATCTGATATAGTTAAATAATGGTCAATTATCCAATTCTCTTCCATTGATTTACCCACCTGAGCTAGAAATAAAAGAGACCAGTTAGATCTGTGCAGAGAGAATATTCAGAACTGACAAAATCCACAGATCAGGGTTACGACATTCAAGGCCTCAGTCAAACTTTCCAAACGTTTTGTGGTAGACATGTGTAGGGCATTTCCAAATTTGACGTATGTTACAAAAATTATGTCCGATACATGCCCTATTTTGACTTATACCATATGTTCCCGTGTTTTTTTCCAGGTGAACAGTTGACTTGCCTTTGCATGTGTTTGTGAAACGTGTCACCGGTGGGTGTCTTTTCGCGAACACCTGGTGTCATTACTAGTTAATAGTGATTCATAAACACATGCTCATGATATAGTCGAAATAGTACAATCGACTCTGGTTTTACCAGAGATATCTGATGAATATTGAAAAAAGGTTTTGTCGCCTTTATTGTTTACCATATGTAATCGCGACATATGTCGCGAAATGAGCGACATGTGTATGATTTCTACGTAGAAATAGGATGTGTATATTACTGGCAACGAAAACCTCGTGTCATCCCGGATCAAGCAGAAATGGGTTGCGTGTTTGTTATTCGCTGATTCCCGCGGAGACTCTGCGCACAGAAGAACATAACACTCCCGGGATTCGCGAAGAATCCGGTGTGACTGGGCTCCGTGTGAAGTAGTGGATACTGCGTGTACCATCAATGGAACCAGTAAATCAGACCGCGAAGAACGCGGAAGTACTAAGCTGGGCCCCGTCTGTACATTTCACCATATAAATTGCGGAAGTTGCCGACACGCATTGAGAGCCGGGAACCAACTTTAACCCATACTATGGAGCTTCACAAAACGAATTTTGTATTTGAAATGCGCGTCCGATACCAGTAGACGGTAACCAGTCGACAAGATAAGGGGATTTCCCTAAGCGTAGTTTCCCTTCGTGATTGTAACGACGATGCAGTTGGAATGGCAAGTAACGACTCTCGATACGAATTTCATCTTATATTCGGACAACCTTCATGCAATTGTTAACACAGGATAAAAACAATCTTTTGTACCATCTATATGTATGATAAAATGACACAGCAAATATATCTGTATCTTACTGTTTACCCTTCTACTTCGCGCTTCGTGTGGGTGTTTCATGGATGTCTGCAACACAGTAAATTTCCAAATTTTACTATATTACGAATGATTTCACTGATTAATGTCATTGTTTTACCGATCTCTGATATTCTGCGGTAACGGAGACAGTTTCAATAGCATAAACTTGATCAATAAGATATGCTTACAAATAACTGGATTCATGAAATTCAATATCAAGGAGTCTTAGTATTGTACTTTCGGTTTCGAATTATCGCAATATTTGAACACAAACGCTTCAAAGTGATAGCAAATATATAAGGTTTAAGTCAGTATGACCTCTATGGCATATTTGTCAGATCTAGGTCCATGATATGGTTCACAAAATGCATTTGAGATACTTCCTGCTTTATGTTTGTAAAACCATATATTAATATGTATAAGGCACTTTTGATGTGCTCTAGTTTTGTGACGTGAAGTTTCAATGCTAGATTCAGGTTGAAGATCCATATCACAGGGGAGGGTAAAAACCAGACCCATATTACACCCCTGTGGGGCTGATATGGCTTAAAAATTGCTAATGCATTTTCAATGGGCAATTGATACCAGCCCGGGTGGTAAGAAACTGGAGTTACGTCCCTTAGTGTTGCCTGCTTATCTGCTCGACTAGCTTTCCTGTGACAATGTCTCCCAAAAAGTTGAAAATGTACTGCATTCACATGCAATAGATACATTTTACAAATTGCTGTTATGGTATATGATAAATAGTTTTAAATGGCAGGTTTCGTATACTCCATATATCAACCCTCGACCCCCATATCAGCCCTCTGGGCTTCGGTCCTCGGTGTGATATGGGGGTCTTGGCTTGAAATGGGGTATTATATGAAAACTGCCATATAATAACCTCAAAGTATTACTGTTATGAACTGAGTTTTGCCATATTTGACTAACTAAACTATTAAGACAATCTTTCCTTTTTCTTTCACACAAAAATACTCTCACACTACAGAAAAATGTTTCAGCTGTCCGATAACATCACATGTTATTACAATTAAAAAATAATAGATAATAATCAAATATTTTTTATCTTTTTACATATCACCCATGTCTTATGTGAAGTTCTGTTTCTTGAATAAAATGTCAATTGACTGGAGCTGACAGTCATCACAATGTGATAACTATAAAACTATGTTATTTTGTCACTTGAAAAGGACAAAGATGATTTCTGTTTCAGATCTGAATCTGGTTAATAATTGAGACTCAACCCATACAACACGATGGCAGGTAAGCAAATACATAATATCATAACTCATTAAGGAACCGAGCTGTCTGACAGGCTAGTGCTTATTACGTCCCATAGAATATGGAAAACAATAAATTCTGTTAGGTAAGTCAGAGGTTTCAAATCACAATAACCACCTCTGATTGAAACAGCTGATTTGACTGCTGCATCAACCCAGAGGCGAATGTTCATAGAAAAAGTACTTCTTTCTCAATCCTTGTCGGTTGGCATTTTTAGATACCCGGTAATGATGTATACTATGGAAGGTTACACACTCCTTAGTTTCTACAATATTCAAAGCATGTGTGGCAATACATTCAATGAAAACATGACAGAAGTAGACTAAGCATGCTAAGTGGGGTACATGTATTGCAAGTTTCATGGACACCTGAGATCTAGTTAATATTTGGCACTTTTCTGTTTCCGACTGTGGCGTCATCATTTTCATCACAATGAGCTATGTGATGTCATAATAGTGACGTGTGATGCGGAACGAAACCTTGCAAGGCTTGCTTTATTTACTTTAGGAGTGCACACTTTATATTCGCTTACCAAGTGCAAAAGGCTATCATATAAGAGTGAGTAGTATGGTTTTACGCCGCTTTTAGCAATATTCCAGCAATATCACGGTGGGGGACACCAGAAATGGGCTTCACGCATTGTACCTATGTCAGGAATCAAACCCGGGTCTTCAGTGTGACGAGCGAACGCTTTAACCACTAGGCTACCCGACCGCCCCCTATCATATAAGAAAGTATAGGTATGTGAAAAGATCACATACAGTGCCATACTTTGTTTAATGTCGGTTTTCAACGTTTCCTTAATGCAGATCAACAATCCACTAAAAACATCGGACCCATGCCACTTCAGTCAATAATTTCTATTGCACAAAAGAGTTTGTGTTTCGTTTTGTATTTGTAGAACAGAAATAAACACACTGTGTTGGGACCGATAGTCACACAGAAATAAACAACTGTGTTGGGACTGATAGTCAAACGGAAATAAACACACTGTGTTGGGACTGATAGTCAAACGGAAATAAACACACTGTGTTGGGACTGATAGTCAAACGGAAATAAACACACTGTGTTGGGACTGATTGTCAAACGGAAATAAACACACTGTGTTGGGACTGATAGTCAAACGGAAATAAACACACTGTGTTGGGACTGATAGTCAAACGGAAATAAACACACTGTGTTGGGACTGATAGTCAAACGGAAATAAACACACTGTGTTGGGACTGATAGTCAAACGGAAATAAACACACTGTGTTGGGACTGATTGTCAAACGGAAATAAACACACTGTGTTGGGACTGATAGTCAAACGGAAATAAACACACTGTGTTGGGACTGATAGTCAAACGGAAATAAACACACTGTGTTGGGACTGATTGTCAAACGGAAATAAACACACTGTGTTGGGACTGATAGTCAAACGGAAATAAACACACTGTGTTGGGACTGATAGTCAAACGGAAATAAACACACTGTGTTGGGACTGATAGTCAAACGGAAATAAACACACTGTGTTGGGACTGATTGTCACACGGAAATATTTCGCTGAAAATGTTGTTTATTGTATAACATTACACTCAGTAATATTCCAGCTGTATGACGACGGTCTGTAAATAATCGAATCTGGACCAGACAATCCAGTGATTGATATCATAAGCATCGATCTACGTGATTGAGATACAATGACATGCATCAACCAAGTCAGCGCGCCTGACCACCCGATCCTAATAGTTGCCTCTTGGGAAGAGCAAAGTCGCCTCTTGCGACAAGCGTAGGTTGCTGAAGACCCCTCTTCGGATCTTCATGGGTGTCACTGAAAATATTTCTACATGGTCTTGTAATGATAAATTTGTTACATTTTTGTCCTAGAGGTTTTCTGCTATAGTTTTTTAATCTAGCGGTCACCCTTAATCTTGAACTTTCCACATGACTAGGACCCCTTGACCCCTTGACTTTCATTTTTATTTTAAACACTAGTATGAAATATATACTACCGTATTCGATGTAATAAGCGCCCAGGGCGCTCTCAAAATTAGAAATAGGGGCCTCTTATTAGAATATTATTTTGGTGGAAGAAACAGAGTTGAAAGATAAATTTCATGGTTTATGCTGACAGCCTGAAATGTTTATATACGACAGATATATTATTCCAGAATTTAATAGCCCATAATTAAGGGTGCATATAACACAGTGCATATTATACGCGAATAAATAAGTCTTGTGTACATTGATCAATCGGAAGGGGTGCTGATTGGGATTGTTCACTAGCCAATATGCTAGCAATTATCGCCGTGGGCGCTTATTAGAGCGGGGCGCTTATTACGTCGAATACGGTACTCAGAAACAGGATTGCGTGAAAGTCTTACTGTAGATATATGAAAGAATCAGGTGGTTGATTACCTTTATAAGTAGTATATAATACACAGGTGGTTGATATACCTTACTATAAGTAGTATATAATACACAGGTGGTTGATATACCTTACTATAAGTAGTATATAATACACAGGTGGTTGATCACCTTTATAAGTAGTATATAATACACAGGTGGTTGATATACCTTACTATAAGTAGTATATAATACACAGGTGGTTGATATACCTTACTATAAGTAGTATATAATACACAGGTGGTTGATATACCTTACTATAAGTAGTATATAATACACAGGTGGTTGATCACCTTTATAAGTAGTATATAATACACAGTTCTTTGAACAAGATGTTTCAAATCATATATTTCTATTTCCTATTTCCTATTCAGGTCCACCGATATCAAATATATATATCGTCAACGATGATGGCATATACGACCCGAGCGCCCTAAGAAACCTGGCCAGCATTCTAAATGTTAACTTAGGCACACTGCAGAACTGTAGCATCCGTGTGTCCAGCCATGGTCAGAACCAAGGTCAAGCTCAGGGAGCCTTCGTCGACATCCACCAGCAACAGGAGGATCGTCGTCGGCGGAGGAGGGAGGAGAAGGAGAGGAAGAAGAAAGAAGCTGAAGAGAAGAAGAAGAAGATGGAGGCTTTGAAGAAAAAATACCCCTTTCTTGATACTAAGTCCATTGAACGTAAGTCACAAATTTGTCATTCTCTGTCAGAAATAATCTTTTTCCAAATTCACTATGGTCGGCTTATCATGAACATCTAAATTCTAAGTAATGTCATTGGCTGAATTGAATTGCATTCAAAACAAGTAAACAGCGTTATCACTATCCACCGCTATGGGGCACATTAGAATTTTGTTTGTTCATACAGTAGTGAATATAAACTATAAAAAATGTCAAATGAAGCCTAAAAAAGATATAGCAAAGGCTGCTTTGTCATTAGAAGAATTGATTAAATGTGAAATTAATACAGACAAAAGGCCCCTCTTCTAGAAAAAAATAATTCGGTCTTGATCTCTTAGATTTCTAAGATGAGGTAACTTGAGTATTTTCTGAGTAAACTTGTCCCCATTGCTCACACAATGCACCAAGTAAAATAACATGGATCAAGGGCCGTAACTCTGTAAAGAAATAATTTATGGGACCAATTTCAAACGCAATCTTGACAAGTGTCTCTTAGGTAAGCATGCAAACTTTCAATCGAGTAACTTCAGTAGTTCCTGTGAAAACTTGTCCCCTGTATGCACTACAGTAGATACACTACAGATACACGGATATAATGAAAACGGATAGAGCGAACAAATGGATACAACAAACTGTTAACAAATCCCCAATTTATCTCCTATATATTATCATATAAAATTTACATACAAAACAAACTCTCAACAGCGAACTAACGTGTGTAGAGAACTGATATCTGATCCCCGACAAGCCCATCTACCACTAATTTAGTGACTTGTATAGTGAACTGAGAAATCTCACTCAGCGTCAAGTGTCAATGACAATTGGCTGTACGAAGGGGCGAATTAACACAATCGCAGCGAATCATCCCAATCACTGGTGACGATTCAACCTTGTTAAACTTGCATTATGTTAATCTTACACTTCCGCGCGTTTCTGAGCGAAAACGTATATAAAGAACAACGTATATAACGAACAGATTTCTCCGGTCCCTTGCAGTTCATTATATCCATGTTCTACTGTACATTGAAGAGCACAGAGCAAGGTGGTGAAGCAGGAGTCGACTGGGCCTCGTGTTCCCCAGTAAATCCAGTAATATAAAAGCATGGAGATAACCTTAGGTAACAGTAAGCATAGAACATCAATTGCATAGCAGGAAAACCTGATCTCATCAGTTTTTAGATGATAAACACATTTTATCATATTCCATTTATACTAAGAACTTCTTTTTGCTTTTCTTCAGAATGGAGGACTGTATTTAGTAAGAGTCACAAGACAGACGAGAGTGTATTCAAGAAAACAAAAGCTTACGAATCAATTAGAAAAACTCTTGACTTTCATCATGTCGTCGTCATACTGGGGTACCCTGGTGAGGGGAAGACAACATGTGCTAAATATATAGCCGAAGATTACAACAGCCACATGAGCAGCTCAGGGCCCAAATATGAAGTTTTAAATATCAGTTCTCCAGCTGAGTTCAAAGAGAAAGTAAACCCAACATCATTTCAGATTATCATTGTCGATGATATTTTTGGAACCCACACCGCCAACCTGTCTAAAATAGAGTTATGGGTTGACTACCTTGACATGATGCACTTTGTCGTGAAGGCAGGTACGTCGAAGCTAAGGCTGGTTATTACCTGCGGGCGTCATCTGTATGAGAAGGTTCAGCAGTATCTTCACGGACAGAAAGTGTTCCAAGAATGTCACGTGGTCGACATATCGGCTGATGGATTAGGTCTTCAGCCTCAAGAGCGGTCGGACATTCTTCGTAGTAATGCTGGCTATTTATCCTACGGTGATTCTGCCAACATGATGGCGTACAGCTCCTATTCGGGCTACCCCCTTTGCTGTAGATTGTATAGCATCAGCAAAACATTTCAGAATTTAGGAAGGGTCTTCTTCAATGATCCCTCCAAATATATTCCCCAAGAAATTGAGAAGGTTGATAGCTACGACAAGACGGTGTATGGTGTGCTGGTGTTTACAGCCTTGAATGGTGGCAGGATAAATCTGAGAGGGAAACTGATGTCAGAACTGGACCAGGAAATGTGGGAAAATCTGAAGAAGATCCTGAGGTTAATGAAGGCTCCTGTGGATGACCTTGAACTCTGGATCCTGCAAGAGGCAGCTAGAATTTTGTCAGGAGTGTTCCTGTTGCCGTTACAGAATGATAGCTATCGCATGATCCATCACCGTATCACGGAGCACGTTCTCAGACAGTTTTCCTACGGTAACAGTGCAATGCTGATAGAGATGGCCAACCCTGACATTTTCATGGAATTCGTCCGAAGTGGACAATATGGCGAAGGCATGCATGAGCGTACATTCAACGTCTACCCTCTTCACTATGACGTCCTAGCTCGTAGGTTGGTGTTTGACATCTTACAAGGAAAAATCCGGACTGCGAGCATGCATCAAACTTTCACAGATGAGAAATTTGTAAAACATTTCTTTGAGTATCTTGATCGTCTTGGCAACCTGGAAGCAGTATATCGAGCCAGGGATGAACATGGAAACTCCTTCCTGTTCTGGAGTGCATGGTATGGTAGAGACTTGGTGGTAAAAGGATTTGTTGAAAAGGAATCTTTGGCTCGCATGGCTGATGATGGTTTGGGCTCTGCCGAACAACGGATCCTCGCCTTGCTGGCTTGTTGCTACAGAGGGGGTGTCACTGAGATCATATCAACACGGTATCGACCAAAAGACGAGCCGGAGCCTGTCAAACCAACACAAGGATTGTCGGCACTTCTGAACGCAATGGTACCTGTCAATTCTACTGCAACAATACAAAATGCTGATGAGATCCTAAATTTTGAATTTAGTCTTCTTCTTGAAAACAAAGCCCTGCCTATACATTTTGCTGCTCTGGGCAACAATGGGCCTGCAATGAAACTAATTCTGGAGAAAGGAGCAGAAGTGAATGCTGCAACTGAACAGGGTGAGACTGCCCTCCATCTTGCTGTCTGCAAAAATGAGATAGAGGTAGTGAAGTTTCTGCTAGATAAGGGCGCCGATGTCAACGCAAAAACAAAGATGGGCAAAACTCCAATCCATGATGCTGTCTACTACAAGAAGACTGATGCAGCGAAACTGCTTTTAGAGAAAGGAGCTGATGTAAATATTCCTGCAGATGATGAAAGACCTTTGTTGCAAGTTGCAGTTGCCAACACAGACATTGAAATGGTGAAAATGCTAACTGAGAAAGGAGCAGACGTGAACAAGAAGGGACGTGATGGATGGACGCCACTACATGAAGCGTTCTACCTCGGGGATACCCAATCTGCTGAGCATCTGTTGGACAAAGGTGCTCATGCTTATGTCTATACAATGAGTGGCGTAGCTCCTCTTCATGAAGCCGTCAACAACTGTGACCGTGACCTAATTGACCTTCTGTTGGAGACTGGCGTCAGTGTTAACAACAGTTCCAGTACTGGAGAAACTCCCTTACACATAGCTGCAAAAAATGGTAACCTTGACCTTGTAAAGAAACTGATGGACATGGGCGCGGATATCAACGCCCGTGACAATAATGGGATGCTTCCTCTCAACGTCTCGGCAACTTCGTCCCATGGCGACGTGATGCATTACTTGATGGAAAGATCCGGGATGAATATTCCAAGGAGCTTTCCAGGACTAGAAAGACAACGAAATCCTTATGGAATGGATCGCTATAATATGTTTGATGATGATGATGATGATGATGATTATGGTCCTTACTCGCATCTTCCGCCGTACCTGAGACAGCAGTTGAGAAGAAGGCAGAAGTATATGTAAACCTTAAGGTAAGAAGTCCTGGCGGCGCTCGGGCCAGCTCACAGTGAGCAGAGCATGGAGCCTGGGAACGTGAAGACTCCAGATGGAGCCAGAAGGAGTATGTCATGATGACCCCATCATGAAAAATTGAATGACAGAGATTTGAACAGGGCCTCTACCTATTTACATATTTCAGTCACTTTGGCATGTATTTATTGAAGTGTTATAAATCATTATCATTTCTCTTACCAATCATTAATTTTCTGAAATTAGCACTTAAAATATGATCCTTACATAAAATAACTACTATTTTCTGAATTTTATATATCTAACACGCATGACAAGCCCTGTTGAGTGAAGAGGACCGCTGACTCCTGCCTCTGTATGTAACATTTGGATGATACTTGTGGATACTATATGTGGTATAGTAAACATTGACTTTATATGAAGTACTGGCTTAGTTGGTAGGTCAGCAAGGAATAACCAGTTGTTTTAAGATTCATATTTAATAATTCCTGTATTGTACTAACTTGCTTTTTTAATGCTGAGATGTAATAGTAAGATTGAAAATAATATTCTTCACTCCAAGGCCTTGAACAACATGAAAACTGTTTCTTGAACACAAATTGATCAGAATTTCGATAAAAAAAGAATTTCAAATAAGATCCAAACACATTTTTTGATGTTTTAATTTCACATGTTTACCATTCTGCTGGCATATTCTTTTAAGGATCTATACCACATTGAATGATATGGAACCTGTCTTAGGTTCTGGTGGCTATTTAGTATTCTACATCGAATGCCAAAGCTCCAAGAGTCACAGGGGTCCAGAGAACAGTATGAGTTAAGGTTGTTCAGTGTAAGAGTCAGTGTTCTAGAGGACTGGAGACGTGATGAAGAAATCGGCCAGTGTTGATGACATGAGAACTAGTCTCTGGAGGGAGACAAGACTAACACACACATAGGTGTCCTAGACTTGAAGAAGCATTAGGGGAGACTTAGGTTACAAAGCAGTGATATCATGACTGCAATTGAAGAACTCGGGATATCATTACTCCAAAATGGGGAAGCAGTGATATCATGACTGCAATTGAAGAACTCGGGATATCATTACTCCAAAATGGGGAAGCAGTGATATCATGACTGCAATTGAAGAACTCGGGATATCATTACTCCAAAATGGGGAAGCAGTGATATCATGACTGCAATTGAAGAACCCGGGATATCATTACTCCAAAATGGAGAAGCAGTGATATCATGACTGCAACTGAAGAACCCGGGATGTCATTACTCCAAAATGGAGAAGCAGTGATATCATGACTGCAATTGAAAAACCCGGGATATCATTGCTCCAAAATGGAGAAGCAGTGATATGACTGCAATTGAAAAACCCGGGATATCATTGCTCCTAAATGGAGAAGCAGTGATATCATGACTGCAATTGAAGAACTCGAATATCATTACTCCAAATGGAGAAGCAGTGATATCATATGATAACTGCAAATTGAAGCAGTGATATGATTAATGAAAATTGAAGAAGCCATGATAATATACTGCCATTTGAAGAGACCGTGATATTTAAACAAAATGGGGACACATGATGTTACAATGCACTGACAATGATGTATCTTTAATACAAATTGAAGTAATGATGTCATTACTTAGACAAAACATAAAACATTTTATCAGCACTGAGCAACATAAAATCATTCAAGCGGTGAAATCATAACTAATCGAGTTTAAAGAAGAAATTATGTAAATACCAAGATTAAAAGAAGTACTGCGAAAACTTTGGTGGCAGAAGCAGGGTTGGTTTCAGGATTGACAGGATGTGTTCCAGAAAGCAAAATATAATGGGATGAAATACATTCATAGTGAGATAACGTGAGCTTCTCTGAGTGATTGAACACCAGGTGTCGCGAATAATATGCTGGACTGACACCCAAGTTTCTGCTTCCATCTGTTGATTTTTGTGTTGCTGTAAATGAACATTAAATAAGTTTTGTGTGTAACAGTATGTGGCCTTCACACTTGATTTATTGTTAATGTAATTGTAGTCTTTGCTATTTCCATTCAATATTTAGACATCCAGGTCTTAACCAAGATTTTAACCAAGAGGCTTACCCTGCTCTTTATTTTTTATGTCCTTGTCTTAGAGACATTGTGTTTTTGCTAGGGCTGGGACGAGTTATTTACCGGGGTACCCACACCCCTATTACCCGACCCTATCCAGGTACCCCCTGTAGGTCCTAAGAGACAGGTACAAAATGTCCAATTGGAACATTTGATGGTACACCTGTCAAAATGTATTTAGATACACGTATAAACCGATCTGGTCATGCAAACACTGAAGTTGACTATATGTTTGCAAAACATATGAAGTCAGAAAGAAATGTGAACATTTGTTGCTTATAGTGTTACCATAGAGTTCTAGATAATTTTTGCCATTAAACAATATAATAATGGGACTAAACATGGGTCTGGGTAGTCCTTTGAGTACACACGGGTCTTACTCAGTACCCACCTGACCCGAGTACACGAGTTATCCATCCCTGCCATAGTTTTTGGTGATGAAAATGTTATTGTTTTGCTTGTATCTTCATGTCTTGTTGTTGTCAATTGTTATACACGCACACACAGGCATGCCTGTTCAGTGTTCGGAGTAAGCACCTGTTCTAGGCCCATGGCAATAGATCTTGTGTGGGGCTGTAGTTTCAAATTTGTATGGGTCCTTATGACCTGCAGTAAATTTGAGTGTTGATTTATTTGTCAAAAAATGCTGCAGTTTGTTTTAATGAGGGCCTGAAGAGTTCTGTGAGTGCCTGCAGCTTATAAAGTCTGTGGGTACTGGTGGCAGCCTGGTAATTTATTATATTTCAAACACTGCATGTTGCTATGTAAGTACAATAATCTTGAACACAACTTTAAACCCCATTTCACCTCACCTCACCTTTTAAAATTCATTACATGGAGACAAGACTCCAGCAGGAACCTCTCGGTGCGGTGAAATGGGGTTTATTACACTTATATGGTGTGATACATGCATGTGTGGGTGTGCTTGTGCTTGTACTGGTCCTGACTCTCAGTTTTTTAGTGCCAGCCCACTGAGATACCATGCTGCAGGATACAGACTCCAAGTCAACTGGTTCTTGTTTTACCCTTAAATGCCAAGCACCCTGCCTGGCAACAAGTACCATCTTTTTATTAGCTGAATGTCCATTACGAGCTTTGAGTGGATTACTAATATAACTTGTATTTTGTTTGTTGTGCAGGGCTAATGAAGGACACTTTTGTGTACCCTTAAGGCCTTTACTAGCACCTTCAGTTTTCTTGTTTCCATGGTGTTCTGTGACAATATCATACCATGAAATATAACTTGGCGATTCAAAATGTTCTTAGGCATTCCATTAGTTTAAGCTTTCCATGGTTATTGGTATTTTAGTGTCATGGAAATTTTCTCTTTTGCCTTGTAACCTCTGTATGACAAGTTGAATTTCTATGGAAAACTGATTAGGAAAGGGCTTGCAATTATCTTGTGGTTCCTTGTTTTTTATATGCAGTCAATAAAAAATTATACAAAAATCTCAAATTTTTGTCATATCTAAGAATCAAATCTGATGGGTCACAAATGAATACACTGCTTTGGTACAAAGCTGATTACGTATGAGTGAGTGAGTGAGTGAGTAAGGTACTATTCCACTTTGATCATTATTTCATATACACCATGGTGTGTCAACTTGATGTGGGAGGAAAGCCCCATGTGATGCAGGTGCACCACTTTGTTGAAATCCATAAGCATGGGTGTGGACAAACCTAGAAACATGATCAGAGCAAACCAGGATTTGAACCCACGCTGGAAGGTTTCTCACACGCATAGCCAATTCCAACACCTTAGACCGTGCTCCTGTATTGCTATTGCAATAAGTGAAATGAAGAAACAAAAAAAATCATGAGAACAGGTATGATCCTGCCAAACCAGTTATCAAAATCTGCAATTTCAACCCACCATCGAATATTGATGAGTGCAGTGTTAAACAACGAACAAACAAACATCAACCCACAGTCATAGATAGCATCATGGCACGCCGAAGTGGATTGCAGCATCACCTACGCCAATGGGCAACATGGGTGCAAGTTCAGCTTGAGATTTCAGTGTTGCATGTGGTGTATCCTCAGGCACGAGACTTCACCCAGCAGTAAATTGGTACCCAGTAGGAGATCATAATATGACTGTCAACTTTCTAGCGCCTTACAGACAGCTTGGGTTGTATACTCTCCAGGGAGCTGAGAATAGAAATTGAGTGTACACCCACTGAACTGGGTAGTAATGTAGCAGTTTGAGCATGCTTATGGTGTGAATTTGGTGCATCATGAATATGCGACCCGTGGAGATCCAGGGTAGAATAGGTCTTCAGCAACCCATGCTTGTCGTAAAAGGCGACTATGCTTGTCGTAAGAGACGACTAACAGGATCAGGTCGTCAGGCTCGCTGACTTTGTTGAAGTATTTCAGTGAATCCCAATTGCGTGGATCGATGCTCATGATATCAATCACTGGATTGTCTGGTCCAGACTCGATTGTCATAGACCACTGTCATATAGCTGGAATATTGCTGAGTGGGGTTGTTTATATTGCTGAGTGCGGCGTTAAACAACAAACAAAACAATAAATCTGCAACAAAATACAAAAAAAACAGTTTTGTATATAATGTTTTAATTTCCATCCTGGAATGAGAAATATGCTGACCATCCTGACAGTATTGGTGTACATGACCATGCCTGGTTGTCCAGTCTTCAGCCATCTCAGTGAGCATGACAGTGTATCTACAATCCTCCTCACCAAGCACTGTGTCACAGTGTGGGCGGGAGCTACATGACTTACTACTATCACATTGCATCATCATAATGCCATTAGCTTCATGTTAAATATACAACAAGAGTCTCAGATACCATTTCTTTACAGTAAATGCTAAGTGGGAACACTGCCAACATGCTCCATTTGATTTGTGAAAACGTTTCACACAAGTGGGACAAACAAGCTGTTATCAAACTGTTGATGGCATCTAGAACAAAATGAAGACGTCTGAAAGGATAGGTGTACACTCATGCATCACTGACTTCCACCACCTAACTCCTTGAGAACAACCAGCAATTTAAAGGTCACAGTGACATGACGTCTCCATGAATAGGCCTAGAATAGCTTCTCATACAATTCCTGAAAATAAAATTTCCGAAAACTCCCAACACAAGTCAATACTTGGAAGATTTCTTCAGTTTCTGAAGAAAACTTATCTCAAAATATTTTAATTTCAGTGATTAGGTGTCAGTCCAGAATAAGAAATATGCTAATATTATTAGAAAAAATGTTTCTTTGCTGGAAGAAAATCTGACCATGAATATTGCCAAGAATAACATTTCTTTTGAAAGGGCTTTCCGCACAGTTTTAGAACAGTGTTAAAGCAATGTTTATAGTTTAATAAATACATGTAAAATTGTATTGAACAATATCTTTTAGACAAAAACATTTGACACTGGAAGCATTTTATGGATGCAAGACCCCAATAAATGTGAGCATGTTGATTAGCTCTCATTCTCACATTCCGGGCAGTTTGCGTTCAACGATTCCAGAATCAAATTTAATCCCTATCGAAAGTGTCCAGAGCATGCTAAGCTACAAGCAGAAATATCATTTATGTGCACTAAATAATTGTAAGTGAACTATTTACCATCTAATTTAGAAAGCAAAGCAGTGTAAAAGCATTTTTCTTAATAAACATTCTTAATATACCTTCATGTCAGAATGATGAGATCTGATTGGTTCACGTGATCTTGATAAAATACTATGTATCCAGCCTTGGACTGACTGAGTTGGGTTTAACGCCGCTTTTAACATTATTTCAGTTATATCACAGCATGTCAGCGTAATGTGGGAGGAAAGCCCGTAGTCATGCAGGTCTAAGACGTTTACAACTTCGGTGAAACCCACGAGCACGGGTATGGTGCTGACAAACCTAGAAACATAATTGGAGCGAACCTGGATTCGAACCCACAATCATAGGTTTCTGGCGTGCCCAAGGGACGCAACTCTGCACAGCAAATCGCGGCGCCTTAGATGACTGGGCCACCCGTGCCCCCCCCAGCCTTGGAGGAAAATGAATTTCTCAGCGGGGGAATATATCCCTTATACCCTGCCACAAACAAGACTGTCTGCACATAGATTTCTGAGAGGGGGAATAAATCCCTTATACCCCACTTCAAAGCAAAAAGCTACATGCTTTTTCCAAGTCAATGAAAGTCACGTGACATAGCACAAGTTAACCTCAGCTCAAATGAATATTGTTTTCTATCAATTCTGAATTTGTTTTTATTCACTAAGATAAAATTCGCTGTAGCACTATCACTCAGGGTACATGGGGTTTTATGCATCCCCCGTTAGGCTTCATACCACTTGTGATGTGTGACACATAATACCTCAAGTCATACTGCTACAACTTACAATATACTTTCATAAACTTAACCATTTACTGAACAAAGAGTATTTTTCAGGTAATCAAAGAAAACAACCTAATACATGTCCCAATCTAGAAATCTCGTATTTAAGACGGTCAAATTTGAAAAAAAACATCTTCTTTCTGCTCTAGACTACCACTAATCAGCAACAAAATTCACTGAGATGGACAAGACAATCTTTCTACAACATAAAGTCACAGAATCAGCATTCTCTCATTTTAATAAATACAAACTAATATCATACACTCTTACAATCATAATGAAGTAAGATCATTGCAGTAATTTACAACAAAACAACATAAATTGCAAACAAGGACGGCTAAGGCAAAAACATCTTTCACTGCATGCTGTAGTTTCTACAGTACCTTTCAAGCCTTCCATTGATAAATATATTTATAACAATATAACGTAAAGGAAGAAGTATTAGTATACCAAATACCTACAATATAACAACCAAGTGCCATGATATGAGAAGCTTGCACTAGGCATGGTGTATCTATATGATATGAAGCAAACAAAACAAATCATCACTACGTCAGTATAAGCACTACATTTTCCTTTGAGACATTCGCCAGGCTGTAATAATTACAAAACTCTTCACCACTTTTAGCAATATACCAGCAATATCACGGCAGGGGACACCAGAAATGGGCTTCACACATTGTGTCACCACTAAGTGAACTGATGATATATAAATGATATATTATGTCTGTATTAGTTACAAATCTCTCACACATTAATGTCCAATGTAGCAAAACATAACCAGATTTTTTTTTTTGATCTAATGATATGGAGGTAAGATTAGGAATCTTTTGGGTCCACAAGATCGGTAGGATTTAAGAAATGAGGAAAACTAAAAATCTTGATGAGTTATTATTAATCTGAATTAGACTTTTTTTTTCCAACACATGCATGGATTTAGAACCACACAAAATGTATAGGTATTGCCAAAATGTCTTTGACAGCAGCAGGTCATCATGTAAGTAACACATACAGATGTAAGTTAGGACAGCAACACATGGCGAAAACTTTGTCATTGGTCACTTGCTCATAGAATTTCTCCCAAAATTATAAAATCTACCTTTTTCACTAATTTTAGTCCTGTGTTTGATCGTATAAGTCCAAAACTTGCAACTGCCAGATGTTGGTTGTTATTTAACATTTCCTAAAACATTCATAACAATCTTTTCTGTGAACATAGTATTACTATTTTCAGTGTGCAATAGCTATTGTGACCCACCATGAGAAAAGTGACCTTAAGGGTGGTAGGAAACAACTGTGCCTCGACGTCATAAAGAAAGACGTTTGATACAAACTTAATATGATCAGGATTGTCACGAAACCTGAAAAATTTACAGAAAATGAGTCCAAATGTATGGGGCCATGTATCTCTGTAATAAATATGAATTGAAGCTTGCTGATTGTAGTTTTTTGTTCCTAAGATAATGTAGTTTTAAAACATGAGATGTGATTTTTCACCCATAAGGACCCTTTTCTCATGTGGATCAGTTTTTATTCTTGTCTTTTTCTTAAAATAAAAATTACTCGTGTGAAAAAGTTCAGTTTACATGAATGAAAATGTCTAACAGAAAAAGAGATAAATCAAGCACAATATGGTTCATGTCTACCACAATGCGAGGCTACATCCATGCAAAACTAGCTCATGCATTTGAAGAGGGACACTTTGGATACAGAAGTAGAACATAAACATTTTTATATTTGTTGCATGACACCAACTGCATTGGCAAACTGTCCACATGTAAGATGTTGTTCATGTTGTGGTTATAAGGTCAGTATAAAACAAATCCGAAGCATCGTTCAACATTTAACCTTCGAAACAACATATCTGCTGATACAGTAGATAATTCATGGTTTGGCAGCAATGTGACAGCATCAGTGAATCCAACATTATTATTTCAGATACAGCAACAGGGCAATATATTTTGTTCCATGTTGGAACTTAATTTCATCCCTTGGACCAACCATTGTGTTCATGGTAGGGATATATCTCTTTGAGACAAGGACATTCTCACAACAGTGTGTCTGCTCACCAGGCATCCCAAATACCTTCAGAATCCTTTCATGTTGGCAAGGATTCATTATATCCGAAAGTAGTGCAAAGATATTTTCTTTAGGCACATATTTCCCTCCAGGACAATCCCAGGCCACCTCCTAAATGTAGACAGCCTGTCCTCTGATTTATTAAATTATATTAACATAAGACCACATAAAAAAAGATGTTTTCATCACTGACAAACACTAAAGACTATTAGTGAGCGAAAATGGTTTTACAGCGCTTTTAGCAATATACCAGTAATATCACGGCGGGGGGACACCAGAAATGAGCTTAATACATTGTACCCATGTGGAGAATCAAACCCAGGTCTTCAGCATGACAAGTGACCACCAGGTCACACAAAAAAAATCTGTACTTCCGTGTTCTAATTTACTGTAAATTTCAGCATAGTGAAATTAATTATTTAAAAAAAATATGTTTTAAACAGTGATGAGAAACAACATTTTTTGTATGGCTTAATACAGGACATGTAACATGATTCAAAGATTTCAAACTTCTACTGTCAGCTTGATCTACTCCAAGTACCGTATTCGACGTAATAAGCGCCCAGGGTGCTCTCAAAATTAGAAATAGGGGGCACTTATTGGAATATTATTTTAGTGAAAACAAACAAGTTAAAAGATAAATTTTGTGGTTTATGCTGACAGCCTGAAATATTTATGTACGACAGATATATTTTTCCAGAATTGAATTGCCCATAATTAAGTGTGCATATAACACATAGTTGCATATTATACGCGAATAAATAAGTCTTGTGTACATTGATCAATCGGAAGGGGTGCTAATTAGGATTGTTCACTGGCCAATATATTAGCAAATATCGCCGTGGGCGCTTATTAGAGCGGGGCTCTTATTACGTCGAATATGGTATATGGACACAGAACCCCAGCACCTGGTCACTCCAGCATATATATGTGCATACATTAGGAAGATGAAAGTAATGGCAACACTAAGCACAGTGTGTACAGTGACTTAACATGGGCATTTGAAGGCAAATAAGCTCCCAGGCCCATTCTGTACTCCGTTAACTACGGCAGTGGATGGCTGCAGGTGATTAGTAAACTCAGGTTTATACAATTTGTGCCTTGGTTGGAAACGAAGACTGAATAAGCCTGCACTGTAGTGAAGCAATGTCCAGTGGTACATGTCAGATCTATTCATTGTAAACATGAAATTATATACATATCTCTGTTATCTGTTCTCTGTTATTAGCACTATTTATGCCAAAATCTTTTGAGTCCACTTGCCAGACCATCTCTCTCAGCATCACTTTCTGGAACCTTAGTGTTACAATAAGGATTACAATTGCTTATGTGACCAAATAGAATTGATCAGACTTGGGATTCAGACAGATAAAGTGACAGGTTGTCAGCATGTCCAGTATCGTTAGTGAGCAGTCTATCTGTCTGTCACCACTGTGGCTGGACAATCATCACCAGTATCATACTTTCATCAACTGGGCTTACAGATCCTTAAATATGAAATTTACCAATTAAGGTATAAAATAAAAATTTGATTATTTTTTTCTTCTGGCTGACTGTTATCCAATTTTAGTAACAAAACATAATGTCAGTAGTAGAAGGGAAGTAACTCTTTGAATGTCATCAAAAACATACATTTTAAAAATTTCTTTGGTTCTTTTGTTTACCCTAACCAACTATATTTTTAACATGATTAAGACATGAATTTCAAAACCATGTTTCAAAAATGTATTTTGTTTCAAACACTGACCACCAAGCCTAGTGATTTTAGAACATTCTGTAATCCCGATAATTACCCCAAACAGGTCTTATTGTGTACAGGATCAGCTTCTCGTGTGTTCAGCAGGAGAAATGTCAATAGCATGCTTCAAACAAAATCAGAAATATCACTTCTATAATCTGTTTGAGGTAAAGTTTGTAAATAGTTGGTAATTTTTTTAATTTGTCTATCATTTGATTCCTCACATCAACATGATACAATGTCACATCGTACAATATAAATCTTTGATTATCAACTCCCCAGAACATCCTCCATTTGAGGAACATTCAATCGATCAGTTCACATGACAAGTAACAAAGCAATACTATAAGCATCGGATAACTGATGATAAGTGCTGAAATCTGTCTTAAAAATATACTTCTAATCAGTATTTGAAGAAAACATTTCCTTTGGTATTTGCCAATGTACAAAATTCAACATATTTTGTTCATCATGATGGCTGACAGATACAATATTTGACAACTCTCTTCTCCAAACTCAGTAAGCTGAAAAGCCAAACTATTACAGCATCAAAAGATGAAGAGTGGAATCCAAACATTAGCTGAAGCTGAAGTAAAATAATCAATTCTTTACAAAGAGCAACAAATAAGATGCGTATAAGGTTTAAGGATAACAATTATGATAACACAATTACCACGGACTTACACCAAGCAACAAGGTCTCACCAGCACCAGATAAAAGTTTGACACTCGTTATGAGTCTTTAAGTATTAACTATCAGGTTCATTCCAACAATATTCACATCAACATATTATGTACCAAGCAAATAATATTTACAGGTTAATTCTTGAAATGGGTAACAATGTTGACAATGAATATTCATTTAAATGTGAAACTCCATTCTCATCCCCTGTACAACATCACAATCAATAAGTTTGCCGAAAAGAAAAACAGGTTCTGTGTTTCCGTACCATACAGTTAACATTCAGACTCTTCCAAAGGTAGAATAAACATAAAAATTTATACAGAACATATGACACTGATATTCAAATTCTAACAAATGGGAGTCATTTAAAAATGTAGCCGAGTTAATATCATTTAGATCCCAGGGATACATACTGGTTCATATTCAACAGAGATTCTATTCAATGATTAAAAAAAAATCAAAAAAAATTTCAATAACTTAAGCACAATTTTCTAACCAAAATGCAACTGATCTCTTGACAAAATCAAAAAAAAAAACATGCTACTGAAGCCTTTTTTAATACAATCCTACTTGAACAGTCCAAAATAGAGAACTGATGTCTTTGCATTGTGTGTCAAAATAATGTAGCCAACGAAATCACTTGGCCCACCCCGTCAAAACGTACCCTACATACAGCATCCAATAAGAATATTCAGAGTAGGATTTGACAGAAGATCCAATAGAAATCCAATTTAAGCATAATCTAACCACTATGACTGTCATAGCTCCCATATTCTATCACAAAGAAAGTCGTAGAGCTAAGATTGCATGCAGAACAGGCCCTATTCTCAAGTCTGTCGGACACATCCCAACCATTGTGATTCTGCTGATGTTGTGCAGGGTGTGAGAATGGTCCCGTAGAAAGGTTACCGTGATGACTATACACAGGCTATCCCTACCTTCCCCCTCTGTTATCTGTACAATCGTTTGTTCTGACACCTGCCTCGTTATGTATGGTTACAGTAGAGCATATGTATGATAAATATGCTACATATATACATTCTGAATCACTCTAGATTCATAATGGTGTTTTTATAACACAGGGAGTTGAGATCATGATGCAAAAATAATCCATATAAAAGGCAGAAATATACACAGGTAGGGATGAGGATGATGATGAAGATGATGATTCAATGTACATATTTATAGATCATAAGAGTGGTAGATGTAATATGGCCAGCATATTAACACATCAACTGTGTAATAACCCCATTCAGCATAACCTCCAAGGCTTCAAATCAAATAATGTTGTGGTTCTAGTCAAGTTTCTGTACAGACAAATTTCACATTCTCATCTCATGTATGTCTGGGCTGTAATGTTAGATACTTGTGTTACATGACACTGCAGGGTTAGACATGTCCGCTAGTCCTACAGTCTGAGACCATCAGGAATCAAGAAGGGCAAGACACATTTGATCAGAATCTAGGCATGACAGTGAACTAGTACAAAAAGTACTGCTGGATTTAGATTTAATTCATGATGTTGCCCCTGCATTGACAACAAACCAGTCAAAAGTTTGATATACATAAGTTTGAACCACAACATCATTATTCAGGCCCAACTTAGTTTCACAGATAGACAGAATAGACAAAGGATTTCAGAGTGATGGCATAGAAATGGTTTCCATAACACATGAGAAATAATGTATTTTAATAAGCTGGCAGCAGCAGCAGCAACCTTGATGGTTCCATCCAAGATGACCTGATAAACAACCAGACCACATACAAGCATTGCTTATCAATAAATGACACTGGTAGCCTGTTTATGACAAAAAGCCGTATTTAGTTGCATAGCAGCATTGAATGAAAAGTTGTATAGCAAAACAGTGTTAATTCAGTTTATGAATGACATGAGAATCAATCTATCACGATTCAGTTTTGGTTTTCATTTATGAAATTACGATTTCTTTTTCTTTCTCGTCTCAATTTGAAGAACCAACACATGCATACAGAGACAGTGTACACTGGTACACATTGTGGAAGATTTCAAGCATCTAGTAAGGGAGATAACTCTCACTTAACTCTTCATTTGAGAAAAACCATGCAGAAAATGTTGGAAACTTGATCACTGTGTCAGTCAGATTTGACGATAATACTTCTTCAAGAATAGGGATGTCACAATATATGATATGATACACATCAGTGTATACCTCACAATACATATGAGGATCATGCACTGCATATATATATCTTATTCTAGCTTATTCTACAAGGATAGAACAAATTAGAAGAAAATGAGAATGAAATGTGATGATAATGACTCATTGTTTCAGCTAGTTCTAAATATACACAAAAGCAAGAGTAACTGTGATAATGTTCTTATTTGTCACAATCCAAAATTCCTCTCTTCATCGTTGAAGATTTCAAGTGTAACGATGTTCAATTTGGATGCAGGTAAACCCATACGTTTTCTAAGGAAGTCATAATTTTCGAAAATTAAACTTTCAAATAAATGTTGTTCAGCGCATTTTGTGTTCTTTTCAAGTTCTGGTAAAATGTCTGGTCAGCGTAAGTCCCCATTTATGATTTACAGCTGTCTGTAAGGAAAGTAACTGAAAGTGTGACTTTTTTCTTTACCCCAAAAAGAATATAACATCATAAATTAATCTACCCTGGCCCATCTTCACAAGTGGTTTGTTTACACAATTAAAAGAGTGATCAATCTATATATCAATGATATCTTACATAATCATAACCACTTTTGCCTTTGTGTATATATCAGTAATCTCGTTCTTATTTTTCACACCTTTCAACGGATACTCAACAAATGTTACACATCATTTGTATCGAAACGAAAAATGAAATTGTGCACTGTGTCTAAAAAACAAGTTAATTGTTAGTCTGGTGCATTGTGACATCCCCAGTCAAGGAAATCAATTGCTTGCAAGAGACAATGATGCAGAGATGTCAAGAACAGTTTCAGTCAGTGAAAGCAAAATCGGCTTGCTTATATTACACGTTTCTTTCAAAATATTGGAATTCCCTGATCTCTTGCAAACTGAATACACAACCTTTAATGCACAGCAAGGATTGTGAACATGACTGTTTCCCCAAAACAATATCAGTAACCTTTTGTGAATTAACATCATTTGCCAGAAAATGTACAAAAACCTTTACAAACAAATGCCATAAAATGTGATGTTAACTGAAATTATTCATGTTGTACATTAAGAATATGTCTAAAAATGTCTATGCGCAAAACAAATTCTGATGTTAATCCCTTCATCTCAAAACGACCATGTGCCACCTTGCTATTACATAAGTAACCGTGGTAACCATGCCAAAACAGCAACAAGGCTTCAAATTTGACAGGTAGACATATCCATACAATCCACAATGACCACTGTAACGTAATACTGTTTTTTTCTGATTGTTAAGACATTACATGATTGACACTGGTTTGACAACACTACCACAGATTGTTAAATGATAGATGTTGATGAAGATTATAATTGTGTAGTTAGCAAGTTTTATTGCATTCAGTGATTCATCACAACTCTAATTCTCTAAATCAACAAGATGAATGAGTGATAGATTAGCAAGTGTTGCACATGCATGAAGATGATGTCACGCATAACGACGCGTCGACTACCAATGCATATACAGACTAGGCCCTGACAGGTGAATATATAGAGTCAAACAGGGGAACTCTAGCACTCCCACGCGAGGTGACGAGCACTGATGAAGACAAACTTACATACGCCCTATGTCGGCTGGCAGTTTACCTTCCCCTGAAACAGGTCAGATATACATATAGAAACACCATTGTCTTATCGGGTTAGAATATACCAAGGTAGGCAGCAGGTAGGGTCTAGAAACAACCCTCACGCCAACTTTCATCAGAGTCCTGAGATGAGGGAGGGCGCGGTGAAGAGGCATTGGATCTGAAACGCAGATGTAAACAGGCCATGGTCAAGGTGCATGCACTGTCTATCATGCCATATCAGTATAAAAAAATGAAAGGTAATATCCAAAATCTATATGACATTATTTCATCTCAGTTATCAGACTATTGAAAGAACATGCATTATTCAAGGATTTGAGTGGGTCTTGATTAAAGCTTCTCAAAAACCTTTTTCAGTTATATCAGAAAGTGTCAGAATAATGTGGAAAATCCAATATGAGGCTGGTCGTTTGGCACTTTGGTCAAACTTTCAAGCCGAGGTAGAGTTCTGACAGGATCACAGTTGAGATGCGAAAACAGTCAGCAGATCCTTGCACGGCCAAGGCCTGCAATTGTGTGCACAGGCTCCCCTAGACCTCTTGACCAACACTGCCCGATTACATTTGGAAGGGATAATGTAATGAAGGATTACACAATTAAAATGAGCTTGACTATCAGATACAGCCAACCTATCTAAAATCTCCATATTCTTGGACATACTTTGTCTTTACTATCAAGGAGGCTAACACAACAAACTACCTTGATAACTGGTGACATGTCCCTAGCCCCTTGACACATCCTACTTCAATGATGTACTGCTAGTTTGAGTGAGGCATAACAAAACAAACACAAAGAGCATGAAACATAATGGAACAGTTACAAGCAATTCAGGTTTATAAACAGAATCTCACCCAAGTATCTATTGGTATCAAATATGTAAACATGAGTTGATTTAAGAATTGACCTTCACTTTGTGTGAGTTCATTGGAGTATGAACCTTCATAGAGTGAGGGCCAAACTGTATGAACGTCGGAGCTTGAGGGCCAAATGATTTCATATGTTTGCTATCAAAAGACATGGGTGGATTCTAATTATCATACAAAATCATTCTTCAAACTCTTTCTGTTCATAAACAGTAAAGAACCAGTGCCTTGAATGTAAAAAGTAGAGCTAACCAGCTTTAGTGGCAGAGAGACAAGTGATGTCTTTTGATTGTGATGTCATGGTAACCAATGTCATCACAATGGTCTGCAAAGCATTGTGATGCAATTTAATTGTAGTAATATGTCCAAGGAGATAAAGACAGATATTTATAATAAATTGCTGTCAGCATTGATATTCAATAATTACTGAGGACTAAAAACTAACATTAAAATCTAATGATTTGAACAAAATATGTTACCATGGAGAGAAACATGCCAAACTTAAGCTACATCAGTAGGATAATTTCACAGATGTTTACAGAGCCAATGTGCCTGACAGAATCAAAGAGCATGGTCAAAACAAGGTAAAAAATCTAAACATTGTGAACAGAGCAAATGTGTTGAGCCCAATAAGTACACAAATACCAAATTTCATTACATCTTGAACAAAAAGGCTGTGCAATGGCAATAAGAAAGAAGTTTCAGCTTTCAGTGTGGTCAAAGTTCTAAGGTCAAAATTCAATATATTGCACACACACACAAAAAAAATATATATGCTGAGCCGCATTACTAACTACACATGTACCAAATTTCTTGCATTTTTTTAAAGATATGTCAGAGTAAGGGTCGATATAGGTTATTTTTTCAAAGAGGCTGTAAATAAAACAAAACTGTAAACGCCATCTCATGCTGCTTTTGTTCTCTAAAGCTGCCAACCTACCTTCTAGGAGTGGGGAGGGATGTCCTGCCAGTGGCAGGGCGCGGGATTGTCCTGCGGGTGGGAGTAGGAAGACCACTTCTGGAGGGGGACGTAGCCCGACGGGGGATCTGGGCAGGTTGTTTGAGTCCCCCCATGGCTGGCGATGCTGACCGGAGCGCAGGTTGCTGAAGACGGGACATATTACGTGCCTCTGGGGCGAGGTTATTCTCATCACTCCCTACTGACTGATGGTCTAGACTCGAGTCACTGGAGTGAAGGCCGGGCTGGGGGTACTGCAGGCGGGACACATTCGGTACACTTCGACGACCACTTGGAGATTCTGGAAATATAGTAACAATGTCTGATAAAATAAGTGTTAATACTAAAGGCTGACAGTCACCACATCAAGTTTTAGTTGTCTGCAGTAGGTGAGTGAGTGAGTGAGTATGGTTTTACGCCGCTTTTAGCAATATTCCAGCAATATCACGGCGGGGGACACCAGAAATGGGCTTCACACATTGTGCCCATGTCGGGAATCAAACCCGGGTCTTTGGCGTGACGAGCGAACGCTTTAACCACTAGGCTACCCGACCGCCCCGTCTGCAGTAGGTAGCCCTAACTCTGATGATCACTGAACTACCATGGTGACTGCTAACTCCTTGTAGTGAGAAAGTGAATATGGTTATGCGCCAGTTTTAGCAATATTCCAGCAACGTCACAGCAGAGGACACAAGAAATTAGCCTCACACATTGTACCCATGTGGGTATCGAGCCTGGGTGACTAATGATCACTTAACCTACCAAGGTACCCCACCGTCTGATAACTCCTACGTGCATGTTATATTATGATGTGGTCAGCAATATTCCAGCTAGATTACAGCTTTCAGCAGTCAAGCAAAAAATGACTAAAAAAGCAAGAAATCAAGTATGAGCAACAATTCAATCGGGACATGCCGTGCCAATTGTTTTAATGAGGCACCAATTTTTATTGTGAATGGAAATATTTTCCAGAAAACATCCAAACACATCCTCTCCACACCCCAGCCACTGGGGTACTACCACTATCTCTCCAAAACCATGGTTCATACTTGAGCCACCAAAATTAATCCTATTTCAAGACCTTTTGAAGACAATGATCACACTTTTCAAAGCAGATTAAAACTTAAGGCTATTTCCATGCTGGACTACCATTTACATGGTGTGTGAAGCATGGCTTACGTAAATCTTGACACTGTAAACACAGTAACCACAGAAACGTATCAAAAACAATTTTGGTGGAATCACTGCCAATACAACATTGAATTTAAAACCTCTAATATTACATAATCAGAGTATTAAACATAGGTCTTGCTGACAAGAAACATTCACATCACCCGGCAACAAGGGAAAACATGTCAGTCAACACGAAAAACACAAGCCGCAGAAGAAGCACGGAAAAGCATAGAAACGCTGAATACCACAAGAAAAAAAGATAGATAACACACCAAAGGACCTCAAAACAGTTTGAAACACACGCATCAAAGGATAGATTCTTCGGAAATCAGGCAAGAGATCGTCTCTCATGTCCTTTTTTGGTAGCAAGGAAGAGTGATAATGAAATATAGGGGATGTGTCTTCCGACACCAGAAGTCTCAGAAGTCATGGAGGTCAAGTTGGGCAAACGAGTAGTGAAGACACTAATAGACTCATTCATTTCCAGTTAGGACTTTGTTAGTAAGAGCAATGTGCAATATGTGATGTAGGATAACTTAAAAATAAACAATTTCTCTTGATGCAAAGTCTTTGAAATTTAGGGCATCCTTGCAGTCAAGGATGAGTATCATTTTCTTCTTGTATGGCCAGCATATGCCTCATTAAAATTCTCCATCCCAGTGTTTTTGAATTAAAATCTACTTTAAATTACCCTGGCTGTACCCCAATTCTCAATGTTTCTTAATCATGCTATGATGTATAAGTAAAACAAGCCTTTATTGATGCTTTATTGAATCTATGGACCAATGGGCTTGTGGTCTCTTCAGTGCATAATTACACATTGATTACCTATGGACAAAGACCCCTTATGGTTAATTTGAACACTGATGTACCAACCTGTGGTAAATGGGTTAGCGCCAGGGTTGATGTACTGACTAGCATGTGGACTATCGGGGGGACTGCTGGCATCGGAACCAAGGCTGTTTCTGTGGCGCTGATGATACATGCCATCACCTGCAAATGAAAAAAATCATCATATAAATACATGAAAGTGATTCTATGGCAATTGATTGGATAAACTTACAAAAAGAATAGGCCATGCCCACTAACAGACTACTGTTTCCTGATTGGCTGATTGCTGAAAGGGGCGGGGCCTGTGTTGTACTATTGCACTGAACGATGTCACCGATTTCATATTGTTGTCTCCAGTCTTTATTTGTGTTCATGATTAAATAAGCGGCCTGTGAAGTTATTTATTGTTGACATAAATATTAATATATAATGATAAGAATCAACTTAAAAATATTGAAATGTAAATCCAGTGGACACCATTTTAAATGTTTTTACTTAATAAAGGCAACAAAATACTGAAATCAATTCTTAAAAATATCTAGTCCAGATCATCTGATTCATAAAATCCAAACTCTAAATCTAAAATCTGTACTTCATTTGTTTGCTTAATAATTAATTCTAAATTAGATATAAACAAATGATGAAAGCTGACAAAAACTGGGAAATGAATTACTTAACCTTGAACCACATACCAGTGTTATTGGTAAATGGACAAACAAAATGATTCCAGTACATACTATCAAAGCGTCCAGGACTAGATCTATTAGAACCGCCAGGAGAACCGCTGTTGTCTGTATCACTGGTACCAAACTGTCCCGGCAACTGACGGGCACGCAGACCTAGAAAGGGGAATAACTCTGTCAAAAGGCTCAGTAGTTTAATTTACTTTCCTTGTAATGAGTTTATAAGGTATCGCTTTACAGCAGATATAATTATGGAAATGTCTCGTATATGACGGCATTTGACAAAACTGTTGGAATGATTAGGATGAACAAACAAGACAAACCTTTCCTCGGTGATGCATTTATACTCTGTCGTAAACCTGAAAAGAGAGTTAAATAATAAAGATATTTTCAATAAAAAGGCTTATTTAGAGTTCTCAATGAATTCAATGTTTAAACTCAGGGTTTTATCCCAACTTACAATACTGGGGGTCCTTACAGTAAACTAAAGGTCCTGTAATGTACTGAACTGATGTAGTGTTCTTACTGTAAGATTTGATAATGATCTTAATTAAAGAACCTGTATATTTCTTGTCAACAACTTCGTACAAAGAACATAATTGTGCAGCCCTTGGGATGCAATCCCTTTTTTTTCGTTCGTCCAGTCTATACATATGTATGTACTGGACATACATGTCTGCATTGTGTTAAAACCTGTTAACGTCATCATTAAACACAAAATGGCATCATTGCAATAGTTCTGTTCCCCAACTGAACTATATAAGAGCAGATAACATCTGAAAGGATCAGAAAATAAAACTGAGCGACATGTTCCAAATGGAAATAATTTGTGAATTGTCATCTTAACTGTCATGGGGGCCAAGGCTTTCCCAGTTACATCTCCTTATAACAAACAGTTGTGACAAATATATTTGGTAACCATGCATTTCAACTATCTACTTTAGAGCCCCAAAACATATTTTAGGAACTTGATTCACACATATGTTCCAAGAAGAACAGAAAAGGAAAGAGGTCCAACTGCACCAAAAGTATTTCAAAATTATATTTCCCAATATTATAACCAATTGTACTGTCTTTTCAACCTTTACTATTAAATCTTCAAATCCAAACCTTGCAAGTAACACATGATATACACTGAACACTGACACTGCCTTAGGGACATATCTCAGCATGCTAACCATGAGGTAAACACTCTCCGACTTCCATAAAAGTTATAAAAGAAACCGAGAGTGCTGTCTTACTTTCTTCCTGCATTTTGGCCAGAGTCTCTATGTCAGCAACATTGGCGTTTCTCTGAGCGTCGTCACGGGGATCATTCTCCTTCTCAAAGTTGCCGGGCTGTAGTTTTTCTCGACCCTTCTTTGGTCGAGTGAAGGTGCCTGTGTCAACACGACTGCCGGCTGTGGGACAGAGAGCAAGGATGGTGACCACCAAGTATGGATAACACGGACAGCAATACACAGGAAACAGGCAGGACTATAGTGATGACATGGTGGTGACCATCAAGTATGGATAACATGGAGCAACAATACACAGGAAACAGGCAGGACTATAGTGATAACATGGACAACAATACACACGAAACAGGCAGGACTATAGTGATAACATGGACAACAATACACAGGAAACAGGCAGGACTATAGTGATGACAGGGTGGTGACCATCAAGTATGGATAACATGGAGCAACAATACACAGGAAACAGGCAGGACTATAGTGATGACAGGGTGTTGACCATCAAGTATGGATAACATGGACAACAATACACAGGAAACAGGCAGGACTATAGTGATGACAGGGTGGTGACCATCAAGTATGGATAACATGGACAACAATACACAGGAAACAGGCAGGACTATAGTGATGACAGGGTGGTGACCATCAAGTATGGATAACATGGAACAACAATACACAGGAAACAGGCAGGACTATAGTGATGACAGGGTGGTGACCATCAAGTATGGATAACATGGACAACAATACACAGGAAACAGGCAGGACTATAGTGATGACAGGGTGGTGACCAACAAGTATGGATAACACGGACAACAATACACAGGAAACAGGCAGGACTATAGTGATGACAGGGTGGTGACCATCAAGTATGGATAACATGGAACAACAATACACAGGAAACAGGCAGGACTATAGTGATGACAGGGTGGTGACCATCAAGTATGGATAACATGGAACAACAATACACAGGAAACAGGCAGGACTATAGTGATGACATGGAACAACAATACACAGGAAACAGGCAGGACTATAGTGATGACAGGGTGGTGACCATCAAGTATGGATAACATGGACAACAATACACAGGAAACAGGCAGGACTATAGTGATGACAGGGTGGTGACCAACAAGTATGGATAACACGGACAACAATACACAGGAAACAGGCAGGACTATAGTGATGACAGGGTGGTGACCATCAAGTATGGATAACATGGAACAACAATACACAGGAAACAGGCAGGACTATAGTGATGACAGGGTGGTGACCATCAAGTATGGATAACATGGAACAGCAATACACAGGAAACAGGCAGGACTATAGTGATGACAGGGTGGTGACCATCAAGTATGGATAACATGGACAACAATACACAGGAAACAGGCAGGACTATAGTGATGACAGGGTGGTGACCATCAAGTATGGATAACATGGACAACAATACACAGGAAACAGGCAGGACTATAGTGATGACAGGGTGGTGACCATCAAGTATTGATAACATGGAACAACAATACACAGGAAACAGGCAGGACTATAGTGATGACAGGGTGGTGACCATCAAGTATGGATAACATGGAACAACAATACACAGGAAACAGGCAGGACTATAGTGATGACAGGGTGGTGACCATCAAGTATGGATAACATGGAACAACAATACACAGGAAACAGGCAGGACTATAGTGATGACAGGGTGGTGACCATCAAGTATGGATAACATGGAACAACAATACACAGGAAACAGGCAGGACTATAGTGATGACATGGAACAACAATACACAGGAAACAGGCAGGACTATAGTGATGACAGGGTGGTGACCATCAAGTATGGATAACATGGAACAACAATACACAGGAAACAGGCAGGACTATAGTGATGACAGGGTGGTGACCATCAAGTATGGATAACATGGAACAACAATACACAGGAAACAGGCAGGACTATAGTGATGACATGGAACAACAATACACAGGAAACAGGCAGGACTATAGTGATGACAGGGTGGTGACCATCAAGTATGGATAACATGGAACAACAATACACAGGAAACAGGCAGGACTATGGTGATGACAGGGTGGTGACCATCAAGTATGGATAACACGGACAACAATACATAGGAAACAGGCAGGACTATAGTGATGACAGGGTGGTGACCATCAAGTATGGATAACATGGAACAACAATACACAGGAAACAGGCAGGACTATGGTGATGACAGGGTGGTGACCATCAAGTATGGATAACACGGACAACAATACATAGGAAACAGGCAGGACTATAGTGATGACAGGGTGGTGACCATCAAGTATGGATAACATGGAACAACAATACACAGGAAACAGGCAGGACTATGGTGATGACAGGGTGGTGACCATCAAGTATGGATAACACGGACAACAATACATAGGAAACAGGCAGGACTATAGTGATGACAGGGTGGTGACCATCAAGTATGGATAACATGGAACAACAATACACAGGAAACAGGCAGGACTATGGTGATGACAGGGTGGTGACCATCAAGTATGGATAACACGGACAACAATACATAGGAAACAGGCAGGACTATAGTGATGACAGGGTGGTGACCATCAAGTATGGATAACATGGAACAACAATACACAGGAAACAGGCAGGACTATGGTGATGACAGGGTGGTGACCATCAAGTATGGATAACATGGAACAACAATACACAGGAAACAGGCAGGACTATAGTGATGACAGGGTGGTGACCATCAAGTATGGATAACATGGAACAACAATACACAGGAAACAGGCAGGACTATAGTGATGACAGGGTGGTGACCATCAAGTATGGATAACACGGACAACAATACACAGGAAACAGGCAGGACTATAGTGATGACAGGGTGGTGACCATCAAGTATGGATAACATGGAACAACAATACACAGGAAACAGGCAGGACTATAGTGATGACAGGGTGGTGACCATCAAGTATGGATAACACGGACAACAATACACAGGAAACAGGCAGGACTATAGTGATGACAGGGTGGTGACCATCAAGTATGGATAACATGGAGCAACAATACACAGGAAACAGGCAGGACTATAGTGATGACAGGGTGGTGACCATCAAGTATGGATAACATGGAACAACAATACACAGGAAACAGGCAGGACTATGGTGATGACAGGGTGGTGACCATCAAGTATGGATAACATGGAGCAACAATACACAGGAAACAGGCAGGACTATAGTGATGACAGGGTGGTGACCATCAAGTATGGATAACACGGACAACAATACACAGGAAACAGGCAGGACTATAGTGATGACAGGGTGGTGACCATCAAGTATGGATAACATGGAACAACAATACACAGGAAACAGGCAGGACTATAGTGATGACAGGGTGGTGACCATCAAGTATGGATAACACGGACAACAATACACAGGAAACAGGCAGGACTATAGTGATGACAGGGTGGTGACCATCAAGTATGGATAACATGGAACAACAATACACAGGAAACAGGCAGGACTATAGTGATGACAGGGTGGTGACCATCAAGTATGGATAACACGGACAACAATACACAGGAAACAGGCAGGACTATAGTGATGACAGGGTGGTGACCATCAAGTATGGATAACATGGAACAACAATACACAGGAAACAGGCAGGACTATAGTGATGACAGGGTGGTGACCATCAAGTATGGATAACACGGACAACAATACACAGGAAACAGGCAGGACTATAGTGATGACAGGGTGGTGACCATCAAGTATGGATAACATGGAACAACAATACACAGGAAACAGGCAGGACTATAGTGATGACAGGGTGGTGACCAACAAGTATGGATAACACGGACAACAATACACAGGAAACAGGCAGGACTATAGTGATGACAGGGTGGTGACCATCAAGTATGGATAACATGGAACAACAATACACAGGAAACAGGCAGGACTATAGTGATGACAGGGTGGTGACCATCAAGTATGGATAACATGGAACAACAATACACAGGAAACAGGCAGGACTATAGTGATGACAGGGTGGTGACCAACAAGTATGGATAACATGGAACAACAATACACAGGAAACAGGCAGGACTATAGTGATGACAGGGTGGTGACCATCAAGTATGGATAACATGGAACCACAATACACAGGAAACAGGCAGGACTATAGTGATGACAGGGTGGTGACCATCAAGTATGGATAACATGGAGCAACAATACACAGGAAACAGGCAGGACTATAGTGATGACAGGGTGGTGACCATCAAGTATGGATAACATGGAACAACAATACACAGGAAACAGGCAGGACTATAGTGATGACAGGGTGGTGACCAAAAAGTATGGATAACATGGAACAACAATACACAGGAAACAGGCAGGACTATAGTGATGACAGGGTGGTGACAGGAGAACAGTACCGTATATCGCTATAACGTAATCTGAAATATGAATTAGTCCAAAAAGTATCAAACCATTAGAAGCCTGACATGCTTGCTTAAAACTACACTTTGGAATACTGTTAACGTTAGCAGAAGTCATATTTTTTCAGAAAAATGAAACTTTGCATGGCACCTCTTCTATTAGTATGGAAACTGTTCCCAAAATTTGAAAAGAATCCACACAGTAGTTTTCAAGTTATAGGTCTCACAAATGTTTAAGTGAAAAACTTCTAAGTCAAATATTTTAAAAAAAACTGTATTTTTTTCAGAAAATCCAAATATTGAATCGAACTTTACAAAGCACCTCTCCAATAGGTATAAAATGTGTTCATCAAGTTTGAAAAGAATCTATTAGTAATTTATAAATTATAGGTCACAACCACAAAATGTCCTCAGAAGGAGGGGCGTATGGTCAGAAGGAGGGGCGTATGGTCAGAAGGACAGGCGCACGGACGGAATTCCTAGGCATAACTATATACCCTTGTCCTGTTAGGTAGGGGGAATAGTTATTCTGGAAATCCTAAAGATTATTTGGCAGATATATAACACTGTTGCTATTACCAACATTAAATACTAAATCAAAGCAAAACAGACTGGTTACATGTCATCAAAAGTGATGCATACAGAAATATCGTTCAGGAATTTCTACCAATCCTAACAGGTCTCTTGAGCAGTGCTCATATTTAAGCCTACAAACACAGAGTACTTTGAATTTTATACATATAGTTTTTTGTATGGCACTGGACCATTAGCAGTCTGTGACTCAAACTTTAGTTCATAGACGAGTCTAGTAAAATTTATTTCAGTCTAGCACACATCGCTATTAAAAGTCCATCATTAACACTAAGATCTACTGAACATGATGACAACGATGTTACATGAAGTCTCAAGTTCAGCCGAGTAATCTCAAAAGATTTTGGCACAGACTGCATTAGTGTGTTAGGAATTCACTCATTATGACAATACGCCATTCCATTCCTCTTCATCAAGATTATTTGCATCCATTGTTCAATGCCTTTCTTGTGCCTTCCAGACATAATGTTACTCAAACTCATAAAACTCAACACACTGGAAGGACAAATCCATCCCAATTTTCCACCTTTCATCACAAGCTCTACATTTGGATGTATTGGTAACGTGCATGATAAATCAATTCCAGCATTGACTGTAGTAACATTTGGCTACTGAGAGACAGCTGTGTTTTAGAGATTGATAGCAAGCAATAACTTTGGAGAATGTTATACATCACATAACCCGACATGTTCATCACGCTGCAATGTATGGAATGTCGTGTCAACAGAACTTGTTTTACAAATAAGCCTGTTTCCATTTTTTATCACTTGGTTTATGTTTTTTCTTTTAAAAACATAAGTGTCATTGGTATAAATAATACAACAACAAAAAATACACTTTTAAGTAGTCACTTAATAGTATAGTCGGTCAGGTAAAAAAATGTAAATACATGACCAAATTTAAATCTAACAAATCATTAAACTCTGGAAGTAGTAAGTACATCAATAACAATTATCACACACAATCCCTTATGTACCATTAATACCATAGGTGTCTAAATACAGGTGAAAATATGACTGACTTCACAATTTCAATTTTATTTCAAAATTCGGAATCAAGGGTTGCCAGACCAATAAACCTATGAAAATAACACAGCTAATATTTGGAGTACCGATCACACTCGCAATGGAGTAAAACATAAAACTTGATGTCATAAATGACAAGATCATACAAACAAATAAATCATTATTAAAGCATGACCTCTTCAATCACTTTTATGGATTGGGGGTGCTTGGCAAAACATGGCCACAAGACAGTTCTGTTAACATGCTTAATGTTGCTCTTCCCAGGATCACAGTAGATGTTATAGCCAATCGGATGCCAGTCAAAGCAAATTTGGTTTTGTTTCCCTGGGCCCACTTGCACAAAGCGATCTTAGTGCTAAGATGATTGTAACTCCCATACTTTAACATAGGCTTACAATAGTCTTAGCGCTAAGATCACTTTGTGCAAGTGGGCCCTGGACTTCAGGTTCATAATGACTCTGGTAAGGTGCATTACAGTAAACTATGGTTATAACGAACTCAAATGGACCACTAATTTTAGTTCATTATAACCATAGTTCGTTATAAGCATATATACAACATCTATACAGCAAATGGCCGGGACCAAAAATTAAGTTTGTATTATCCGTCAGTTTGTTATAAGCGTGTCGTTATAAACGTATTTTACTGTATATCAGTTCCACAGGGTTTCAGATCGGTTTATATTCTGCTGACTGTTTGTCATCCTATAAGTTGGGATGTCATCCTATATCGCGATATCAATATAAATTTAGGAATAGTACATAACTCACTGCCACAGAAATGTTTACATTTATTAAGATTACCATGGATCGGATGGACAATGACAAGAAAGTTCAATTTTAACCACTTTAAACACTTTAAACATCCGTCTACTTCATATTTAGCATTAAATTGAATAATTGCAAGTCCTCATAGGCATATTTTATCTTCATACATAAAGAATAATTAATTCAATTATTAATCAATATATTGATATACAATAAAGTATTGTTATAACGAACTCAAATGGACCACTAATTTTAGTTTGTTATAACCGTAATTCATTGTAAGTATTTCGACTGGCAGACATCCCATAAATGACATTAAATACATAACATAAGTAAATACCGTATTCGACGTAATAAGTGCCCCGCTCTAATAAGCGCCCACAGCGATATTTGCTAATATATTGGCTAGTGAACAATCCCAATTAGCACCCCTTCCAATTGATCAATGTACACAAGACTTAGTAATTCTCATATAATACGTGTGTTATATGCATCCTTAATCATGGGAAATTAAATTCTTGGAAAATATATCTGTTGTATATAAACATTTCAGGCTGTCAGCAAAAACCACAAAATTTACGATCTTTCAACTCTGTTGTTTTTCACTAAAATAATATTCTAATAAGAGCCCCCTATTTCTAATTTTGAGAGCACCCTGGGTGCTTATTGTGTCGAATACAGTACATGTTATAAATATATTACTGATAGTTTCATTGACATTTAGAACCGAGAGTCAATTGTTAATTGTGGGTGTAAATTGAGGGCAAGGAATCAGTACTTAATTCTGTTAATCACTTGCCTTCAATTGTTATAGCCGCTTTGAACAATGTGCATGGTGACATTGGGGCAGCTCAGAGATTAACAGTTTGTTATAAACATCAACATTGTCATAAACTTAGCACACATGGGACCACAAAATGAGTTTGCTTTTTCCATTACAGTAGAACACAGGTAGAGCGAACAAACGGATACAACAGACTCACAAAATCCCTGATTTATCTCCTATATATTATCACATAAAATTTACGCACATAACCAACTCTCTACAGCAAACTAACGTATATAGCGAACTGATATCAGATCCCCGACAAGTCCAAATACCACTTATTAGTGACAGGTATAGCGAAATGAGAAATCTCACTCAGTGTCAAGTGTCACTGACAATTGGCTGTACCAGTCAGCGGCGAATCAACACAATCACTGGTGATGATTCAACCTTGTTAAACTTCCATTATGTTAATCATACCTGTCCATGTAATTGGACAAATCTTGTCTGTAAAACTAACATTGCTAATACAAGTCAATGCAGCAATTACAGTGTTTCCCCGCTATTGCGCTCTTTATAAGAGAGTGAGTGAGTGAGTATGGTTTTACGCCGCTTTTAGCAATATTCCAGCAATATCACGGAGGGGGGAAACCACAAATGGGCTTCACACATTGTACCCATGTGGGGAATCGAACCTGGGTCTTCGGCGTGAAGAGCGAACGTTATAACCACTAGGCTACTCCACCCCTGCTCTTCAATAAAGCCCTAACTTGGTTATAGTGTGCAGTAAATCATGGCTCCCCAAATTTACTTACATTTTTAATAAACCTAAGTTTTCCAATGACACAATGTCCTCCCCATCTAAAAAAACATTAACAGCTTATCATTCAACAATGTTTACATTTATTTCGGAGAAATCGTGTGTGAAGTGATCGGGAGATCGCACCAGTTACCGTTATTTACAGCAACCACAGTCAGTTTACTGCTATTGGAGCCTTGAAACAAACTTTAGTTGCCAGAGAATGGATACATATATCATAAATGACATACTTTGATTCGTTAAAAGTCATATTTGAGGCAGTTTGACTATTAAATGTCAACATAACATTTTCGCAATCGAAATACATGTAGCGCGAAGTTGATAATTTCATAGAGTAACATCCTATCAAAAGTTGATAATCATGAAAACTTGTTCATCTCCATCAAAATCAATGTCATTGTATTGTGACGTCACAAATCAATAAGGAGGATGCATTATACAACATGAAGATGGATTTTAACACTTTCTTAGATTGTTTATTGTTTAATATAAAAAAATCTGCGATCTGTATAGGCATTGATACACAGGGAGGCATTGATACACAAAGTCACAATTCACCAATACATAGATGCATAAAAAATATTCTCAAAACGATATGTAAGTTACACAATACACACTTACCTGTATCGATTCATATTTTAATCCTGTATCATTTCACACATGGACCTTTCATTTATATTTGCTTGTCCATGGCTAGCAACATTATCAGGGGTTAAAGCTTCTAACAACAAACTTTTTTCATGCAGATCTACCGGAAAACAACCATCAAAAATAAAAAATTAATTCATATCCATACCAAATTGAGGTTGCGAATTCAGAGTTACCCCCCTTCATATTATTTGAGTGACTGTACCACTGCGTATAAAAAACATGTTTTGATCAGTTTAACTTCAAATTACAACCTTTCACCAAGGCCGTAGTTAACATTTTTTGACAGGGGCGGTGGGGGGCAAATATTTGTACAAGTATCACTTGTCCCCAACTTGATTCAAATAAAACTTCTTTATATTCTATAAAAAATCTAGGGGGGGCAACTGCCCTCCCTGCATCCCCCCGGCTGGCTACGGCACTGATCACTGTTACATAAATAACTACCCATGTCAAAAATTGTCTGGACGATATTTTCACCATTCATTTACCAGCAGTTCCTTCAAAAAGGCAAGGGTCCAGGTAAGCAATGTTCCACAATGGATGCACGGAACTCACCTAGAGTGGAGAGCAGGGAGTGTCTGGCTTGAGGCTGTCTGCTCCCAGTGCTGGCGGTGCCTTCAGTGGAGCGGCTCAGCATGGTCTGGGGCTTCGTGGGGGAGGTGTAGTTACCTAGGGTAGGGGTACTGGAACTGCGGTTCACTGCAACAACACACCAACGTGAGCATACTGAGTCTTGCAACATCATTTACAAGTGATACACATTAAGGAGAGAATATATAGATGTCAACCTTTTATTATGAGGAACATGTTTCAGCATATGCTGAATCCTTCATCAGGATGAGGTGCATGAATGCTAGGATGCAGAGAGCATATATATGTAGATATAAGAACAACAAAAGTAATATGCTCCAAAACAGTGTGCTCCTCAAAATAAAGAAATTGACATCTACATATTCTCTCCTTTTTGAGCATACTAGTTCAGTGTAACAAATGTTCTACTTGGGATAATACTTTTTTTAGTAAAGTACAGATTGTAGTGTTTTTCTGGGATGAGTCAATTTGTCGGATTTTCATTTTGGTAGAAGCCTTGGTAGCTGAGTGGGTTAGATCGCTGACTTTGTGTGCTGGCGAATAGTTGCCTTACTCTGGTAGTGTGGGCTCAAATCCCGGACGGGACTCAACCTAAAAAAGTACTAGAATCTGTACTTGACTAAGAAAGTGTTATCCCAAAAATAACATTTGTTACATTTGACCACTTTCTAAATGGCAATGTGCGTTCACATACTAGTTTAGTATTGTGTGGTATTCATGGTCAAGGCGGCTGGTTACTAAAGAAGGATGCTAATTGCCTTGAACATGTTGAAAATGATTACTGCATGTTGGGAAACTGAAACTGAACATTTATAAATTAGGATATTCTATTCGGTCCTTGAGGTTTTCTGCTGAAGTATTTTAATTAAGGGACCCTCAAAAAATGATATATCTGCATTTGAGTGGGTTTCTGTGGCTTAATCTTGAAGTTTTAACATTCACAATATGACAAGGGATCATTGTTAATATATCATTGAACACATCCACTCAAAAAAACACATCATAGGGTTGGTTGGTTGTTTAAAGCCGCACTCAGCAATATTCCAGCTATATGACGGCGGTCTGTAAAATAATGTCTTGACCAGAAAATCCAGTGATTGACATCATGAGCATCGATCCACGCAATTGGGATCGATGATATGTATCAACCAAGTCAGCGAGCCTGACCACCCGATCCCGTTAGTCGCCTTTTACGACAAGCATAGTCGCCTTTTAGGCTTTTACAGCAAGTATTGGTTGCTGAAGACCAATTCTACTCCGGATCTTCACGGGTCACACATGATAGGGAGGAGGCATCAATAAGTGGTGCACTTGTGCCCAATCCAGTGGTTGAAACTAACATTTGTAGTCCACTAGTCCTTATAATGGTAACATATAGCAAAACCCTTAAAAATGTCAAATGTCTCTTAGTCCTTATGATGCCTTAACTATTTGGCAGTTTGACAAGGACTACAGGACTAGAGCCAATTTCTAACGCTGCAACCCCTTTGTCTTTTTGGACAATGAAATATGTTTAAATAAAATATAACACATCATGAGAAGAAACAGGATCTATACATGTTATACAACCTTAAGACATACAAATATAAAATGTGTAAAGAATAATACACAAATTATTCAATAAGCAACCTAGAACCCTATCATCTCTATGGATGTGTTCATGTATAGCCCAATCATAGACACATATCAAGTTTCTATACATCAACTACTAACAGAATATAGTATTGATGCAGCCATATACATCCAATAAAAAATGCCTATCCTCCAACAGCTTGTTCAAAATGCAAATGGTGTACACGCAGGGATGAAAATTAGCACAAGCCCGCTAACCTGACCAGTTTTGTCAATGATAAAGGTATCCTCAGGGCTAAGAAATTCAAACTGTTTGAGGGGTATTGCTATATATTATCACTATTTGGGCTAGTAGATGTTCTGGATCAATTTCCATCCCTGCCAACAGGTTTCTTCAGAAACAATCAAACACAATCTCTTGAGCTAGTTTTTTACCATTTTTAAAAGGTGTTCTTCACATGCGAACCTGCTTGTTTTTCAATTATTATTCATTGTGATGTTTAGCTATAAGTAACAGGACAAGTTCAAGTATGTTACCAGGGCAATTGCTACTTAGCCTGCCACAGGAAACCAAGATGCAGGCGATGTATGCTACATACATGAATTTAATTGTAATAGTTATGTTTTCATAATTTTCAAAAATAGACGCGCACATCACCCAAATATTCATGACCCCTAACATATTTGTTAAATATATTTGCTTGATGCATATGTATTAATTAGAAAAGAACAAAGAAACTATTACCTCAACAATGTTCAAAATAACTCTTCTTTCTAAATGCTTTGCTCTTTGAAGTAAATATCAGGTCTCAATTTAAGGAACTTGATTTTATTGCACCAGGTGCATGTTGATATGAAAACCTAGTTGCACTAGCTGAAACCAGGTTGCACCCAGGTCCCATAAATTTATTAAAGTTGAAGCAAAAACTGGTCTGCTGCCAGTGTCACATCAGTACGTATTGCTGTAAAACATAATAAGAATATGTGCACATAATCTTGAAGAACCACAGTTTGATGACGTTAGGCCCAAGAAAGTATGAGAAATTACACCTAATACAGGGACTACTGATGTTGTGTGGTGAATAAAGCTTTTGAGATATTGTGTTCAAAGACTGAATTTGTGTGGAGACAAATACGGGTTAGTCAGAAATTTGAACTTTTTTTATATTAATATAAATATTAGGTTGCGTTTTTCAATAACAGGTGCACTTGTGCATGTTTTATATAGCTAAATAGAGCCCTGTATATACTAAACCAAATATAATGTTCAAAGGCAAAACCTGCTAACATTGTGATAGCAATACATTTAACATATTCTGGAACTTGTAATAATAAATCTAGTACCACTAACAAGTATTATCTTCTGAAAGTCTGTAATGTATTGTACTCGTCAATCATCTTACCAAAGCATGGTCTTAAACCAGCTCTCCATGCAACATGTACCACGTACACTCACACGACCAACTGGATAAAAAACCGTAACCTCTGTGACAAGGACGTATATTGTAAGGTGTGCTGGAGTGCTCACTTTCAACAAAACACTCCGGCTTCTCCCACTGTCAACACTTGTCTGTTTAGACAGCTAATGCCGAACTAGTTTGCTCATTCCATTTGTCTGACCTTACACAACAAACCTGATAAAATAACTGCCAATTTAATCAAGAGAAAACTTCCTTTCCACGTGTACTTTTTAAGCTAGAGACAGACGGATACATGATGTAGGATACACAGATGCAAATAATAACTGGTTCTTGTTGCTTGTACAGCAAAAAAATTGAAACTTCCTCTTAGACACGTATAAAACAGTACACAGACTATACTTATACTGGACCAAAAAAGTTAGGGATCATGGACATTTTAAAGGTATTTTTATGAAATTGTAATTTGAGTGAGTGAGTATAGTTTTACGCCGCTTTTAGCAGTATTCCAGCAACATCACGGCAGGGGACACCAGAAATGGGCTTCACACATTGTACCCATGTTGGGAATCGACTCCAGGTCTTCGGCGTGACGAGGTTACGCTTTAACCACTAGGCTACCCGACCGCCCCCTATTCACTACAATAAAATTCCCCCAAATATTCATGATCCCTACCATTTTTGTTTAGAATATACTTATAATCATTTATCACAATGACAGTGATGTCAACCTTGTAAAAAGTTGTTAATCCAGTGATTGATAGCATGAGCAACAATACACATCAGGATATGATGACATGGAATCAAACAGGTCACCAAGTCTAATCACTTGATCCACTGAGTCACATCTTATGACCAGCAAAGTTTGCTGGGAAACTAGTCTGACCTGAAATCCCCATGATGTTCTCCTCATAGCCTTAATGTTGATCACGTTTCTAGTTCAAGGTGGGGGGACCAAGATGCCAAATACTACAGGCACAACCTCAAGAACCCCCCTCAATACCAAACTATGCTCATGTGGATTCATTGTAAATACTATTAATACTAGAGCTACATCTGGTTTCTGTGTTCAACATGTTGATTTTGTTTATTTGTTGTTTCATACCGCACACAGCAATATTCCAGCTATATGACAGCGACCTGTAAATAATTGAATCTGGACCAGACAGGATTGATATCACAAGCATCAATCTACACAATTGGGATACAAATCATACATGCATCAAGCAAGTCAGCATACCTGACCACCGAATTCCCATAGGTGCATCTTACAACAATCATGGGTTGCTGAAGACAAATTCTAAAAATGAATCTTCACAGGGGGTGAGAAGATACAAGTCAAGCATAATGATTATGATTTTGGGTGGTTCCTTTGAGTTCATTATAAGTTTACTGTATAGTTAACTGTATGTTGATTTGGTTGTTAAAGTAACATTAATAATGGTTTACATAAAGTGTATATTTTGGATGAACACCCACCCTCTTCCACTGAAGATACAAATGGCAAAAGTGGTAAAACCTCTTTTTTAACATCCTGCATCCGTCCCAGAAGGGGAGTATGAGTTTGACTTGAGTGCCAGAACAAAGACCCCCTTTAATATTGATCACTGCTATTAGTATTACTGTTAATTGCAATCCTGAAATTACAATTTCGATGACTCAGGATTTTGTGAACAGGTTACACACAGACACTGAAAATTACTTGCTCTCCTATTCACAATTACACTATTACAGGTCAGGTGAGGCGAACCTAAGGCAGTCTAGCTATGTGAGACTCATCAAGGGACACTCCCTACACGCTACATCTGGGAGTAGCCTGCTGACATTTGACAAAATACATTTCAGGTCACACCAGCTCCTGCTTTCTTTAAACAGGAAAACCTCAGCCGCTACATTGAAACAAATATTGGATAAGGGCTTCAAGATAAGATACAAACTGATTCTGTCAACACTGGTCAGCAAACCACAAACTCTATAAAATACTGCAAGTTTCAATTTAGATGTTTCAGGTTTAGCAATCGGAAATTGCACAAAATCTATACACAACGTATGACTGACAGGATTGGGTTTTACGCTTTTGTTTGCAATATTGCAGCTTCTGTAGGCATTCCAAATTACGTGAGGACCAGAAGAAACAAATTATTTGTGTATGTTGGGGTACCCTGACACACATGGCCTCATGATCTGCAGAATGCGCACATTGTTTTGAACATGGTGAAGTTGTCAGATTGATTCAAATATGTATTTCAAAACCAGAGTTACACTAGCATTTAAAATCAAGGTTTGCTCCTATCATGCCTATAGCATCTGAATATAGGGACCCCCAACGCTTTACCTTTTTGCATAAGGACAATGAGGAAGCAACTTGACCTTCACGCTTAATTCAAACACGCCTCACCATCTATACATGTGTGTTTTACAAGGATTTATGTGTTTGTGTATATAGCTAAGCAACTTTCACATGAATACATAGCAATGAATATGAATTGCAATGAATGAAAAGGAGCAATCTGGCCAGGACTGATCTCGCAGGGGTCTACCTAACAGCTGGTCCTCTGGCCCGTGGCCAGCGGAAATAGCGATGCCCACTGATCCAATTGATAGCACAAAGGTGTATGTAGTAGTTATTGATCTGCTGATATTATTGATATTCATATCGGGCTTCAACAATAAGAGGCAGGAAGAATACTAGATTTGTCCACATGGCCCTATTAGCTGGAAAGAGGGCCAGCAGTGATGGGAGCAATTTATTGACAATTTCAAGCGATTTATTGACAATTTCAATGGAAGTTACTGTTGAGAAGGAGCTGGACAAAAGATATTATTTTGTCCAAAACTGGAAATTTCATTTACATATTCTTAAATTCAGAGGTACAGAGGTATGTTAACACTGAATTTAATGAAAAAGTGAAGAAAAAAAATGTCTTTTTGTTTCCTTACCATGCTTATTGGTCCTGTTATCAGTGAAATAGATAAAAGTGACCTTTGGGAAATTAAAATATTAGTTACTGGTATATTTACCACGATCATGTAACCTGAATAGAGAAATATTAATTCCAACCTGGGAATTTTCACCAACATTTTCTGAAGACAAACAGGATAAATCCCTGGCTGGTTCTTTAAACGCAAGTGTATCTCCCTTGCTCTCCTGAGTTGGAAGTTCATTGACCCCTGTACTCCGCTATAGTACTGGCCTCAAAACTAAGGATAACGGAACAATCACATTAAAAATAATCTTTTTCTCTGAACAGATACTTCTTTGAATGAAGATCTGAGGACACCTCAATAGAAGGTTGCAGCAGGTACTTCCTGAGAGAACTTTGATTGGCCAATCTAGTTGAAGGATTTGGGATCTTGAGCCAATCAGATGTCAGCTTTGTAAAAATGATTTGGCTTAATTTCTTTACTTATTTGTTTAGAAATCTTTTATTTTAACAACAGAAAATGCAAACAGAATATATATATATATATATATTCCTTTGACGGTACTCCCGTTTGGATATAGACAACATGGCGCCAAAAAACAATATTTAGCAGTTAAACAGTTTAGTGTAAGCATATTCAAACATGGCCTTTATCATTTACATTTAGAACAGGATGATTAGCTTTGTTTTCGAGATAAAGAATTCAGATATGTTGGTCTGAATCAGTGAATGTTCCACTCATTCGTACCAAAAATTTAGAAGTCTTGACACTGATTGGCTGATGAGAAAGTTCACCTAACATGACCTTCTATGGCAGCGTCCTCTGATCATCAATTATTGTAAGGGAGTGAGAGACCTGATTTTAATGAGCTTGGATTAAGAAGCAGCCTGACAAGCAATTTGTTTTGAAGAAAAATCTGAATTCATAATAATCAGGAGCTTATAAATGCACCATCCAATCCAACTCTATAAACCAACTGTCCTAAACAAGCTGAACAAGCATAAGAGAAACATGCTTTTTGAAATTTTGCTTGAAAATATTCATGCAATGTTTATTGTTGTACTGTCTGTTTGCATGATGTGTAAAGTTCGACATTTAGTGCATAATCATGTTAATCATTGACTTACTTTAGTCCTTGAAAAAACTTCTTTTTATGTATGTATATGTATACAAGCCAGCTGGTCTAGCACAAATACAAATTCATGATCTGGATCAAATTTCACAGGCATTTGTTCAGCAGGCCATGTTGAACTCTGACTCGCCAGTTCAACTGTCCATGATACAGACCAAAGAGCTAGGATACTGTAGGGATTTATCTTGGATTTAAATGCACTGGCCCCTGACGAGCAATTTTGACCAAACAACATGAACAATTTACTATTAACCATGCTATCAGAATAAAGAGAATTGGTTATTCCTCTAAAGTTGTCCTTTCTTAATTTCAAACGTACAGTGATCCCTCGGTACAACGCTACCTTCGGGGTCCAAATAATTGATGAGCATTATAGATCATCAGTGGTTTAACGAAGGTCGAGTCGTAGGTGGTAGATGACCAACAAAACAGTATACATGCTCTGCCTACCTAACACGATCTACGTTGCACGTTTCAGAGTTTCAAAAAAGATAAAATAGAAGTTATTTATGATTCATAGTGTAAAAATACAAATTATGCAAAGTATGAAATTTGATATAAAACATCACTAGACATGATGATTAACCATTTAAAATGTATTTCCTGCTTTCCAAAGCATTGTTTTATATGCAGAGATTAAGATTACTATGTGTATTTTCTCATAAACTAAGCCGGAAATAGCAATCAGCTGTGCACGTTTCCTCCCAATCTACCGGTGATTCAGTTAAAACATACCCAATGATATAGCTTCAAATAATTTTGATGCAATGGTCGGAAGAAATTGAATCTGAAATTATCTTTTTATCAGGAATAATATATTCCAATATCGTGTTTTTTTAGTTGCAGCTTCCACCATATAGCTGTTGTGCAATCTAGCCTACCGATCACTTCGCATATAATTTCGTCTAAATTATTGTAAACATTATTATAATTATTGAATGAAATTTTGAATATAATTAATAAAACATATTGCAAACATTAGTCCAGATAAACAATGAACAATTTTTTTAATACCAGATTTTATAATAATAGGATTAAATTGCATACTTCAGTTCGGATTTGATGACTGGTGTTTCCGGTGTTACGTGATCGCGGTGATCAGCTGATAATGTTTTCTGAGATAGGGGAAAACATTGTGTCATTAGAAAACTTGAGTTTATTAAAAATGTTAGTAAATTTTGGGAGCCATGCTTTACCGTGCGCTATAACCGAGTTAGCGCTATATCGAATAGCGCAAAACGAGGAACCACTGTATTTCAGCATTGGACATGCACACAATGCAATCACGCAGTAATCACATGATGCAATAATAAACATCAAAATTTCTAATTTAATTAATAATATTCTTAAAACTAATTTCCAAAGTTTTTTGGGAAAAGCCTAATACCAGAACCAGAATACCAGGCTTTTTACTGACTTTTGCAGTAAACCTTGTGCTGAAAATATTGACCACTGAAAAAGCCTGGTTCAATCATGTCAATTGCAGGTAGAAATTGAATGATAGTTGTTTTCCATTTTGCAATTTTTATAATCACAAGAAGCTTCATAATAAGCATGATGGATTAAAAACCTAGGACTTGATGAAGACACTAACCACAAAGCTAACCTTGTACCAACACATGCCATAGAGTGGTATGACTTCATGAATGAAGACAAGTGTTCGAAGTTAAGGGTCAAGGGATTCTTGTCCTAATCAAAATGTTAAAAGGTAAATATTGAGAGGGTTCCTAGATTCAAATGCTGAGGGCCTCCCCATATTTTGAACGCTGAAAACAGATCCTGCTTACTTTTAGCGACTTCATTAAGCTTAAAGAGAAGTGATCTCTTAGCTGTTTCCAGTTCTGGACTTGGATGATCAAACTCCTGTCGCACCCACTTATATGGGCTGACTCGGGTTTGTTGTGGAGTTGGAGGCTTTGGTGAAGAATACAGCCTGAAAATCAAGAAAACAAACTTGTTTATCTATACAATCATTGGAAACATTCTAAAGATTGCTCAGACAGAGTGTAAATTGGAAAGTCTTCTCATATCAGACATAAGTCAGCTTAACTACTGGTCTAGTTTGTTGTTTAACACTATAGTCTAAAGTACACACAGCAATATTGCAGCAATGTGATGGCAGCATGAGTATAATCGATTCTAAATTAGACAAACCAGTGTTTGTTTGTTTGCTTGTTGTATAATGCCACACTCAGCAATATTCCAGCTATATGACATCGGTCTGTAAATAATTGAGTCTGGACCAGGCAATCCGGTGATTGATAGGAGCATTGACCAACGCAGCTGGGATACGATGACATGCATCAACCAAGTCAGCGAGTCTGACCACTCGATCCTGTTAGTCGCCTCTAACCGACAAGCATTGTCGCCTCTTATGACAAGCATGGGTTGCTGAAGACCTATTCTAACTTGGATCTTCACGGGTCGACAAACCAGCGAGTCATTAAATGACCCAAGGAATTACTGAACCTGATTTTGGTGAAAACGCACCATTCACTTGGCAAAAATGCCAATTATGCCTTATTATACACATTCACAACACTTGAATTGTATGCACCCCACTTTTCATAACTTTTCCTGTGTGTGATCAAAGATTAAAAAGAATAATATTGAAATCTGTTCAGGGTTTACACTTGGAGCAATGTGTTATTCTGAACAACAATACAATTAGGTAAAGACCTAGTCTGTGGACCTATTATTCTGTTTACTCAAGAGAAAACAATATGACTTAGAATCCACAAGGTGAGTGCATAAATTAAACTCTTCTGGTCAGTGTTTAGCTATATATATATACATTTTCATTCAAGTTGACAAAAAGGAAGGGCCCACTAATGATAAAAAAGTGGGGTTGTTATCCATACACACACAAAAGTGGGTAAGGTCAGTTTGAAAATGGGAGCCTAAAAAATTATGGTGATCCTTACTCTCATCATGGCATGGCAGGGTGCTTGTTCAGAAGTTTCTAACAATTATCCTGTTATAGGTGATATCTCCAACATCATGACAGCAGAGCTGTGATTGGTTCTTAAACATGAAAATTGTCTTGCTGATCTCTAAATTCATGAATGGGAGCGTCAGCCTTCTGCTTTCTATCTTAAGATTTGCCGTCCCTTTTCATAGTTTGGAACACAATTGCACCTTCAAACACTACCTCTATGTTATTGATTTTCAACATGCAGATGGGATATCTTTGCCAATGTCGACGTAAGCCAATATAATGAACATTGATGCAAGACAAAAAGAATGATTCAAATGACCTATTTTATGTATCTCTACAGCTATATATCATTCCATGTACTATAATATTAGAGTGTAATGAAGTCATTCATTGTGATGGAGTTTGCTTTGTCAAATTACACACTGTTCAATTCTGTGTAAACACTGGTAAGTGAAGCATGTTGTCGAATGTTAATGTTATAAAATAATTCATGTTGAGGTATTTATATGAGATTATTTCATAATGAAAGCCATACGCCCAACTACTGCATGGTGATAATTCTTAGGTATTTATTAAAAAAGATGAGCCAATTCCGTGCTCAATGAAAACTGTAAATAACATGTATTACAGTATATTGCACAAATCAATATAATGTAAATGTATCTAATATATGAAAATGTACTTGTGACATATGTGAAACATTTGACAACGTTTTAAAAGTATGGTGGTTTTTTTCAATGATTTGTATTTTAGCTTGTACCATTTGTACTTGATGAACACAATGTATACAGAGCTACAGATAAGCTGCGTATTTGCGTAAAATACCCCACAAAACTATTCAAAACCCAATTACCTTCAATTAACTTGCTACAGAAAAGCATGCATTAAATGAAAAACTCAATTGTTTGAAAACAGCACGCGTAAATACCCAGGGAAGCTTTTTCAGAGCTAATTTCTGAAACACAATTACAAGCTAATTTACTTTCCATGTCAAGGCTATATTTAGAACCGTTATATACATATGAAACATTATTCCATTTTTTTTTATATGTCAAAATGTTTACTCATTTTGGGGAAAACCCAATAGAGTGATTAATAGATGAGTGAAAAAATATTGGTTACCCAATGAAAAATGTAAAAAAAACCAATAAAAATAGAAACCTTCTAGTAAAAACTCAATTGCTCAAAATGTTATCTGGAGCTCTGGTATAGTTTGAGACATATATAAGGGTTATAGCTAAAACGGCACCTCAGCAAAACGTCACCTGGCGAAAACGTCACCTCGCCTCAGGCGAAAACGGCTACTATTGCCTGGCGAAAACGGCACCCTATTTTTTTTTAACCTTGATAAAATAAATGATATTAAACTAACATGGTCGCTTGCAAACACCAATAATTGTGAAATGTTACAACTAGTTTACATTAGAATTTAGCCTCTACTCCAACTATATTCCAACTTAGCCTATACGCAACTCAAATTATTGTGAAAACATAACATGCCTTGAAGTAAAATAAGGTCATATCTAGATGTTGTCTATAAGAGAGGTTCTTTTAATAAACATGTCGGAGATAATTTGTGAAACATATTTTCCTCTTTCAGGACAGGGGTTCAGGATATTTGCTAAGATTTTATTATCAATTTAGCAGTTTTGTAAGTCTAGTCTTCTAAGAAGTATCTGTCTTTCATTCTGATAATTTGGACAGTACAAAAAGAACTCCTAGAATCTGCTTTGCTATTTTGATAGTGATCTCATTACATAGTTGTTTAGACCAGTTATGATACATTTCATGCGGGGGTCTTAGAAGACTGCAGCCCCATACCTCGGCTCCATATGATGCAATGGGTACAATTAAGACATTATACAAGCGAATGAGAATGTCTGCTGGGAGATGAGAAGTTGATTTCAGTGAACTTTTGATCTTATACCATGCTCGCAAGGCCTTTCCTCTCAGTGTATTGACAGCGGCCATAAAATATATATTGTATACATGTGAATGTATGTAATTATCTGTGAACAACTGGAAATAACATGTAAATACATCAAATAATATGTAACAAATAACATAAATCAGATATACTACTACATTGTACATAAATCGTTCTTATCATTATTAGAAATAGAGGTGCCGTTTTCGCCTGTCACATAGTAGCCGTTTCCGCCAAATGCGGTGCCGTTTTCGCCAGAGAAATCGGTGACGTTTTGCTGAGGTGCCGTTTTAGCCTGCACTCATATATAAAATGTATGACATTTTTTTCAAATGTATTACTTGGACATTTCACATTTTTTAACATGATTTAATCATCTATAATATTCAATAAAGTAAAAACTAGAGTAACATGGTTGAATACAAGATCTTCAATTTCTATGTTTGTTATCATTTATATTATGAGGTCACTTCACAAATGATGTCATGTGTGTGGCTGTTTCCCAGTGGAACATTAGCCATTTTGGCAGTGTCTGGGGGCTGTTTTAACCAGTTCTCCATTCTAACCATACACATGCAATTGACACAAAACTGATTGAACTAGTTTTTCGGCTAGTTAGTCACTGTTTTCAGTCAATTGATATTTATTCCAATGATTCACTGAAATCAAAATGTGCATATTCTGCATGATCAGACTTCTGCTGGGCGGCAATACTGTCAAGAACATATAGCGAATCGAAATAACCCTAGGGGTGTAATCAATTCGACTCCAAAGGCTTCGATAAAATCTTACAATGACAATTTTGACAGATGACAGCTCGAAACAAAAGCTAGACAATCTCACCATGTATCTTCCTCCTCCCTAAGAGACAGAATGTCCACATCTATGATGTCGTCTTCGGATTCTCCAGACGACGACCTACATTTGCGTTGTGTACGCTCCAAGTCATTATGAGATATATTATTGTTGTGGATAGAAACTTTATCAGTGGGAACATCTCCATTTTGCAGAGAATTGTCTAGTGGTAGTTTTTGCTTGTTCCTTAACACCTCGTTTTGAAGTTCTAGCTTCTTTACAAGGTCCTGAAGCTTTTTAACTTCCGCCTGGGGATCGATCATAGTATCCGTAGAGTCCATCGTTACTCGCACTCGCTAATTATAAACACAATACATAAAAATTACTTCACGACATATCTCATCGCACTTGACGCCATATTTACACCTTATAACGCATGCGCTGTAATACTTCCGCATGAAAATTTCTTATACTACTTTCTTCCAACACCTTCCAAACGTCCACAGGCATTTGCTAGACGCACAGCAATGGTCTCCGCTGTATCAAATCATTCTATAAAACCTTCACTTCGAGGACCACTAGAAATATATTATCACACGCACAAACTTTGGTTTAAGTGCCCTTTATTATAATATTGATATTAAAACACAAAGAACCGTCGACGTACTCTCTCTCTCTCTCTCTCTATTAGTTTAACGAGACTAAGGGTGGGGTGGTTGTAATGAAAATGACACACAATGTATCAAAACTGTGTGTGTGTGTGTGTGCGTGAAAAAGATACAGTTCTATTATTCACATGAATAAATTATTAATTTGAACATTATTTAGGCAGGAAAAACTTATGGAGTTCTATTTTTTAAAATAAAAATAATATAAATTTAAACAATGTTTAAGGATGTTGATAGAATATATTACGTATCTTGACAAAAATAGGAGAGGTCGGCTCCTCCATTCACAAACAAAAATTGCGTGTTTTACGTAGCGACCGAAAATATATTTTGTCTCCAACAAATATCCCAGCTGTCATGTCGTTTTAGTATTTCCGAGGGCTGCGTTAAAAAAAAATTAATATATATACACTATCTTACACAAAAATGTCAGTATCGTTAAGGTGTTGAAAAATAAATGGTTGTTGTACGTGTATTTCATTCTCAAATTCGAAGCTAGTATCAAATCATAGAAAATTAGAAGCGGTTCAATGATTCAGCAAGAAAATGTAAGGACACCAAACTTTAAAGCCTAAAGTTGCCCTAAACCCATGAAATGTGTGAAAAATGGATTTATACCTTGAAAAATGTTACACACTGACACAGTTTTATAAACAATATCTATCTATACATTCCATGTTCGGTTTAGTTCGTTCTTTATTGTCCTGATCGCCAGAGTCAATATATACATTGCGGTGTTTCGGTTCAAATCGCAGATAACGTCGCTGAAACATAAACAACATCCCTCAACAGTTGTTAGGGAAATATTACGATAAGCTAACGTGACCTGTGACCTACGATTCAGACGACAAAATGCGGATAAGAAGAGTTCTCAAAATAGCCAAGCTACGCAAACGGCTCCACTTTCAGTACAAATATAACTCAAGTGAGAAATTTGACGTGTTCGAAAAAGTGCCTGCACTTTTGCATACGCGCCAAATTGAAAGCATCTAAGTTGTTTTGGAAAGTAGGTTGCAAATACCCTCAAGCCCATCCTATCAATCAAAACCTTCCAGGTGACTCATCACCCACGTCGTTTTGTTCAAGACGTTTGACAATTTTAGACAACCACTTAAGAAAAGGGTCTTATTGAAAATGAATTAAAGAATGAAATTACGATCATGATGACGAATATTAATGCACCATGTGGTGATCACAGATACTTATAATATACTGTGATATTGCATGGTCGTGGTATAATTATGTTCGAGATGTCTGATTGATATATTCCTTAGATCTATGTATTAACCAATGGGTCGTATCAAGAATACATTAATTATATCATTAAATATGAATTGTGTATTGGCGCCACTAAATTGAGATAATTAGATTTAATTTGTGATATGTGTATATACGCACATGGTTATGTTTTCCTTATCTGATAAAATATAAACCTGGAAAAAAGAATTTCAACACATTTGAAACTATATTTATAGCAATATCAAACAAAATACATCAAGAGATTTTAGCTCTTCATTTCCTCACAGCAAGTATTTACAGCACATATGTTTATGTGTGACCTTGTACAGCACAGGTAAGACGCGAGATTCTCATGACGAGGTGTGGTGTCAGTTCTGCTCGCACCTGCTACAAGTAACGCTTGGGCTGTCAATCCCGCTGTGAACATGTGTCAACATGGCGATGTGACTAGCGTTCCACATCCATACCGTGTGTTCACTGCAATATAGGAAAGGCCAGATTAGACAAGCCGAGAATTTCAACTGTGCGGCTCGTTACTGTACAGAAGGGGAACCGTCATCAGCTGATGATGTCATAACTGTGTTGAACCGGTGAGGGAAGATTAAATTAAATCTCTGAAATAAAACTATTTTAAGATTTTTATTTTTCAGTTATCTGTTAATATATTATAGAAAGGTGAAAAGTTAAAAAACAACTACACAATGGGTATATTTTTTTTCTTTCAAGGTCTGTATGCAGCTAGTATGTGAGACTAGGCTGATGGGTTACGGTAACGGCACCTATATAGGGGATGTCTTATATACTGTTTTCAGTCACAAGATCGAAATGTTTATACCCAAAGAAAATCCCATCTGGTTTCTTATAATAATTTCACCATAGTGTTTCAAATTAAACTCAAATTAAATGCAGAATCTTGCATATAATAAAGATATATCTCATAAAGAAAATAACTGCATGGCTTCTGTACATTCAGGTCATTTAGTAGTACTCCTGGGTTAGGTGAAGGTCATTCAATACCGATTTGTATTTTGATTGCCGTAACCATACACGTCACACTGCATTCTGTTTTCAGCCTAGTAACGTTTTGATAACGTTTGTAATTGTTCATCAAATCCAATTTTGCAAGTGTATACTTTCGTTTGCCCTGTAGATGAGATGAAATATTGCTGACTACGGCGTAAGCAAAAACTTTATTCATGTGGCTACGGAAATATATGGACAGAACAGGATACCTATATACCAGATCATTTCATAGATGCTTTCACTCAGACCCTGAAAGATATGTACATTCAAAATTGGCAATTTTCCTTATCAGTATCAAAGAAACTATCAAGTTATTCCCTCTTTAAAAACAGCTTCTGTGGAGAGCAATACTTATTAGATGTGACACTAAAAACATTTCGAATTGCACTTGCAATATTCAGATTTGGTTCGCACGAACTCTATATCGAGACGGGAAGATATATAGGGATCGTGAGAGAACACAGAATTTGTCCGTTTTGTGATTTAAACACTGCAGAAAACGAATACCATTTCTTACTACTTTGACCGTTGTATGCTGAACTCAGAAAACAGTTCATTGATAAATATTATATCCGTTATCTAAGTCTATAGAAATTTGTTTCATTAATGTCAAGTAAGAATGTAGTAAAAACGAAAAAGCTGTCAATGTACATATTGCATGCCATGACGCTAAGAAGCTCCAACTGTTACCTTTTAAATGTATATACACCCATTACTATATAACATGTACTATAGGCCTATGGCCTCTCAGTATTATGAATAAACACATAAACTACTACAGCGTAACAACGCACAAACAAACCTTTTAGCAGCTAAGATTAAACAATATTGGTCATTCAATGCACACAACGTTTAGAACATGTTCATTTTAGTATTGCGCCTTACACTGAAGCGTTAGAGGTTGAGATGACTGAACTACACTACCTTTTGGGTAGACCTGCACCATGACTGTTGAATATATTTATTTTATGAAAACAAAACCAATCTAGATATATACCTCTGGGGCAATATAGGGCCAAGCATATCGGTGCATTGTTTTCACTGAGCAGTATACATGTTTTCCCTCAATGCTGATTGGCTAGCTCATGCCAATTGTGTTCATTGTTTGAGAAGCGGCCCATAGCAGTGTGACGTCGTATTAAACGGATTGTCGCATACAAGTATAGATGTCATCCAATGTTCATGTCGCCACAGTCGGTTTTATGGGACGTCGTTCTAACAGTACTCCGAGAGAGTTGATATACATATTCACTTGTGACCTCAGAGATGAGTGATAAATAGAATAACCTACTTGCAACTCCGAAATTTTGCGGATTAACTGTCTTTCGTGAAATAATGTGGAAAGTGTTCAATTAAATCAGACAAATAGTTCGCAATTCCTTGGAGGTTGTAAATTATTATCTAAATAACACACTGCAATATCATTCATACCAAAAGCGTTATGAATGTGTCATGTGCTGCAGTGGAGCCTTTTTCACCCAGACTGGGCCCCGTTCAACAAAGTGATCTTAGCGCTAAGTCGATCGTAACTCCCATTCTTTAACACTGACTTACTACAGTCGTAGCGCTAAGATCGCTTTGTGGAACGGGGCCCTGGTCTTTTCGTTGCATAGATAATATAGGGGACACCCCTTCACCCCCACCCCTTTCATCCCCTGAATCCCAAATACTATCTAATTTTCACTCTAATCTCACCTCTAAATGCTCTTGCCCAGAATCCCGAATACTACTGAACAAATCTTAAAAGCATCGAGAAAACGATTTGAAGTTAGATTATTGAAAAAAAGTATCGAAAACAAAATTACTTAAAGGACTTTTTCTACGAACAACACTGTTTAAATGTTCAATCTGCCTACCAAAAACGATGTTTTGCGTCGCACGTACAACACTTCTGAGTCCCGAATAACATCTCTAAACAGAATACCGCGTACCAAAAGGGAGGTTGGCAGTGTCGTAATAGGTAATGCGCTTCGTGTATGATGTACACAGATTGTTTCTATTTTATATGTGATATTAATGTGCAGTAAATGTTCGCACATGACATTGATCTTTACACAATTTACACCACGCCAGGGATGCAGTGAGTTAACTGTCAAATCTTCACTGTACAAGTGCGGTCGAGTGGGATTTCCCTTCGAGACAACGTATGTTCGATGCCGTTGCTGCTAACATGTTTCACCCAACCAGAAGGGCAGGGAGCACGTATGACCCAGTCGTCAGAGGCCCTGCCATGCCTTCCGTCCCTTAAACGTACCAGAACGTATGGTCGTGGTTTCGCCCAGATTATGTTTTCAGGTTTTTCCGTACCACATCAGTGCTGGTGGGTTTCACCAAAGTGGTAAACGTCCAAAACCTGCATCTCTTCGGGTTTTCTTTCCTTACAAAGTTGATGTGCGGGATATCAGTACAATTCAAAGCCGCGTAAAACCCAACTCAGTCTTTCGAGAGGGGTATGCTTTCTCATTTATCATACAATAATCAATGTTTCATGTTATATGTGACACTGATAAAATACTGGCCACTGTGACGTGTGGGATTATTCATTAAAGCATGTTGCCGTTCAGCAGCCATTCGGTCATTCCAACACTAGCAGCCTACCAAGAAGCTCGTATTGCGCCATGGCCCGGTGATCACAGCCGTGGGAAAGTTTAAGAGAGCCATTACTATGAATGACAATGCCTAAAAGGTAACTTGTGTTAGCCATGCCTGTCTGACGATGGGTGTGGCATTGCGGCTGCAGTATATGTATGCAAGTCGATGCGCCCAGTTCATATTGATCACGTGAGAGAGTAAATAATAGTCTGTAATCTATGACTGAATGTATATCACAGCCTTACTAATCAGTCAGTATTCTATTTTGTTGGTGGCCTTTCGATCGTGACTAACTTTTGCTTTCTTTGTTTGTTGTTTAACGCCGCACTCAGCTATATTTCAGCTCTATGACGGCGGTCTGTAAATAATCGAGTCTGGACCAGACAATCCAGTGATTGACATTATGAGCATCGATCCACGCAATTGGGATCAATGACATGCATCAACCAAGTCAGCGAACCTGACCACCCGATCCCGTAAGTCGCCTCTTACGACAAGTATAGTCGCGCCTTTTACGGCAAGCATGGGTTGCTGAAGACCTGTTCTACCCCGGATCTTCACTAATTGAAAAAGGTTAAGTAGTAATCAGATACACTTTAACTGTCAGCTTCCTGTATGAGAGAAATACTATTAGGCATACAGAAACTACACATTGATGAACACAATGAATTTGAATCATTTGTAGTCCGTCACGCTACCGCCTGTGCTATACGACTGCCTGTCGTCAATATTTCTCGTCACCATTAGCTTGGTATATTTGTACATTGTTATGTTAATATTGTACTAAGTTCGTTGTACGTCCTGGTGGTATATCATTATGTGGTATGTGAATTTGATTTGTGTATCTAATTTCAATATATATTATACATATCATCCATATTTGACAGCCTGATGAGGGGCGGTGCCGTAGCCTAGTGGTTAAAGCGTTCGCTCGTCACGCCAACATCTTTCCGAGGCAAGGACGTTATAAGTGACTATAAAAGTCCAGTTTCCACCCTTGCCGAACTTGGCTGGTATTGCGGAGTTACATCTTAGCTGGACTATGGAGTCTAAGCAAAGTCCAATCAACGAGACATCCCGTTTGTAAACAACATGAATTTTAACGTGCAGGATTTGCAAAGCTTGTGTACTTTCAACTGGGCATCGTCAGATATTTTGATTTTTTTTCTTCATGTTTTTAATCAAGGTGCTCAAGTGATTTGATGCACTTCGCGGGGTAAGACCCGTTTTATTACAATATAGATCTTGATTATCGATCAGATCGCCTTGACTGGGTGCCTCCATTTTGTTTGAAGCAAATGCAAGTAATATAAGAGATGGAATCTTATTGGTCAATAGGAGGGACATAGAAGGGACAGAAACTCGTAATAGCCATTGGTGGCGCTACGATCGAGCCTGGAAATTCCAGCGTAGTTCGTCAAGGGTGGAAACTGGACTTTTTACAGTCAACTCCCTTGCCTCGTGAAGATGGTGTAATGTTGCCTTGATGTGGAAGACAGTATGACCCAAATCTAATGTTCTAACTCACTGGTGCAACCATTACGCCATACAATGTACCACTTTGCTGAAATACCCATGAGGACGGTTACAGTGCGGTTAGGCATAAAAACACGAATGTGGGATTCGAACTTACGATCATAGCATTCTTGCACACATAGGGGATGCAACTCTGAACAACGCATAGTGGCGTCTTTGATGCCTTGTCAACCTCTGCCCCAAATGCAATTGTTCATCTCGTTTTAGTTAAAATAAATGGGCCAGAAATTGGCTTAAACGCTGTACCCGTGTGGGGAATCAACCCAGATATTCAGCGTGGCGAGCGAACGCTTTAACCACTAGGCTAGCCAACCGACCCCTTCATATAGAAACCAGGTTATTTTTAGTAATAATGTTCATCTTCAAGTACTGTAGCGGCCATAAAGATGGTATTATACTGGTATGACCTTATCATTAATGCTGACCTTATCTCCGTATCAGTTTATATTTCCGCATTTTTCTCATTGTATGCCAGATACTGATCAAAGATGAGAAAATAACATTTAGTCGACCCAACCGACATCGACAAAATGGATGATTAGGATGTGAAACGGCAAAATGCATGTGTAGAGTTACGTCCCTTTGAAATGATGCCGTTATGCGTCGCTTGCGCTACACAAAAGGAACAAATACCAATCCCAATATGTGTCAAGTAGATTGTGTCGCCATTGTTTATTGGCTTGTCTATTTGACCCACCCCCACCCCCACCCCCACCCCCACCCCCCATGGCACACACGCGCACGTTCATGAACGTCGCCATGTATAAGTGCAATGATCTTAAAAGGGACGTTAAACTTTTACCTCACCTTCAATATTCACACACTGAATGCAATAAGTTATGATATGAAAACCTGTGTCCATATTATTCCCCTGCATGGCGTCGTGCCCTGAAGGCTGTGATAGCTGGCCATGCTTTTAGTAACTAATTTGTCGACCCGTGAAGATTCGGGGTAGAATAGATCTTCAGCAACCCATGCTTCCGTAAAAGGCGACTATGCTTGTCGTAAAAAGGCGCCTAACGGGATTGGTTGGTCAGGCTCGCTGACTTGTGGTTGATGAATGTCATTGTATCCCAAGTGCGTCGATTGATATTCAAGATGTCAATCACTGGATTGTCTTGTCCAGACTCGATTATTTACAGAGCGCCGTCATATTGTTGTAATATTGCTGAGTGCGGCGTTAAAGAACAAAGACAATCAAACACTACTTTGGTTTGTCCACTTGATGGAATAGTGCTGACTTAAACAAATCAGCTATACCAAATGTCGCCAAGGTGTTAAATATTATACCTACTCAGGCTATGCAACTTGCCTTTGATTTGCGGTTTTGTCATAGGACAACTGATTAATTATTAAATGTCGATTAATAAAAAAAAATCTCCACCTTCAGTTCCTCCCATCCACTCGTCGGGTGAACTTTGGTGCAAGACCAAACCTGACCCCATTGTCACGACATGTCAGGATATACATTAGGGTGTAGTTGTTTCAAGTGTGGTTTCAAGAACTATTATAAGCTTCAGCAGCAACTCCTATACGGTTGAATGCCTTTCCCGCCTAAACTCGTGATGTCGTGTTGTAACGTTTCCTTCCTCAATCAAGATGCATTGGCATCGCGCATTACCTCATTCAAGTTGATGTATACACAATGCACATGTACATCCCAGTAAATGTGTGAGTGAGTGATTGAGGTTTTCCTGTTCTTTCAGCTATATACAAGCAATATCACGGCGGGGACACCAGAAATGGTACCCATTTGAGGGATCAAATCCGGGCCTTCGGCGTGACAAGCGGACGCTTTAACCACGAGGCTACCACACTGTTCAGAAAATGTAGGTGTGTATATTGCCTATGTAAATGTATACGTATTTATGCATGTTGTAGAAATGTATACGATGGTCGTCTTTAAAATCTGCATGTTACGATCTCGCGTTGTTTTGGAGCACTTTTACAGATGCACCGTTTCAGACTGTTGTTTTGTATGGTGTACTTTACGCCTGAATAGAGAACTGTCCCTAAAGTCAATCAATAGAGGACCCCGTTAATCTGGTCCAAGAGGTAGTCTCATCGGCGCACCAGACACAATGCTGCGATTGTCACAGTGGTTCTTAAGCAATATGTACATCTCACAGCGTGGCATGTCCTTGCCCTAAGGATCATATACTTGGATTTCTATTGATGACGTCAGTGTTTTAAATGAATTTTGCAAGGTTCTTTCTACAAGATGCAAAGATGACATTGTTCCAAATGGTCAGAGGAAGGTGGTCAACTGGAGATTTCTCGAACATATTTTTTTAGATAAGTGACAATTATCAAAGAACTTTACCGACCCCACCCACAAAAATTTTATGTTATGCAAATTATATGCTAATGAGGTACAACTTGCATAAATTATGCTAATGAGATTCATTGACGTGGTCACGTGATACATTGTTCGCCGCCATGTTTCCAGAGAGCAAATCCGGCAGACTTGCATAGCTCATGTGAACTTGGAACCGGTGTGTCAGTCAACTGTATTTCTCACTCAAGTAAGCCAAACAGATGGACCAGGTCCCACAGATAGCGAACCGAAAGTTACTGCGAGCTTAACTCTACTTATGATTATCAGGGCGAACGGCTTTGCGAAACTTGATTTTCGCGGAAAACCTTGCTGTCACACTGTAAACAAGTTCCGGTATTAAGCTTTGCCTCACACTCGATACGCTGATGTTTACTGCGGCTGTGGCTTTTTGGAGTGGAGAGTGTTGATTTAATCTTACGTTACACGACATTTTGCCCACAATTTAGGCAACATATCTGCGAAAAGGAAAAGAAACCCGCCATAGAATTTTTTGATCGCGCATGTCTATTCGTAAACTTCCGGTTTAGTTTTTCATTCTTGGAGCGAAAATAGGAATCCATCATCTGTTGTCCGTGAATTGATAAGATTGTGCAGTTTAACTTTGAATCGTGCGCTTTATGGTCACGCAAGGTATTTTCTTGTAAATTTTACTTGTTCATGTTGATTCTGAAGATTGATCATTGTTGTTAGTTGATATTAATCGAAATCCACTGTCGAGGATGAGCTTATTTCTCACTGACTTAAAACTGAACAGCATGATAAGCCGATGTATTTTTGTTCTTATTTGACACATGGTTCCTAGGTTAATATATTGCTATAATTTGCCGGTTTTGGTAAGACAGAAACAAGTGACTGAAAGGAAAGCCATGCGGGGTTAACAATAGCTTTGATGAAGTTGTTTGTAGCCCCATAGAAAATGATAGTTGATACAGCTCAAGTTTGATTTATGCAACGCAATATTGAATGAACTACCATGTAGTAAGCCCTTTAGTTCAGAAAATAGAATGATATAGAACCATGATTTGAATTTACAGCTAACGTTCATGTATCAGCCCCAATAATGACATATCACTATCATATATTGAGATTTTTTTACAATCTAACATGACCAAATGACATTTAAATAATGACACATCTTGTGATAAACAACAGTTACACAGGTCAATAGAATGTAATGGAGCTTTAGTGAATGGTTGTGTAATCCTAACAAAATGGTTAAATTGATTATGTACAGGAAGGATTGGATAATGACAAAGACCACTATCTCTCAATGCTCTCAAACAACATTTTGTGTTTTGTTATATATATGTCTGTTGATTTGCAGGTAAACCAAGATGACTTGAAAAAGTGAAAGGCTTCAGGTTTGACCATCAATAGCTACAATGGAGGTTAGTACAGACTTTCAGTATATTTTACACTCATGAACCTATGAATGTTTATTATGCAGTTCACAGGTTGAATATTAGATCTGGTTTTGAACACTGTTCTCATGTACATCATGGTGTGTTTTATGGTGACCGTTGTATGAAAGTGTAAACATTGAGTTATAAAGAGAGGCTACAGGAACCCTGCTGAGGTTTTTTTTCTTCAAACCAGTGACATAAGTAATAATGTACTCCATCTGACTGACAAAATGCTTTCATTGGTTAGTTCTGATATTAACTTATTGTGTCTTATAATATAAGCCATTGTTTCTAAAAGGCATTATGGTTTACAGATACAAAATATTAAAAAAAGGTATATGAATAGGCTACTGATGCAAGCAGTGTTTATTATGTTCAGTGAAACTTTAGGATATCTTTGATGAAAACATAATGCTTCAATCAGGGTTGAATTACATTTTGGTTAAATCATCTAGCATATTGACGGCTTTTGGTGGTTCTTAGATATATGTTTTAGCATAGACCTGTTATATAGTGAAGATTTTGAAGGCCATTGTTTATCATGACTGCTGTGGAGATTCTGGGTTAGCATAGGTCAATCGGCCTCAGTCACTTGGTTGATTGTGTGTAGTCAAATCCTGACGGCATGAATCATTGTTAACAATGTGAAGCACTAGGTTGTCTGGTCTTCATCCTGTGTGGGAAATTGCTGAGTTGCAAAGTTTATTGTGAAAGGATATGATAACTTCTAAGAAAACCCCTTATAAAGCCTGAATTTCTGCTAGCCCTCTGGATATCTCTCGACATTAGATTCCTCTCATTCTGACATGCTTGTGTGAAGTTGTATCCATGCTCCCTTTTGAAGAGAAGGCTGGATTACCCTTAAAAACAAAGGATCACTGCAGCTAAACACATAAATTCTCAGTTTAATATTTCCTGAAACCATCACCATATTTCATGTTGCAGGGCTCAAGCTCAAAAGGCTCCTCCAAGAGGTAAGTGAAAAAAACATTAAAAAGAATTTCAAATCTACTATAGCACCTAACACCCCTAGTTGTTTGTAAGTCATGGTTCCCATGTAATATTAACAATGTATAAAATATTGTTTAAGAAATTTATTTGCTTTTAATCTGAGGTCTGTAAATATTTTTCTTCATTTCAGGAAACCAGCATTTACCATGAAGATAAAAGTGTCTGGTAAGAAGAAACACGAGAGTGACTCCGACAATGATGACTACGATTCTGATTATTCCAAAAGGAAATCTAGGTCAAAGAGAGACAACTCTGACATTTCAGATGCTGAGTCCATACCTGACTTGCCCGAAGGTAGGCACCCCATTGATAGAAGAAAACTGTTTACTATGACTATGTTTAAGATGAATAAGGCACCCAAACTGACACGAAATATGTTAGCACAGCTAGCAATTTTTGTATTGAAGACTAAATGGAAATGATGCCAAGAAACTTATTTTCAGCTACATTTTCAAGAATGATGACTTCTTTCTGACGATCTATTTATATCTGGATTTTTCAGGTACTGTTGTTGTTAAACCAGAACCTGTGAAAGAAAAGAAAATACGGTTTAGCGGACCAGAATTTTCCAAAGGTAATTATTATACTGAAGTTTATGTGTGTTCAAAATAATTTCTGATTGTTTCTGATGTGCATGAAGTACATACAGGACCCTCAATCAAAAGGGCTTGGGATTATATTATAATGTCATTCTGATAAAATAATGATCTTGATCAGATAACACAATATGATACATGAAACCATGGCAACAGCACTTATCGACATGATGTATCTTGTGAATCTGTATTACTATGGCATTGGTACGTAAACCAGGATCAGAGTATATCCTCAGTACCATATGCTTGCAAAGGGATGTGACATGGCAGAGATTGCATTGTACACTGACTAGGTTGTATGCTGTTCATACTATCAACCATTGGTTCGTCTGACTCAGGCACAATTATTGTCCCTACAACAACTGGGGGTGGGTGGGTGGGGGGGTTATTAAAATGGACTCAAACTTGGAACATAGATAGGACTAGCAGTGAACTGGGGACTTGTGATAGTTTGGGATTTAAAAAACAAAACAAATTGAGTTTGCATGGTATCAATTTTGACTTGGACTGGAAATGGCGGTAGTGGTCGTTTCCAGAGCAGTTTTTGAAAACTGAAAATTTCTTCACCTAACTTGGCACATAGCTAAGTCTATGGTGAGCTGGTACCTTTTGATACCATCACATTTGGCATGCAATCTAAAACACTAGTTGAAGTATTTACCACTGCAGGGTATATCAATGACATTGTCCTCTTGCATCTTGCAGTGATGTAGTTGGAATATGTTGTGGTAAGACAGCCTAACTTACCTGAATGTTGCTAGTTGTGTTGTGACATCTGCTAACTCTCCACAGTACCAGATAACCTGGACATCGTCAACTGCACGTCCTGTGGGAGGCAGATCAACCCTAATGTGTCTGGAGCTGCTAAGCGACACCCAGAGCTGAAAGTTCTAATATGCAGGGTAATGTCAATGTTTTTATCACCAAACAACAATGCTAAAATAATTGCTATAACTTGGTCTTGCGATAGTAAAGGATTGTACATTATCAGGATTGACCTGCCGTGAAACAATTAGAGGCAAGGCTGAGCACATTTCCTGTGCATTGGTACTTTTAAGGATGTACTGTGACAAGTTCTGATTCTTATCCAACTTTCAACTGCCTCCGTGGTCTAGAGGTAGAATGTCCGCCGGAGAGCGGAAGGTCCGGGGTTCAATCCTTGTCCACGTCATACCAAAAGACATTTAAAGATGGTACTTGTTGTTACCCTGTCTGGCACTCTGCATTAAGGGGCTAAAACAAGGACTGGTTGGCTCGGAGTCAGTATACTGTGTCTGAGTGGGGTATTCATGTTAAACTGCGGCATGGTATCTCAGTGTGCTAGCACTATAAATCGGCATCAGTCCGGACTAGTACAAGTAGCTGCACACACGTGCATGCACGTCGCCCTATAAGTGCAATAATCTTGGACGCGATGTTAAACCCAATTTCACCTCACCTTACCCAACTTTAAAAACAGATAGTATGCTTTGCATGAAACAGTACTCTGAATGTTGAATCTGCAGTACATTTATCATCCCAAACAGGCCCCCACAGGAGATATCGCTTGGATGAGATAAGCGATATCTACATTGTAGATATCACAATGCTTTTGCAGACCATTGTGACATCATTGGTTACAATGATGTCACAATCAAATGACATCACTAATGGCTCTGCTACTGAAGCTGTTAGCAGTACTTTTTACACTTAGACACTGCCTGTTACTCTCTACAAACTGAAAAAGTTGGAAGAATGATGTTGGATGATAAATAAAATCTCACCCTGATATCTTTGGATACGGCAAGCCTCGCAGGTTTTCCACTTTTATCAACTCATGTTGATATATTTAATATCAAAAGACACTCGGGTGAGATTATCTATTTATCAGGTTTGGGAACTGCAAGTGTGATGTGAATCAAGGAAGTGTCCTTCAAAAGCAGTCCACGTGCAGATATTTTGTCAGACTGTTGTGGTCTGTTGTATCCTGTATTTATGAAGATCGCTAATAAAAGTTGCCCAACAGTGCTAGTTGCAGCTACTGTGAAACCCAGTAAGTCTGGCAACCAAACCTTCTTGCCCCAAATCTTGTACTTGCCCAAAAATCAAACTAATAATTTCAGTAAAATGTTACATCCACAGAACTGAGAATCAGAGATAGTGTTCCCTCGCTATTGCATCCATCAATATAGTGTTAACTCGGTTATAGAGCGATGTAACACATGGCTCCCCAAATTTACTTACATATTTAATAAACTCAAGTTTTCCACTGACACAACGTTTTCCCCCCCATCTCAAAAAACATTATCAGCTGATCACCACAAACAGGTCACGCAATACTCAGTTATTTACAGCAACAACGGTCAGATTACCGATATTTATTACGCCTTGAAATGAACTTAAGTTGCCATAGAATGGATACATTCATAAATGCCATACTTTGACTCAATAAAAGTCATGTTTGTGGCAATTTGACTATTATGTCAACATATCATTTTCACAATCGAAATACGTGGAGCGCAGGAAGTCCCTACGGTGACTGGTCAAATTGTTCCATACACAAAAATATCCTGCAATAGCAATCAGCGGTACCAAAGTGAATGGATACATTACAAATTCCAAGAAATGTTGTCAACTGTCCATCATTCAATTTCCAAGAGGCATGTGCCATATATGGAAGTGTTACTACGATTATCAATGAAACAAGCCTGGTTCTCATTGTTGTTGACCTGCCTGACATCAAAGTGTATTAATCCCATTGGTTGACTGGTGTAACTGTATGCAAATTAGATTGCCATTCTGTGACACTAGCAAGATATTAGCCAATGAATTGTCGTAACATGATCACATAACATTCTCATGAAACTTGACCCAGTTCCTATTGTATGCTCTACTTGTCCACGGGCATGCCAGAAAACGAATATAACTCATCCGACATCTAAATCTTACATGGCACGGGCGTCGGGCAATGGTATTTTTCAACCCCTGTTGATGCATGTCATCGTATCCCACTTGCGTGGATCAATGCTCATGATATCCGTCACTGGATTGTCTGGTCCAGACTTATTGGTTTACAGACTGCTATCATATAGCTGAAAAAGTGCTGAGTGAAAATAAAATGACAGATGAAACGAGCAAACTGCAAAGGGACAAGTTCTGGCTGATAGATCAACAGTATTTGGCAGACTGTTTGAGAATCGTCAGTGTACAATTAATAGGATGTTACTTCCATGCACATGATTTGAATTGTAGATCAGGGGGAACAATTACGCTGAGAACTGTATGTCTATGTTAGTAATGTTTTACAGTCCGTGACTTAGTTACTAGTCCGAAGTTCACCTGAGAAGATTTGGGATAGAATTGGTCTTCAGTGACCCATGCTTGTTGTAAAAGACGATTAACAGGATTATGTGTATTCCAAACTAAGTGCCCATGGCAAGCAAATTTGAGGGGAAAACATAATGTTTTACTATTATTATTTTCGTAAATTCTGGGGAATTGGAAAATGTTTGATTAGGAATTTTAAACTAGGAATTTTTACTGTTATCTGCTGTGGTCTTGGCTGTACATCAGTGTCTGGCTGGTCTAGATAAACCCCCTAGATTTGTAATCATTGCTGCACTTGTGTTCCAGAAATGTTACAGCTACTATCGCAGTGGGAAGATTGAGCAGGACGAGGATGGATTGGATGAACAGTGTCGATGGTGTGGGGAGGGAGGAAGGCTCCTCGGTTGTGATCACTGTCACAATGCTTTCTGCAAGTCCTGTATCATTAGAAACTTCAGCCGGGCGGAACTCACCACAGTCATGGCTGATGGTAAAATCTGGAAGGATGTTTTTGTAATGATAGTGTTTATTGAAGTATGAGATCCAGATAACTGTCCTCTTGTGTATGGCTAGTAGATTTTGTTTTTGTAAATATCCCATAATGTATGAAACTGTTCGATATTTGTGTAAAGAAGAGGCACAAATTGTGATTTGATCGTAGTGACAATCCCACTGGCATATAAGGGATTTGTCCAAAGAAGACAATATGTGTACTTGTCGTATGAATATATATATAATAGTTTTCAATTTGTGATTTGACAGTACCTAAGAATAAGAGTTCTAAATTGGTCCCTTCAATTATTTTTTTCCAGAGCAATGGTCCTTTCTCTGTGATTTTCAACTTTGTGCATACTACTTGAAATGGGGACAAATTTTCTCAGAAACTACTGGAGTTAGAGGAATGAAAGTTGGCATGCTTATGTAAGAAATTCTTGTTAAGTTCGAAATTTGGTCCTATAAATTAATTGTTTTACAGAATTATGGCCCTTGCCCCGTTTTTTTTCAACTTAGGGCATAGTGTGCGCAATGGGGACAAGTTTTCTCAGAAACTACTGAAGCTTTAAAGATGAAAGTTTGCATGCATATCTAAGAGATACTTGTCAAGACTGAGTTTGGAAATTGGTCCTGTAAATTATTTGTTGACAGAGTTACTGCCCTCAATCTCATTAAAATCAGATCTTAGTTCTCGCTACCGCTAAACAAAGATCTGAGGACATCCAATTAGGGGTCACGTCAGAACGACCAATCAGAGCGTCGCTTACCAAATCATGAAAGTGACAATCGGAATGTGATTTCTTATCATGCAACCCTGAAAACTTTTTACACGGGGTATTCCGAACGATAGTTACGGGGTAAACGACTTAATCCATACAATCTAGATCATCTATTAGCCATTCCAGAATATATTTTTTTGTTCAGGTTTCAAATGAATTTGTAAAATATGTTTCGAAGAGTAGTTGCCAATTTGAAATTAGTGCCGTAAAGCACAAGTAAGCTGCCTTCTCATTGGCTAATGACGACTTCTCGTCAGTCATTCCATTGGTCGATCAAAGTTCGCACAAGGTCGGTCTGACATGACCCGTAATGGGATGTCCTCAGATCATTGTTTAGCGGTAGCGAGAACAAAGATCTGATTTTAATGAGATTGTGCTGCCCTTGACCCTTGTTATGTTACTTTGTGCACAGTGTGTGCAACTGGGGTTTTCTCAGAAACAACTGAAGTTAGCTTATCTGAGAGATATTTATCAATACTTAGTTACTTTTTCCGGAGAAAGGACCTTTTGCGTGTAATAATTTCACATTTAATCATTTTTTCTACTGACAAAAGAGCAGCCCAAGTGCCTATCTCTTCTTAAGGCATTATGGGGCTCTTTTTTATAGTTTATGTTCACTACTATATGAATACTATATGAACAAACAAACCTTTAATGTGCCTCATGGCAGGGGATTGTGATGTCACTGTTTTCTTCTTGTTGTATTTTTATGTTACTATAAGGGTACATGTGCCATGATTTTTTATCATTGCAATGTTGGAAATCCGGCATGGAAGCCGAGGGGTACTTTGCATGACCCCTTTTGTTAAAAGTAAAGTGTTTAGGAGATCCCTAGATTTGTAGGTTCTATAAGTCAACCCCCAAGGATTCAGGATGCCCTCATAGATTTGAATGCTGCAAATTCTTCAAAAGTCTTCTGCTTTATTTCCAGATGGATCTAAGTGGAAGTGCTATGTGTGCGACCCTTCTAAATTGAAGAAATTGTTGCGAGAATGTGACTCTTTGTTCAAAAAGATTGAAAAGGAAAAGCTGAAAGCCAAGATGCAGAGCAGTACAGACTCCAAGAAATCAAACAGTAGCAAGCCTCAGAAAGCAACGGGTAAATCTATGAGTAGTAAAGAGCATGTCACCAGTAAAACACATAAAGATTTAGTGTCGATCGCCAATTTCACAGTAGGTACATCAAATGTAGTTAACGTTTCTACCCAACTGTTAGGGTTAACAGCTGGCTTTCATACAATGTTGGAAGTTCTAAACGTTGATCTTAATACATCAGGAGATGTTAAAAATAGCAGTAGAGAGGCTAATAGTAAGAAGGACCATGGTGCCAAAACCCTGGATACTGGCCTCAAGGAATTCCTCAAGTCTGTCAATACAATCCTATGTGATGCCTTGGAATCTAAAGAGAAAGCCCCAGTTGAGAATGGTGAAACCACCGAGGATGAAAGCGTAGTTTCCAACGGGCATATTTCTCTAAGTGATGATGACAATAGTGCTGCACAAACAGAGGAGGAGGTGAAGGTCAGTAGGAAAAGTGCTAGAGAAGGTCGACAGGTCAGAAAGGGGTCAAAAACAGAGGAAAAAGCTCCCATTAAAAACAGGGACGGGAGAAAAGACGTGTCAAAGTCTTCTTTAAGGAAGGAATCCAAAATGGACGTCAGTGTAGATGATGTTGTATCTAATGAAGTCTGTGATGTAGACAATGATTCAGATGAGTTCGATGTCCCAGTCTCATTTGGACCAACTGATGGAGCAGGGGATGGCCATACTGTAAGTAAAGATGAGCAGACTGAATCTAAATCTGATGAATCTGAAAGCCAAACAAAGGATGACAATGATGGTGTTAAGGGCTCGAGGCCTCTAAGTGAAACCGAAAATGAGGCAGCCCAGTTGGAATTGCTGAAAGAGTTGGCAGAGGAGATGTGTAAGGAACAGAAAGAAAGGAAGGAAGAGAAAATTAATGGGGAGGAATCAAGCAAGGTGAAGGTCCCTGAAAAGAAAAAGAGGGAACTTGAGAAGGACAAGAGTGAGGTCACAAAGGAGGACATCAAGGACAAAAATGGGGACGTCAAGGATAAAAGTGGGGACAGTTCTAAGAGTGCCGAGGATTCATCAGTGGATGACAGTGTGTCGAGCTCAGACCTCCTAATGAGTTCTGACAGTGATTTTGCCCAGTCATGGAGTATGAAGAAGAGAAAGGAAAAAGGTAAGTTGTTATTGTGTTGTCTCATATATGGAATAACCTTGAACAATTGTAAATGGATTGAGCTTGATATATATGTTACATGACCCTTCAGATTTTATTTTTTTTGAGGCTGTCAAAATGATTGTCCCTTAAAGATCTCCCTTAAAGTATGTCAGACTTCAAACACTCAGAAATGTCACGACCCGTGAAGGTCTGGGGTAGAATAGGTCTTCAGCAACCCAAGCTTGCCGTAAAAGGCAACTATGCTTGTCGTCAGAGGCGACTAACGGGTTCGGGTGGCCAGGCTCACTGACTTGGCTGATGCATGTCATCATATCCAAATTGTGTCGATCGATGCTCATGATGTCAATCACTGGATTATCTGGCCCGGACTCACATTATTTACAGGCCGCCATCATATAGCTGATATATTGCTGAGTGCGGCATTAAACAACAAACAAACAAACAGAAATGTCACATATGATCTGATACTTGCTATTTGTGAATATCATTTTGCGTGTGTGCGTGCGTGCGTGCACAAATGATTATCAGTGCCAGTGTCGTATAAGGGTTTATTAATTCTGAGTGATTTATTGCGAAAAACCTGCCCTTAAGGGATCAAGCCCAGGTTTGCCCTGAGTATGTTCAAAGCAGTGTTAAACCCAACTCACTAATTATAAAACTGTCTATTAGGATTGTCCTCTATAGGCATTCTGGGTTAGAATAGGTCCAATGAGTTGACTTAATGGATCGGGTGGTCAGGCAAAATTCTCGAAGTCACCTATTTACAGGCCTCGGTCATAAAGCTGGAATATAGTTGAGTGCAGCATTAAACTACATACAAACATAAGGATAGTAGAGGGGGAAATAAGATATGAGCAGAATGGTAAAATGGGTTGCATGAACAAGACCATCCCATGTCATCCTTCAACTGATGCTTGTCAGTGGCTGTCAGCCTATTCCACTAGTATTGGGGTCTAGCTAAACCCCTGACTTTGTCATGCAGCATGATTTGATTGACTAGTAGCACATATTGTCACCCGTGAAGTTCCGGGGTAGAATAGGTCTTCAGCAACCCATGCTTGTCGTAAGAGGCGACTAACGGGGTCAGGTGGTCAGTCTTGCTGACTTGGTTCATGCATGTCATCAAATCCCAATTGTGTGGATCGATGCTCATGATGTCAATCACTAGATTTACAGACCGCCGTCAACTCCAGACTGCTGAAATATTGTTGAGTGTGGCGTTAAACAACAAATAAACACATATTTTATGTGTAGTGTCTCTATAACAATCATGATATCGGGTAATTGCACAGCACAGGCCTGGGTTCGAAATTAACATTTCTCTCAGTACAAGTGTTGTAAAAGTCAGGAAGGACCTGTTGCATTCCATCATACTATTTTTATCTATGTAGATGGCAACTCTGAGCCTAGTGAGAGTATATATTAATTTTTACCCCTGCAGTCTTTGTAAACTGCTTTCCCATATATAGCAACATTATGTTTTGCAAATAAACAGTATTATCAAGGTAATTTTGCTTATTTTAGGTCAGAGAAAATCAGGAAGAACAGAAGACAAATTGGAGAGAAAGAAAAGAAAGAAGCAGAAGAAGGAAAAGGCTGAGAGGAGATCTTCTAGGAAGAGGAAAGAAGAGAAGAAATTGAGGAAAAAGAAACCCAAAGCCACTGATAGTGAAGATGACCTGGAGAAGGAAATTTCAAAACTTGAAGAAGAACCAGAAATGAAGAAGAAAACAAAGAAGGAGAAAACAGACTCGGAGGAGGACTTGGATGAGGCCACTACGTGTAAGAAGGAAAAGAACAAGGAAAAGAAGAAGGAAGCGTCTGACGAAGAAAAGAAAGGCAAGTCTGAAGAAGAAATGCAATTGCTCCACATTCTGGCTCCTATAGTTGCCCAGTCCCATCATCACAGTGGAGTTGCTTTATACCCTGCATGTGACAGGTTATATTGACCATGAGCCCAGGTTTCCTCTCTGCTGTTTTCTTATGTCAGGAAATAGCTATGTTACATAGATCTTATGGGAAATTGTATCTGCTATGTATTACAAGTGAACAAAAGGAAGGTGTGAAAACTGCTTGCTTGAAGCCTCCTGCTCTAGAACACTTCCATCATAATTGAAATACAGCCAGAAATGTATGTCTGCATTCAGTATTTTCATTACGTTCCATGACAGCATGACATCTTTTCTAATGAGTTTCTCCCATCATGCTCACTGCAAGCAAAGGATACACGTTGCACCTCCACAAATTTTGCACCTCCACAAATTTTGCACCTGACTTTTTTACCTTTTTATACCTTACATTCTGTTTTTCCCTTTTGGTTTGTTTCCTGTCTGCTCTGCTTGATAGAATGTAAGATTTGATATTATTATTCACCTATTGAAGATACCACTGTGTAATAACAATAGGCTTACACAGTGTTTAATTATTGAAAGCTCCCAACCTCCCTGGCCTTATTCAGTGACATTGCGTTAAGAGATGATAGGTCACTGTCACGAGCTTACACACACTCGAACCCAGCAACCCTGTTGCTCGGGTGACGTCACATAGCATTCTTTCGCTGATGTATCTTGCTACAAAATTTCACAAAGTACTTCATAGGGTATTGTGACATGATTGTGAACTTTGTGGTGCGGGAGCCCCGGTTCACAACGTGACGTCATAACTTTTTATGGTATTAAATTAATATGTGTTAACTTGTTATGTTGGAAGTACTATTCTGTTAAACTCGATTAAATTAAGGTGTGGTTTGTGTAGATGCCTATATACAAACAACAATGAAATTTAAAAAAAAAAAAAATGGCAAGTAATAAATAAAATAAAATACAAGCTTCCGTGTAATAACAAATTCATGAAATTGTGAATAGTTGTGGTAAACAAGTTTACAAGCAAAAGCAAGTCCGGTTCCAGAATTGTTCACAAGTTTCATAAAATTGGTGTTACACAAGAGCTCGTTTATATTTATGAATTAAAATGGTATAAATATAGTAAGTCCCAGATAGCATGAAAGTGGGGGGTTCCTTGTCGTGACTTTTACTGTTAAAATGAATGAGTTAGTGTTTTGTTTGTACTCATGAAGCAGAAAACCTAAAGGTTCCTGGTGCCCCCTCAATTATCTCTCCTCCACACACACCCCAACCCCCCTCAAACCTTTATTTCTAACTCTATATCCAACTGTGGCAGACTGGCCTAGACATCAGACATCATGATAAGTGCATTATAAGAAATTAAAACTTTGCTCCATCTAATTCAGTTCTTGCTATATTGATCTACGTCATATTTCATATATGAAGATATAAATATAGGTAGAACCACATATCATTTATATTTAAGGACATATTTCCAATGCCGATGAGTTGAGGCAGTTTTCAGCTGTTGGAATGAAGCAGCTAAACAGACAAAATCAATAACTACCAGAAACATTGTCAGTCGTAAGGTCAACTCTTGCAGTAGACCACTTGATGTGTATTTCATCCATCAATTATTTACCAGCTCTGTTTGTCAAAGGTTGAGAAGGTGTCCTATGTCTTATAGGTAGAAAGACCAGGGGGAAGAAAAAGACGGAAACATCCAGCTCGGATGATGGTGATGATGACAATGAAGTTGATGATGATGAAGATGAAGATGATGATGATGTGCTTAAAATGAAGAATGGGAAGAACAGGGTATTTTGTCTCTAATACTAGACCAATTTGTCAAGGTATATCAATACTAGGCAGTGATTTTGCAAGAAGCTATTTGTATTTAAATACGAAGTACAGGGTATTTTGTTTCCAATACTGGACCTTTGTGTGATGTTAAGCTTCAAGTTACCTGGATTTATTCAAGTAATTTGTCAGGCTATTTCATAATGAGGCAGTGATTTTGCAAGAGGCTATTTGTATTAAGAGGTTTTCAACTTTTCATGATTTGTCAACTTTTGATGTTTGCTTCACACCAGACTTGAATTTGTTTTAAAAATAATGACAATCAGCCAGTATCCTAGAAAATGATCTGATATGAAACCCTTCTTGGTAAATATTGGTTTGTAGAATGCCTCGTGAAAAGTTGGTTGAGTAAACATAGCCCTTAGTAAAAGCTTCGAAGCGTTGAGTCTTTGCCAAACTGCCCAATAGTTAGATATCCTAAGATCTACCACAAAATTTGCCATGATTAAGGGTTTTGCTACTCATTATCATTATAAGGACTATTGGACTAAAACAGTTAGTTTTTACGGTTGACTTATGAGTGATAAATACACTAAAATAATATAAAGTGTGATTAAAAAAATAGCATGGGGATTCAGAAATTAAGAAAGGTATTATCAATCTCAATGAAAAGGATGGTGCTAATTAGACAAACTTCATGGAGTTCGATGTCACTAACTTTCTCTGCTCCCTTCAGACACCTGAATCGGCAAATGGCAAGGACCTTGAGAATGAGGTAGCAAAGAAAGCTTTGATGGCGGAGTTGGAAGATGCTGATGAGGAGGGAGGCGATGAGAGTGGCAACGATGACAGCGAGTCAGGTACGATTGGATCCAAAACAGTCTTCAAGATGGCATAGATATGGCCAATACAGACAAAGTCTGCATTTCAAAACAGCCTGCATCATTTTTATCTACCAATATTTATTAAATTTTAAACTTATCAACAAGGTGCATATGATCAACAAAATCAATATATGTATAGTATGGCATATTTATGGTCCAGGAATAAGAACTAGTGGTCCAGTGGTAGAGCATCTGCCCGGAGAGTGGTAGGTACAGGCCATGTCATACCAAAAGACGGTACCTATACGGTTAAAAGATGGTACCTGTAGTAACCCTGTTTGGCGCTCTGCATTAAGGGGCTAAAACAACGACTGGTCTGCTCCTAGTCAGTAGACCCGTGAAGATCCGGGGTAGAACGGGTCTTCAGCAACCCATGCTTGCCGTAAGAGGCGACTAACAGGATAGGTTGGTCAGGCTCGCTGACTTGGTTGAGGCATGTCATCGCTGTGAATTGTGTGGATTGATGCTCATGATATCAATCACTGGTTTGTCTGGTCCAGACTCGATTATTTACAGACTGCCATCATATAGCTGGAATATTGCTGAGTGCAGCGTTAAACAACAAACCAACCCACCAATCCTAGTCAGCATGCTGGGGTGTTCTTGTTAAACTGTGGCATGGTATCTCAGTGGGCTAGCCCTATATGATAAAATTGGCTTTAATCTGGACTAATGCAACCATACACGCACATGTACATGTGTGCCTGCACATCGTTATATAGGTGCAATAATCTTAAGTGCGATGTTTAACCCCATTTCACCTTGCCCATCATACCTAGAATAACAAGAATATGTGAATATATAGTTTTGTTTGCTAAAGATGTTATTGCCATTGTGGTATGGTTAATGTCAATATATCAATTGACAACTGGGGGAAAGTAGCTTTGTGCTGGAATTTCCTTATTCTTTATCATCTGAATGACTGGGAGTGGTAGGGTAGCCTAGTGGTTAAAGTGTTCGCTAATCATGCCTTGGTTTGATACCCCAAATGGGTACAATGATGGATGCTATTTTCTTGGCTTTGTCACCCAAGCTTGTGGGTGGTCATTTACATGTGAGATTCATCACCATTAAGTGTTAAGTTTTAAACTTGTGTGCATCAAGGTGCATATGACCAACAAATGGCATATTTATAGATCTGGAATAACAAACGCCTTGGTGGTCTTATGGTCGAGCATGTTCCAGGGGAGTGGAAGGTCTTGGGTTTGATCCCCAGCCACGTCATTCCAAAAGACATTGCAATACTTTACAATATTATACCAATGTTCAGAATGAAGTATGAAAGTCAATTGTCCTTGTCATTGCTCTGTTGCTAAAACTAATAAAAAGTTAAAGATATTGAGACGCCCAAGGTTCAAATACTGTGGGATGTAACCTCAAGGACCCCAATACTTAATTAAAGACACTGATAATACACTGTGAACAGTTGAGAACATCTTTCATATGTTATCAGATGATGATGCTAAGAAGAAGAAAAAGGGAGCCAAGAAAGAGAAGAAGCCTGTGAAGGAAGAGAACGATGATAGTGAAAATGACAGTGAAAATGAGGATTCTGATGCTGTGCCAAGTACAAGGAAAAGAATACGTAGCAAACTGTTAGATGCTAAGTTGTCAGGCAGTGACTCTGCTAAAGACAGGAAGTCTAAGAAAAAGAAGCAGAAATCGGAGGAGAGTGATTCTGAGGAGATCGTGATCAAGAAAAAATCAAAGAAGAAGAAATCATCAGATGAAGATTATTCAAGTGATTCAAGTTCAGGCAAGAAGAAAAAAGGAAAGAGAAAAAAGAAGCAGCAGAAAAAGAAGAAGAGGGGGTATGTAGTTTTGTTCTTCGTCACTCATTATCATAGGACTCTCTTCCAGTGGGGATTCTGTGTAAGAATAAAGGTCCCTAGTAATCTATGCTTGTCCTAAAAGGCGACTAATTGGATTGGGTGGTCAGATTCAGGGACTTGATTGATTGCATGTCATTGTATCCCAATGGCCTGGGACCATGCTCATGATATCAATCACTGGTTTGTCTAGTCCAGACTCGATTATGACTGCAAAAGCCGAGAGCGGCATTAAACAAAAAACAACATTAATAACCCAGGTGGGGATTCAATGGACAAGATATGCATCATTGGTTTGTATCATGTCCCTGTTCATCTGCTGGTTTTGCTTGTCAAATGTCCAGGTTTTGTTACCTTTTCAGTCATTGTACTATTCCTAAACATGACTTGTGAGCTTCATTTACCTTTCCGTTCACTCATTCCATTAAGTACTGATGTAACTGGCATGTCTGGACAGTAAAAGACATTGTTGAGGTTACATCTAGTTTGCTTGTTGAATCTTGAGTCCTAAGTTTACTCTCCAACATTGATTTTCAAATTGTCTTATTACTAGATCACTTTGTGGAATGACTGATGTAAATTTGTATGACATGGGAGCATCTTAACGCTAAGATCACTTTGTAGAACAGAGCCCAAGCTTCCTTTCCACACTACAATATTACAGCTACAACTGTTGTAAGTCTGTTGTGACATGGGAGCATCTTAGCGCTAAGATGACTTTGTAGAACAGGGTCCTATTGACATGGTTGAATATTTAGCAGTTCTTCTTATAAAGTTTTAGGCACAGCAAAGTTAGAGTCATTGAGATGTTTACATTCCAGAAAAGATTATTGGTCTGGTTCCGTTTTTGCTAGCACAAGAACTGCTTTTCTTTTTCGGGGGCCTTGTTTCTGGTTGAAGGATACTGTAAACTCAACCTTAACCATAATAACCCAAATCATACACATATGAACGTAACATGATAAAACCAGAAAAGCCTGGTGTCTTTGTTGGGGGTTTTGGTGTACAGTGCTTGTCATAAACACATGGTATTTGCTGGATCCAGGAAAAAGAGGAAACTGACAAGTGACTCTGAATCCGGGGATTCATCATCTTCTAGTTCCGCAAGTGATTCCGACAGTGAGATTAGCCTGGACACAGAGGAGGAGGAGAGGCGGGAAAAGCTGAAGGCAGAACGCAAAGCCAGGCGGAAAGCTAAGGGGAATAAGCGCCGTAGAATCAAGGAGCAGAAAGACTCTTCTGATGAAAAGGGGAGAATAGAGACGGATTCAGATATTGTAAGAGTTTTTGTTTATAAAGTTAGCTTTTTGCACAAGGATTTGAATATGGTGGTTCTTATTCTACAGATCATATCAAGATGTGTCACCCAAATATTTCAGTTTGTTTATAGACTTTAAGAAATATGTTTCCTTTGCCTTCTGACCATAAATATTTTGTAGTTAAACCATGTAAACCTCATCTTTTGTTATGGCCCTAGTATCTGCCCTTCATAAGTTTAAGAATGTTGGTTAGAGTGATTAATATTTATTCTGGCTTATATACATATGTTTTAGTATTTTGTGGAGGATTACGTTTGCAATGTGTGTTGTAGGATGGAAGTGATGATGATGATGATGACGACGATGATGATGATGATGGCAAATCACCGGACAAATCTGGCAGGAAGAATATTCGTAAGATCAAGTCTGACAAGAAACTAACTGATGATACTAAGCGTGCCCGCAAAGCAGAGGAATGCAGGAGGAAGAGGGTTACTGAACGCCAGAAAGAGGTTTGTGTACTCTTTGGTCACTGTTGACATGAGTAGAATGGCATTGTGGGAATTCCAGGGAAGAACAGGTCCTTAGCATGCCATGGAGCTTTTAGGTTCAGGCTTAGTGTCATGGCTGGTAGTGGATCATCATGCAGTGATGTCATTGGTGATCAAACTTTGTCACAGCTTTCCCTGATCCAGAATTGACATTTTTAACCTATCCTGCTTTACACATAATGCAATCTCTTGCTGTTGAACTGGAACATAAATCCAACAGAGATCTCTCACCAAGAGAGAAAGAACACTTTCATAGAGGAATCGCCCAAACACAAATACCACCAGGAATCGTGTGACCCAAGCTGTGCTCTTGTTTTCGCTCATGGAGACAAGTCCTGTCGCTAGAAGCTGTTACCCTATTTTATCCTTTATCCTATGTTCATATTAAATCGTCTTATAAAGGATTATTTGCTTAGGCTCTAGGTTATCTTCAAATTTGGTCATTTTGGGTGGCTTGTGCAAGGTTTCTTCTTCGAAATTATCGTATTGATTGGGCGGCCATTTTGTTTTACGTCAGCTGCAATGTGTCTTTTTCACTGTCATGCTCGTTCATGGGTTTTCATAGATGCTGTTTTCTGGTGTTAATGTCATGGCAGGTATTTGGTATTTTAGAAAATATCATTGAACTTTGGTTCAGAATTATTTTCCACATGGTATTGAAATTTTTATATGTGTTTTTTTCCAGTTCAACCACGTTGTGCAGATAACGGACGAGACTACCAAGTGCCCCATCACCACACAGTTGATTCTGGAGATGGACAAGGAGAAGAAGGAACCTATCATACAAGTGAACAAGAAGCTGGTCCGCAAACTCAAACCTCACCAGGTGGAAGGTGAGTTGGGGGAATAACACCATCTCATCTTCTTGCTCACTGCACACCATTGTATGTGCCTGTTTATAGGCCAACTGTCAACAGAATAGGTTTCCTCTGCGTACAATGGCTGACTGTGTAGTTTCAGTATCATGTTGTGTTTGAAATGACTGAGTGTATTTAATGAAACTAAATGATGTTCAATATTTCTCATTGGTCGAATAGTTATGCTACGTCACACTCACAAACCAGCATCTTCCCAAGGCAAGGGAGTTAACTGACTTTAGAAGTCCAGTTCCCACCCTTGCCAAATTATGGAGTTCTATTTTGGCTGGACTATCGAGTTTATGCATAAAAATGGTGTAATGAACTAGAAATCATGGATTTCAGTTTTGCAGGTTTTGGTTGACTGCGGGATTTACAAGGAATGTGTAACATTAACAGAGCATCGACAGATACTTTCCAAATATTTTCACCGTTTTTTATCACTTGCTCACGTGATTTGATGCACTTCATGAGGCAAGACCCTTATTATTACAATATAGATCTTGATCATCGATCATATCGTCTTGACTGGAGAACGCCATTTTGTGTGAAGCAATTGCAAGTGGTATGAGAGGTGGAACTCAAAATGACAAATTAGGAGGGGCATAGAAGGGACATAACTCGTAAGAGCCACTGGTGACAATAAGATCGAACCCAGAAATTCCAGCATATTTCGGCAAGGACGGAAGCTGTACTCTTTAGCCTTGGGAAGATGCAAACCAACAATTGACATGAGCGACTTTCAGTGCAGTCACGCAAGCAACCAAATCACTGATCCTCCTGATTAAGCACGTTCAGTTGCTTGGGGTGTATTCAGCCCCATCTTGTGGCAATCACTTTCACTCATGTTTGTTTGTCATGTTTGTCTGTCGCCAGCTACTCAGTTCATGTGGGACTGCTTGTGTGAGACCAGCGACCGCATCAAGAAGAAGGAAGGGTCTGGCTGTATCTTGGCTCATTGCATGGGCCTGGGTAAAACATTATCGGTGAGTCTTTCCACTCAGCTTCAAAGCTATCTTTACACAGTAGATCAATACGCTGTGAGGAATGATAACATGGCAGGGTCTGATGTGTTAGTCTAATGCTTCACAGTATGCGGAGTAACCCGTGAAGGCTGTAAAAGGTGACTATACTTGTCGTAGGAGGGATCGGGTGGTCAGGTTCGCTGACTTGGTTGATGCATGTGATCGATCCGAATTGCATTGATTGATGCTCATGATATTAATCACTGGATTGTCTGGTCCAGACTCAGTTATATACAGACGGCCATCATATTGCTGGAATATTGCTGAGAGTGGCTTTAAACAACCAACCAGTGTGGAGTTGCTTCGCTTCTTTGTGCTGGAATCATACGTTTTGGGTACGAATCTTAGATTCACTGTGATTATTATTCTAGGTTTGTAGATCGTGGGTGCTTGAGGGTTTCACGAAAGGAAACGTGTAAGACCTACAATAGTTGCTCCCACCTCAAGATTCTGCGCTGTGATATGATCGAAATACTGTTGTGTTGTACGCGCACATCACTATATAAGAGCAATAATCTTGAATGGGACGTTAAACCCCATTTCACCAGTGCAGTTCATTTTATTCATTTTCAAAGTAACAGGTGAATTCACAAGGAAAACACAAGCCCTATGTTGTGACTACTTTGTTTCTGTGATAGCGGTGACTGCAGTGTAATAGAGCATTCCCAACACAAAGAAGTGAACCAATTGTTGCCCTTCGTGTTCCAGGTGATATCGTTTGTACACACAATGCTGTCCAACGAGAAGTGCACATCCATGCGAACATGTCTGATTGTGTGTCCTCTGAACACAGTCATCAACTGGAGCAATGAATGGGTCATGTGGTTCGATGAGAAGGACCAATTAGACGTGAGTAGGACACCAATGTAATCTTATTAACTATCATCAAATATGCAACTGTGCTTGTCGTAAGAGGCAACTATCGAGATCGGGTGGTCAGGCTCACTGACTTGGTTGATGCATGTTGTCATATCCCAATTGCGCGTTTCGATGCTCATGATGTCAATCACTGGATTGTCTTATCCAGACCCGATTATTTACAGACGGCCATCATATAGCTTGAATGATGCTGAGTGTGGCGCTACAGAACAAACACTACTTTTTATAACGGATAAGTACCACCAGATACTTTTAACATTACCATAGTAATCACCGAATAACTATGTTTATAATGAAGAATTGGATGGTGATCATTTTGTCTGTCCATCCGTATTTGTGTCTGGAGTATAACTTGAAAACCATGAAAGATTTTTAATCCACACTTGGTGGCGTTAAACAATAAACAAACAAACGTCAAACCCCAATGGTGATTGCTATTTCCACTGGTGACGTGCTTGTTTTCCCCAGGTGTATGAGATATCGAGCGTGAAACAGAACTGGCCTCGCGCTGACTACCTGAAGGACTGGCATGAAGGAGGGGGCATCATGATCATGGGCTATGAAATGTATCGCAACCTTACTCAGAGTGCTCGCATCAAGAATAAGAAGTTGAAAGCCATTTTCCTGAAAACGCTTGTTGATCCAGGTTAGAGTCCTTTAGTTGCTTTGACAGAACACCAGTGGAAGTGAATAGTTTTCATCTAGACAAGACCTGTGTGCGCTATGTAAACCCCATTGGGATTCTGCGGCATAGTTGGTCCCGAGGCGCTGTTACCTATTGTAAGAGGGTTAGAATAGATCTTCAGCAATTAATTCCTATTTTCCAAGCGTGCCATCGAGGCATGAGGATCATGACTTAGCCGTGCCATTTTCATTTTAGGCGTGCAATGGCACGCAAAATACGGTTAATTTCAAGCCCTGTATACGATCGCGAACATGTACGAAAAACATGGCTCTAAGTAAATTTCCAAAATAGTCGCCAACTGGGTTTAGGATAAGGTAGCGACATGTTTTGGAAATTTATGTAGAGCCATGTTTTTCGTACATGTTCACGATCGTATACAGGGCTTGAAATTAACCTATATTGCGTGCCATCGCACGCTTAAAATGAAAATTGCACGGCTAAATCATGATCCTCGTGCCCCGATGGCACGCTTTTAAAATAGGAATTAATAATCTACCTTTGCCATATAAGGCATATTTTAATGATAAATATCAATCTTGTCAGCAATTAATTAACTCTTTCAACACCGTATGCCGGTTTTCTGGCCAAGAAGCATAGAGTCCCCAGACACCGTAGGCTGGTTAACCGGCCAAGCCGTAGTCACGTCAAAATAGTATATATTTTTATGGACCTACCTGTAATATCATTCAGGTGGCGACTGGTAGATCAATTAGGGTGCCAATCATAAAATAAGGTCGCATTGGCGACTAAAATGGTCGCCACTTAGAGGGCTGGATAGCAGATATTAGTGAGGATTGTGTGGTTGCATCTTGGCTGTTGTCTGTTATCCTGTCTTCATGATGTGAATTCTTCCCCATACTGTCGACCACAGGTTTGCCTAGTTTAGACTTGATTATATGCAGTCCACTGTGACATAGCCAACTACAGTGCCAGACAACATTTATGAACTGTACCAGACAGCTTGAAACCATGGGGATTCTTTTTTAACAGGTCCCAGCAACCTATGCTTGTCGCGAGAGGCAACAAAATAGATTGGGTAGGGACTCGGGGACTTTGTTTATTGAGTGTCATTGCATCCTATTGAAGTGAATATTCATCATTGGAGTATCTGGACTTCATTATTTACATCGTCATATGGATGGAATGTTGCTAAGTGTGGTGTTCAGAAACAAGCGAAGTGAAGAGACAGCTTGAATATGCACATTATCTGCCACGCATCTAGTATTGCTGACTCAGCCCTTTGGTGTACACAACCCGTGAAGATCCGGGGTAAAATAGGTCTTCAGCAACCCATGCTTGCCATAAAAGGCGACTATGCTTGCTGTCAGGGGCAACTAACGGGATCGGGTGGTCAGGCTCGCTGACTTGGTTGATACATGTCATTGATCTCAATTGCGTGGATCAATGCCCATGTTGTCATTCACTGGATTGTCTGGTCCAGATTTGATTATTTACTGACCGTCGTCATGTAGCTGGAATATTGCTGAGTGTGGCATCAAACAACAAACAAACAAACTTTTGTGTAAACAGCTGAGTATTGCCCTAAACATTTGACAATATTCTGACAATCAGGAGATTCTGTAGCAACAAGAAGACATTTTGTTATATCAGAATGTCAGTACTCATAGTTGGTTATAGTGAAACCCGTCTGCTCATTCCGTCAGTTGTTCTGAACCTTGTTACATTCTCTCTCTCTGTTTGTCCGCAGGTCCTGACCTTGTTGTCTGTGATGAGGGTCATATCCTGAAGAATGATTCATCGTCAATATCACAGGCGCTGAACAAAGTCCGCACCAGGCGGCGGGTTGTACTTACAGGAACACCTTTGCAGAATAATCTCCTGGAATGTATGTTGAGAGACACTTTACCTTGTTTTTACCTTATTTTAACTTGTTTCATTTCAGTGTGAATTCAGTATACAGTTGTAAAAGTTATGAATCGCTCTTTGGAAATTCCTTTTATCTAATATTAGCCAGTTGGGGTTTGTTCAAAATGTGGAACAGAAATTGATGATAACAACAACAAAATTTGTAACCTCAGCGTTAGAAATTGGCACTAGTCCTGTAGTTCTTGCCAAACTGCCAAATAGTTAAGGTATCATGAGGACTAGTAGAAATTTGGCATTATTAAGGGTTTTGCTATATGTTGTCATCATAAGGACTATTGGACTAAAACAGTACGTTGTTGCTGAACCGATGTTTACATTGATTTTATGAATTTGAATTACAATAAGGTAATGGACAAGTCATGACAATCTGTTGATTATACAGATTTGAGTGATGTCTCCAACTTTAACCAAGTAATGGTTGATAAATATTTCTCATATATAATAGGCAGTGTTCCCGTTTACCGGTAATGATTGGTAATTCATGTGACTGCCAATCCCTGTGGACTGGCAAATAAAGTACCCCATAAATCTTTGTTGTTGAAATGTGTAAAGCCCATTTCTGGTGTCCCCTGCCGTGATAATGCTGGAATATTGCTAAAAGCGGCATAAAACCATACTCACTCATTTTGTTGTTGAACAAAACATCGGCAATATTCAAATAAGTATATTTTCGAACAAAGTCAGCTTGTCTGTCCATCAGGGTTTCCCCTGTCTAATTTTAGTGCAAGGAAATAACATTCACTTTGGTTGGAAATTAAAAAAAAAATTCTAGTGACTTAGACTCAAAACATTTTTAAAAAAGAGAGAAAATTGTAACTGAACTTTGTGTGAATGACGTGTAGATCTATTTGAGTTACTTCAGATATGATGTCATGGCATTAACCCTGCTGTTGAAAGAATTAAATCCAGGTAACTTTCATACAGTTTTTGATTTGTTGAAAGTCGGGACTGACAAAAATTAGATTGGTAATTTTCAGAGTTGCCAGTCCACCAGGACTGGCAGTTTCAAAAACCAGCGGGAACACTGAATAGTGAGACTTCATGATTTGTGGAATACATGATTCTTCTTCAAGAGACGACTAATGGGATTGGGTGGTCAGACTCTTGGATGATGCATGTCATCATATCCCAATTGCGTGGATCGATGCTCATGATGTCAATCACTGGATTGTCTTATCCAGACTCGATTATGTACAGACTGCTGTCATATAGCTGGAATATTGCTGAGTGCAGCATTACACGACAATAAGGACCAACGGATAAGGACCATCAGATTCTTTTAACATTACCATAGTAATCGGCCCATGAAGATCCGGTGTAGAATAGGTCTTCAGCAAACCATACGTGCCGTAAAAGGTGACTTTTCTTGTTGAGATGACTAACAGGATCGAGTGGTCAGGCTCGCTGACTTGGTTGATACATGTCATCGATCCCAATTGAGTGGATCGATGCTCATGATCTTAATCACTGGATTGTCTGGTCCAGACTCAATTATTTACAGACTGCGCCATATAGCTGGAATATTGCTGGGTGCGGTGATAAACAACAAACAAACAAACCATAGTAATCACAGATTAACTATAGTAGTTTGAAAGAATTGGATGGTCATCATCATCATCTCTCTGTCTGTCCATCCGTATTTCGATTCCGGTGTATAACTTGAAAACCATGAAAGATATTTTATACAAACTTGGTACATGTATTAACCAAGGGCTAAGTAAGGGCCTTTTTTTATTGTTGGGGCCAGGGGGATTTGTCATCTTCTGACATTTAAACTGTTGGCTTAAATCTCCATTGCTTTATTTCTGGACAGATCACTGCATGGCCAGTTTTGTGAAGCCAAACCTGATGGGTACAAGAAAAGAGTTTCTCAACAGATTTGTCAACCCAATCACAAATGGTCAGCACTCAGACTCGACAGCCTTTGACGTGAAAGTGATGGGACGTCGAGCTCATGTCCTGCACGAGATGCTTGCTGGGTGTATTCAGGTAGTCATAGTTCCTACTTTCATGCCCTACATACACTACTGACGGGTTGGAAAGATCATCTCACAAACTACTGTTTCATTAATAGTAGGCAGTGTTCACGTTTACTGGTAATTACCAGGTTTTTACCAGTAAAATTAGGCCTGGACCGGTAATTCATGTGACTGCCGGTAAATAAAGTACCTTGTACATCTTTGTTGTTGAACAAAAGGCAGTCAACTTGTCTGTAACCATTGGGTTCCCCTTGTCTATTTTTAGTGCAAGGTAGGTTGATAAGTAACGCAAAGCCGTGGTATATCACATTTATTTTACCAGTGTACCTAGAGAAACTATATGCTTGGTCCATGTGGGCGCATCGTTTCTGGTGAATAAAGTGCTTTGTTAAATGTAGCATTCTCTGAAGTGTATTTAATTTCAGTGAGTCCGTTTACAATCTCAAGCATTGGTCATAAAAATGACATGCTATCATTGTTTACTGTCCTCTTACTTTCAGTCTTGGCAATAAGAAATGTGATTTTGGTAAAACGGCTGTAAACCATGAAATATATTTTTAACAGCCTGCGTGCCTTTGTACACACTGTGTACTATGACTGTTAAGGGAGAGGAGTTAGATAGTCTTTGCCTTAAGAACGCTTTGTAGAACGGCACCCTGACCTTGGAAAGTTACATTGTGGTTTGTCAGAACAACATTTACTCATGTCATGGGGTATCATGGACCTTGTCTTAATTCAAAACTAACCCACTTTCTCTCACTATTGTATTACAGAGACGAGATTATTCTGCCCTTACCAAGTTCCTGCCACCCAAGTTTGAGTATGTGATATCAGTACGCCTGTCTCCTGTCCAGATAGATTTGTATGAGAAATACCTTGAATTGGCGGGCATCGGTGTAGATGGAGGACCTACCACTAATAATAGAGGTGCGCGACTCTTCTCTGACTACCAGAACCTCATGAAGATCTGGACACATCCCTGGGTGCTGAAGCTGGCCGAGATCCGAGCTGATAACAGGGTTGGTACCTTACCGCAGCTTTACTTTACGCACGCACGCACGCACGCACGCACGCACTCCCTAACTCACTCACCTAACTCACCTAACTCACTCACTCACCTAACTCACTCACTCAACTCACCTAACTCACTCACTCACTCACCTCACCTCACCTCACTCACTCACTCACTCACTCACTCACTCACTCACTCACTCACCCACCCAACTACCTAACTCACTCACTCACTCACTCACTCACCTAACTCTTTCTCACTTGACGAGGCCAAACGTTAGTATGGACATGTACAGTCCACACTGTGAGTTCCACCAGATGCACCCAGTGAAGATCCAGGGTTAGAATTTGTTTTCAACAACCCCTGCTTAAGAGGCGGCTAATGGATGGGATGATCAGACTCACTGAATTGGTTGATACATGTCATCGTTTCCAAATTGCATAGATCGATGCTCATGTAGTCACTAGATTGTCTGGTCCAGACTCAAGTATTTACAGCTGGAATATGTGCTGTGTTGAACAACAATCAATCAAGCAAGAGAATTTATGGATGTCAACTTCTTTATTATGAGGAACACAATGTTTCGGAGTATGTACTTACTCCTTCATAAGGTGAATATTATATCAGGCATTTATTCAGCTGGTGAAGGAGTGAGTATATACTCCACAATGTTTTTTCCTCATAATATAGAAGCTGACATCCATAAATTCTCTTCCTCATGTGTATCACTTCTTTATGCCTTTCAAACACTTGAAACAATCAATCAATCCTACCAGATGCAAAAAAGTATGACTGTTGAAACTATTTAATTGTGGCATGCTTGTTAAGTACAACTAACAGTTCTGTTCTGATATTGTGGCTTTTCAGTCTGTCTTTTTCCATTTTGTGTCCATTAGCAAAGAATTCACCATGTATAATAAGTGCAAGTCTAAGACGACATTCACATTCTCCCTTGTACGGATTGCGGGTTGAAATGGGCCTGCTGCAACCTCTGCTGGTTGTCGACGGAACTATAGGGATCAAACTCTGTGATTTAATTAATTGTTTCGTAATAATTGTGACCAATAATATTGATCACTTGATTGTCTTGTCCAGGGTCATATTGTTTCCCAGGAAACAACCTTGATCTAAACAATTCGTGCCCGGAATCCCCAAAATGTTTTGCTGCGCGTTCCACGAGTCACAAATATAAAGACCTAGGTTAGCCCCTGCCCCTTTGGTGTTCGAAGACCAGGACTGGTATTCCTTGTTTACTATCCCCCACCATGAAGAGAGATATAGGATGGGTGCTGTCCGTGTGTCACATTTTGTTTTCGGAGCAGAACAAAAAAACTGAGAGAAATCTTAACCAAATAGATATCAAAGCACATAGATAGGTCTAGTGGTGAACTGGTGCCTCTTGATAGTTTGGGTTTCTTAAATTTTTCCATGGCAATGACTTTGACTTTGACTGAAAAATGGCGGTAGTGCTTGTTTCTTGAAAGCCGTACAATATTTCCACCTTGCACACAACCGGACATGTCATATTGGCAGGGGACATGAGTATTTCATGCTTGTTGAATATTTACACCAGAACCGCAGAAATCTAGGACTCCCTGTTGTCTCACTGAAGTCGTGATGATTTCTGCTACTTCATGTTATATATTTGTGTCACTAGATGACGTATGATGATTTCTGCTACTTCATGTTATATATTTGTGTTACTAGATGAAGTATGATGATAGTGAAGACTCCTTCATCGACAACAGCACGGATGAGGAGATGGCGTCTATGACTGACAACAGTGAGGACAGTGTCATGAACGTCAGTAAGAGTGACTCGGGGGAGAGTGTGGAGGCAGGGCCCAGCAACAGGGGCTCTCGGCGCTCTCGGCGGGGGAAGTAAGTCAACATACCCTACTCGTCAATGATAATAATAATAATAGGAGGCTATTTATGTTGCGCATATTTCCACACCACTCGGGAGCATGGTCAAAGTGCTATTATTACCCCGGTCACTGGATCACTCAAGAATCACCTGTGCATTTAATCCAAGCTGTCCACAAGCAAAAAGTGGCAGAAGTTGTCTCTATACAGAAATCTGTATTGCTGTAACGTATCAATATTGCTGTGAATTGATAATGACATACAAAAAATAAGAAGTAAAGAATAAACATTGTTGAGCTACAGTATATGTAGCTGTGATTGATAAAACTAAATGTTTTTAGAATTTTAGTAGGGAAAGAAACACCGATGTGAGGTGAAGTTTGGAGTTAGTTTGAAGTGAAATACAATTTGTGATATGGAGAGCAGCAAATACATGATTAATCAAAAACGAGTAGGCAAGGAAGTTGTACGTTAGGAAATAGCTGGTCAAGGTATATGTATCAATGGAGGTTGCTCAACTTTCAGACCACCTCCAGAAGACAGTGACAAGGAGGAAGTGGTCAAAGACTGGAAGACACGGTCGAGAGGTGGAGGTGAGTGCAGTCACAGGTCTGTCAGCTAGTCTTGTCTAGGGCACTGCAACTTCCTGTAGAGAGTCGTGTCCCTTGTGCTGGGATCTGCTGAACAAGGGTTGGAGTCACAGACTACCCCGATACACTCGGTTCTATGCCAGTATTCATGAATTTCCCCCAATGGAATGTTCCAAGACTGACATCACTTGATGCCAAGGTTCCCCCACCTGTCTAAGTACCAGCGGGGGCGGTGGGGTAGCCTCGTGGTTAAAGTGTTGGCTCATCACGCCGAAGACCCGGGTTTTCGATTCCCCACATGGGTACAATCTGTGAAGCCTATTTTCCGATGTCCCTCGCAGTGATATTGCTAAAAGCGGCGTAAAACCATACTCATCCTCACTTCCAGCATTGAGCTATGTCCACATGCACCAAGTGCATGTAGCAACATTTTAAATTTGTGTCTAACCCACACATCGATCTATGAACACACTCAATGCCTCTAAGCTTTATGTGATATTCTACATCACTAATCCCTGTAATTTGTCATGCATTCTTGGGCTTGACGTAAAGTAGTAAGGTACTGCAAGATTATGTGTTCCTGATGTTTTCCAGCAATTCTTCATTAATGTATGTTAAACCATGACAGTCATCAGAGGGGAGGTGGTGTGTAGCCTAGTGGTTAAAGCGTTCGCTCATCACGCCGAAGACCCAGGTTCGATTCCCCCCATGGGTACAATGTGTGAAGCCCATATTTGGTGTCCCCACCGTGATAATGCTGGAATATAGTTTAAAAGCACCGTAAAACCATATTCACTCCCTTATTCATAGTCATCTGAGATTTTATTTATTTAGACTAGTTTATGCATCTATGTTCCAAATTTATGGGACCAGGGTGCATCCTGGCTTTGTCTGGTGCAACTAGGTTTTCATTGCAACATGCACCAGTTGCAACATGTGCAAGTTAAATCAAGTTCCTTAAATGAAGCCCTGCACCCAAATGTTATGATGTTTTCTAAAACTGAACTTCTTATCCATATGTGACAGAGACATATTCAACTGTGAATTTGGTTGTTAACAAGTGTGTCTAGCAGAATAACATGCATAGCATTAGAAAGTGCAGGATTGCAAAGCTTGTTCTGGTATTGCAGAGGATGATGGGATCGAGATAGACGATGGGCCAAAGCCAGTGAGTAGTGAGTGGTGGGCTGAGTATGTGAAAGAAGAGGACCAAAGCAATTTGGATCTCAGTGGCAAGCTCCTGCTCCTCTTCGAGATCCTCCGCATGTGTGAAGAGATCGGAGACAAAGTGTGAGTACTGGAAACTGTGAACGTGCTACTTCTTGATTATGACCTGTGAAAATCCAGGGTAGAATAGGTCTTCAGCAACCCATGCTTGCTGTAAAAGGCGACTATGCATGTAATAAGAGGTGACTAACAGGGCCGGGTGGTCAGGCTTGCTTGCTTGGTTGATGCATGTCTTCGTATCTCAATTGCACGGATCGCTGCTCATGATGTCAATCACTGGATTGTCTAGTCCAGACTTGATTATTTACAGACCACCGTCATATAGCTAGAATATTGCTGAGTGCGGCGTTAAACAAGAAACAAACAAACAAACAAAATGATTCAGAGGATATGTGAAGTCGAAAGAAGTGGTCTTGGACAGACATTTCATTAACTAGTACAAAGAGTATCAATATCTACATACAAATCATTTGACCTATTTTGCATTCGAAAGTTAATGTTTTCGTTTATCAACTTTTGTAAAATTGCTGTATTGTAGTGTATTTAAGTATGCACTTGACAGGTACATGATAGCATTTAACACAATTTCAAGACCTTCATGCTATGGCTTACTACATGGTTTACAAACTGTTGCAGGCTTGTGTTCAGCCAAAGTCTGTTGTCACTGGACATCATTGAATACTTCCTGGATTTCATCGACAAGAAAGCAGAGGAGGCAGCCATGCAGAAGGAAGAGGAGAGACTAAAGAAAGAGAAAGAAAAAGAGGAGAAAGAAAAAGAAGAGAAAGGGAAAGAAAAGGATGGGAAGGAAAAGGAAGGGAAAGACCAAAATGGTGAAGCCAAAGATGGAGAGAAGAAAGAGGATGGAGAGAAGAAAGAAGATGGAGAGAAGGAGGATGAAAGTGAAGAGGTAGAAAGATAAAAGAGGGAGAACATTCAGTCAATTTAATCGCCTGATTCGATGTCAGACAAAACATGTAACAGTGTCAAGAAACTGACACATAAATATAAATAATATTATGTTTACATTTGGCCTGAGGGGGAGTTTCATGCAACTAAATGGGATGCAGGTGCTCCACCAATAGATCCAGCTTGTTATTTTACAAGTCACCACTGGGGCCCTATCACAGGGGTAGGTTCTACAAATCCAAGTGTTCTTTCCAGGAGAATTGCATATGCCCAAAGTAATGAAACTGCCTGTATAGTGCGAAGGGTGGCGAGGTAGTCAGTGGTTGTAGCACTGCCTCGGTATGCCTCACACCTGGTTCGATTCCCCAATTAAATACTATGTTTGAAGCCCATTTCTGGTTCCCATCTGGTGAAATTTCTCAAATTTGTGTAAAACCATACCCAGAGTGGAATATGCAAAAACAAATACATATGTCTGTGTCTTCTGAACCGGACTGTTAATGTATGAACCAACACAATCTGAATGGTGTATAAGTCCGACTGATCATTTTGTTGTTTTCAGTTTGTCCAGACCGTGTTCGGGAAGAGTTGGACTAAGGGGGCGGACTATTTTCGAATGGATGGGTCTACAAGTCCACAGCTCCGCAGTCAATGGTCGGATCATTTCAATGATCCGGAAAACTTCAGGTATGTTGTGCGATCTCCTTAAAGTCAAATATTTTACTCTGATGTCTCTCTGGCAAAAACTCAAACCTCAAACCCTTTTGAAAATTCAGCGCTGAAGCTTATTTAATTCTCGCTTATGTGCGAGCAGTGTATCCTTTGTCTCAAAAAGGGACATAAACGGGCAGTTATGAATGAAACAAAATAAGGCTGCTGTTACAATGTGGTGGATATGTTATGCCCTGTGTTATTTCTCAGTGCCAATGACTGCTTGTGTGGTCTAGTGGTAGAGCATTTGCCCGGAAAGTGGAAGGCCAGGGTTTGATTCCCGGCCACATCATACCAAAAGATGGTACTTGTTGTTACCCTGCCTGGCTAGGGGTTAAGGGGCTAACACAAGGGCTGGTTGGCTTGAAGTTTGATGCTATGTCTGAGTGGGGTTTTCATGTTAAACTGGGGCATGATATCTCTGTGGGCTGGCACTGTAATATCAGCATTAGTCTGGATTTGTACAAGAGCGCATGCACACACATCGCTATTAGAGATCTGTTTTTAGTGCATTAATTCATGTGAGCACCATGATTAAAAACTTGAAAAGATTTGAAAAATATCTGTTGATGCTAAGTTGACAGTACACATTTGCAAATCCTGCAATCAATTTTGATTGGACTATGCATGGTTAGTCAGCCAAATTAGAACTCCATACTTCCAGCATAGATCGGCAAGGGTGGAAACTGGACTTTTATAGTCAGTTACCTCACTTGCCTCGGGAAAATGGAACGATGCTTTTGATTTGGACCTTTTTTTGTGTTTGGTGTATGACATCTTTGAAAACAATTTTGTTTCTTAAAATTTAATTGTGGTAGTTTTTCTTTGTAAATACCTCCCTCAGAAACATACAATTCATGTTATCCCTATTGTGATATCGCTGCAATTACTGCTGAGACCAGTGGAAGACCTGACTCATTTTGTGATAATCAGCGAGTTTTATGTTATTGCAGATCTCGCTTGTTTCTGATCTCAACCAAGGCAGGAAGTCTTGGTATTAACCTGGTTGCAGCAAACCGTGTCATCATCTTTGACGCTTCGTGGAACCCGTCGCATGACATTCAGTCCATCTTCAGGGTGTACAGATTTGGACAGACTAAACCCTGCTATGTCTACAGATTCTTGGCTCAGGTATGTGGAGACACTCACTCACTCACTCACTCACTCACTCACTCACTCACTCACTCACTCACTCACTCACTCACTCACTCACTCACTCACTCACTCACTCAGATTGCCTGGTCTATGCTATTTGCAGACCGCCATCATGTAGCTGTAATATTGCTGAGTGAAGCATGAAACAAACATACAAATGAACCTTTGCTTTTCATTAGTCAACTGAAATGGATCTGTGGGTCTGGCTCAGTCTCGTAAGAAAAGATGGTACTTGTTTCCCTGTCTGACACTCAGAATGAAGGGGTAAAACAAAGACTGGCCAATGAGAGTCAGAGTGGAGTATCCATGTTAAAACTGGTCTCATTGGCGGACACGTGCAAGCAGCATCACACGCGTGCATGAACATTGCTAAATAAGTGAAAAATGTTGAACATGACATTAATCCCAATCGTCTTTCCTGGCATTTCTTCTTGATAGTTCATTCACCTTTCTTTCTTTCTTTCTTTCTTTCTTTCTTAACCCGTGAAGATTCCGGGGTAGAATAGGTCTTCTTCAACCCATACTTGCCGTAAAAGGCGACTCACGGGATCTTGGTTGATGCATGTCATCGATCCTAATTATGTGGATCAATGCTCATGATGTCAATCACTGGATTGTCTGGTCCAGACTCGATTATTTTACAGACCGCCGTCATATAGCTGGAATATTGCTGAGTGCGGTGTTAAACAACAAACAAACAAACAAATTCTTTCTTTCTTTGTTGTTTTTTAACGCCGCACTCAGCAATATTCAAGCTATATGACGGCGCTCTGTAAATAATCAAGTATGGACCAGACAATCGTGTGATTTATATCATGAGCATCGATCCACGCAATTGGGATACGATGACATCATCAACCAAGTCAGCGAGCCTGACAACCCGATCCCGATAGTCGCCTCTTACTCATTCACTTAGTAACTACTCGTCACAGGCAGGCTGATGTGCTGACAAGAGGGATTTTCACCAAGAAATCTGAATTGTGTTTTTCAGGGTACTATGGAAGAGAAGATCTATGAACGACAAGTCACAAAACAGTCCCTCTCCCAGCGAGTCGTGGACGAACATCAGATTGACCGACATTTCACTTCAGCTGACCTCAGCGAACTTTACCACTTTAAACCTGAACGCCTTGATGATCCAAATCAGCCCAAAACTATACACGCCTTGCCGAAGGTGAGTCAGTAAAGGAATGGATGGCTAAGTAACATGTTTGTCATGCAGAAAAGCATGGTTGGGTTCATGGTGTGGCAGAAAAATTATGCATTCATTAATCATAAGCAGCTCTGAACCAAGTACAGCTATTTATGTATTAGAGTTAAACAACGTTAAAGCACCTTTCTTATCTAGGATGTACTCCTGGCTGAGCTCCTGAAGCAGGACAAACAGATTGTCAGGTTCCACGAGCATGACTCCCTGCTGGAGAACCGTGCTGACCAGACATTGACGGAGGAGGAGAAGAAGGCAGCCTGGGAGGAGTATGACAACGAGAGGAAGGGCATGACCAACAGGGGTGAGCAGGGGGGATTACTTTCAATTTGCCGAACCCATTCAAGATTGCCTACTTTGCAATTGTCAAGCTGAAGCATAGATATTTGATCCCTTTGTTGAAAGGTCGGGGGTAGAATAAATTGCCTTTGTCCTTGATGGTGTGTCAGTGCTCACACATCAACCACAGGTATTCCTGCTTGTTGGTCTATTTAACAAGACGTTTTCTTGTGACAATGTGCGTGACTTAACCCTGATTCTTCTCCCTCCACAGTGGCCCAGGCCAGCACAGCGTCTGGTGTGGGAATGTTCAGCCCGGACAATGTCCTGCAGATCGTACAGATGGTCAAGATGAGGGTAGGTTTCAAATTGACAGTACATACAACACTCAGATTACACATACATGTACTAAACGAACTGTTTTCATGTAATTAAGTACTTAATTGCTTGTCACAGGGCAGTAGAGCAGTAGGGCAGTTCCAAACAGAATACACATGAATTGCTGCACAGTTAAAAGAACCTAACTGTATCAATGTTTGAATTTAAGTAGGGACGTAGATTCTGGGGTATGTTTGTTTGTTTGTTGTTTAACGCCACACTCAGCAATATTCGAGCCATATGACGGCGATCTGTTAATAATCGAGTCTGGACCAGACAATCCAGTGATTGACATCATGAGCATCGATCCACGCAATTGGGATACGATGACGTGCATCAACCAAGTCAGCGAGCATGACCACCCGATCCCGTTAGTCGCCTCTTAAGACAAGCAGAGTCGCCTTGATTTTCTGGCCCAGACATGATAATTTACAGACAGCCATCATATAGCTTGAATATTGCTGAGAGCGGTGTTAAACAACAAACAAAAAAACACTGGTTATCTTAGTAGTCGGGCTCTGCAACTTCCTTGGATGGAGGTCATCATACCTCCACGGCTCATATCAAGCATTGATTCTCTGGTTCAGAATCAAAAATATTTACAGGCTGCCATATAACTGGAATACTACTGACTGGCCTTAAACAACATTCACTTGCTAACACAGCAGGAATAATGCTGCTAGTCCACAAGCCCCAGACTACCTAAATATGCTGTGGACAAGTAAAAAACCAACAATGGTAGTCCTAGACTAGTACCATTTAAGGGCTATAATTCTGACCAGTTCTGAATGCTTCAGTTTTGCTACAGAACTAAAAAGAATATCACAGAAAATGTAAAGATAGTAAACATTTTTGTGTCTTTCAAGCAGGACTAGATACAAGGTGCGGACTATGTAATTAGGTTTCCACTCATCCTCTTTTAGGGAATTCTCAGGCTGCTCACATCTGTGACGTGTGGTATATTTCTGTTTGTGTGTTGTTTCAGTTCCCCAACCTGCCGCCCGACCTGTTCCAGGCCCAGGTCCAGGCCATCTTACAGCAGCAGATCCTCTACCAGCAGTCCATGCAGAACCAGCAGGTCAGTCAGTGCAGGGCTGGCACACATGTTACTTTACACCATGTTGTAGACTCTCAGCTTCAGATGGGGTATGGGTATTGGTTGAAGTGATGGTATGTTCTTATAGTGGGTTTATTCTTTCTCTCGCTCACTCACACTCTCTTTCTCTCCCACATTTCCCTCTTTCTCTCTTTTTCTCTCCCCCAATTTTTGGTTGTCAGCTGATGATGGTATTATCTTACCCCTAAAGATTGACAACTGGACCCTCTCCGTTGTCTAGTGGTAGAGCAGAAGGTCAACAGTTCGATCCCCAGTCGTATCAAACCAAAAAAGATTAAAAGATGGTACTTGTTGTTACCCGGTCTTCTGGGCTCGGAATCAGTATACTGTGTCTGAGTGGGATATTAATCTTAACACATTGCAGCATTGTATCTCATTGGGCTAGCACAAGAAAATTGTCATTAGTCCATGCATGCACGCACTCACGCACGCAAGTTACTGTATAAGTGCATCAATCTTGACAGCGAGGTAACCCCATTTCATCTCTTGCTGTCTTACTTTCTTGCATAGATCTCTTGTCACTAACTCATCTACTGTATTTCAGATTGAACAGCAGCGGCTGATGGAGATGCATCGACTACAACGGATTCAGAATGACATTCGCAGCCAACAGCGTCAGATCCAAGTCTTGAACCGCAACAGACTAGCCTATCCCCGTGGAGGTGGTGCAATGGGGCCTAGGATGGGGATGTCATCAGGCACACAGCCTCGGATACCCAACCAGGCCGGAGCGCTACGCAGCATTCTCACGACGCCAAGTGGCAGCACCGGAAAGAAAGATGCCTCCCACTCACGCAGTACCACCCCAAACAACCCTCCGGTAGTGATAGACCTGTCCAAATCTTGATAAGAGGGGACTGTAGGGCCACGTGTGTATTGTAGTCATTTAGACATGATCTTTGTCGGCATTAGTCTGCTGGCAAAAGGATGGGGGTAGGACTAGGATCAGAAACAGGGCTGGCACAAGGGCCTGTTGTCTGGCCTGTGATTTGTGACTGCAGGTGCAGTGCAGGTTGGAAAACCATAACATTATATACAAGGCTTGCTAAAACTTTCACTAGCTTACGTTATTTGTCTGGTGCAGTTTTGACGAGCCAGTGTTTTCAACTTGCTGTGGTTTAAAGTAAACTTGTTGTTATGTTGTTACACAGTCTGCTTCTGTCGTTATCGTACTGTAACAAACAGAACAATAATGTGGAGATGTGTACTGCTGGGAGGCGGACCACTGGTGGTTGCCATAGCAGGATGTGGACCAGACCGTGATGAAGCTCATGTACAAATGGAGATGTAACTTTTAATCGTAGAGAGTAAGTGCGTGTGGTGATTGCCTCGTAACATAATGTTTGTATCTTTTTGAAACATCTGTCGTCCGTCTTGTCCGAGAGTTGCTAAGAGAACGAAAGATTTTAATTCTTTTCCTTCATATATGAATTTTAAAAAAGCTTTCGTAAATAAGCTGCATGTCTTGGGTGAAGTTTGTTTTTGCAGACATTTATTCTCATCCCAGTGGATGTGTTAATACTCATTATGTTAATTGTAGCGAGAACATTTCTGCAAACTTGCAACGTTTCTTTTCAGAAAAAGGTGTTCAAAATGGTAACGACTGACTGATTCAAATCTGAACCTCCATGGGGGGTAACTGGTGGCATTCACTCATGCCAAACCCCCAGACTTATTTCACATTGATACATTGTGGGAAGTCCGTCTTGGTGTCCTGTACTGGAATATTGATTAATAATAGCACAACCTTCCTCACTCGCTCCCAAAACTCTTTGCAGTGTCCAATTCAGGTAGTTCTCCAACAGTAACATGTACATGGATATCTCTGTATCCTGTTCGATAAAGAATTCCAGATTTACCCAAATTAGGATCATCTGTGTGCAATAGTGTACTTGTCACTTCCGCCTTTTCTGCACATGGGAATTCGCTGTGGTTAAGATTCGTTCTCAGCCTTCTATGCTCGTCGTACGAGGCAAATTAGTGGATCAGGCGGTCAGACTCGGTTGATTCCTTGTCATCGTACCACAACGTTGTGGATCGCTGCTCATATCAATCACTTGTTTGTCTGACCCAGCCTTGATTATTTATCCAACTTTTACCTTACATTTAAATGGACTGCTGTGATATGACTGTACTAAATGAACTTTCTTAAGGTGAGCACCACGAGGCAACTTTCTGTATGTGTATAGACATTTCAAAAAGATTGTTATTCATTCAGCTGGAAAGGGATTGTGATGAGGAACCAAGTGTGTACTTTTTATTTTTCCGGATATTGGTGTTTGTGGTATGTGAAGAGTTAGAATCATTTGACATCAGATCTAAATAGGTGGTTCTGAGTTGTAAGCTACAGCTATTTAGCCCATCTTACATTAAAATACTAGCTATAAGTTAAGGGACAGCCAATTGTTTTCAATGTAGCCTGCTTAGAAATCGATCGGGAAAAACACCTTATGTCGAATAAGTATTTGTTGAATGAAATGAACCAGTCTTTATCCGAATGCATTGTTTAAGGAGAAGTAACTCTTCATTTGCATCTGCTAGCTGTCAAAGTGGCTGAATCACAGCAACTCAGTGAAACTTTTGACATCTATACAGGTCTGTATGAATGTTGGTGAGATAAATTCATTGTCAAACGATTCCTCGGGTCACATGTTTTGGTGCCCTGCATGTGAGCATATGTACCCCTCACCTGATGGCTTGGGATACATAAGCTCACACATCACATCATATATCCCTCGAGGGGCGGTCGGGTAGCCTAGTGGTTAAAGCGTTCGCTCGTCACGCCGAAGACCCGGGTTCGAATCCCGACATGGGTACAATGTGTGAAGCCCATTTCTGGTGTCCCCCGCCGTGATATTGCTGGAATATTGCTAAAAGCGGCGTAAAACCATACTCACTCACTCATATATCCCTCGAAATTGGTTGACAACTTACAATATTCCTTTCATTCAGATTCATCACCATATTGAAGTTGTGAAAACAAAATGTGCTGTATTCCTGTACAAACCACTCAGAGATACCAACACTTTCAATTGAAGCTGAATTTTGTTAAAATCACTAAAATTATTTGTTTATTATTGAAAAGTGAACTTACCAAGAGGTTTTGGTACATTTTAACTGGAGTCTTTCCATGTTTTATCAAAGATAAAATATTGAGTGAGTCTGATTTGTTGTCATCTTGAACCAGTATTATGACATTTTTCAACACGATATTTTAGCATAAAGTTTAATGTCCAGGGTTTTTATTTTTAACATTTTCCTTAGCATTTACACTTGCTGAGATTTTTTATGTGCAAGTCGGATTCCTATAATGTTGACATGTATGACCAGTATAGCAGTTATGGTGAGATGGAAAGTAGGACATTTCAGGACCCAGCCTAAATTCAAGTGATCTGCTTTGAAGGAAATAATATTACTGTATCTACACTTGAGGCCCTCACATGTAGGATATTTGGTTTTGTCCTCAATAAATTCAATGTTTTTGTATGTTTTTGTTTACTACTTCTCAAGAAGTCTATTACATATCTGACAATAATCGTAATCTCTTTCTATGCCATTGTGTTTTCATTCATAGTTAGTAGTTAATAAAAATACTTGTGCTTTCCTATTTCGATTTAATTTGAAATATTTCTATTTTTTACACAAGTACCTATCGCTTAGTATTTAAAATGTGTGAGAGTGGTTGTTATCGTGCAGACAGTCTTATTTATTTTCCACACCTGTATATAGTCATGAACCTGTTGTATGTACAAGCATGTGGCATGCTTCGACATAGAAACAGTCTTTCATACCATCCATGGTCGTATGCTTTATAATATTTATCACTAATGTTTGTACCACAGAAATTATTTTTGCCATGTTGACCATCTATCATCTAAGTGTAATAATGTTTGGTTGTCATAAACGTGTGTTTCAAAAGTTCATATTACAGTGTTATCTCAATTTGAATTTGCTTATTAAATTTACATTAGAAAGAGAAATTAATTTGACCGACAAGGAGAGACATTTTTTTGGTTCAGCTAGTCTTTATTAAATTATAGGTATGATAACTAGGTCTTGGCCTGCATTGGTTTGAAAATACTTTAGATATATTACATACATCTCCATGCTTATTTGGCTAAAACTTGATTGACCTGTGTTGGTGTGTTGAGGCTCTCATTCCAAACTTGGAACAGACTGACAGCCTCTGGTTTCATGTGTAACGACATTTGTCTGAAGATTAAATGATTAAGCGAGACACTCTTGTTTGTTCTGTTTTGTTACCATCGTTAAAGATTATTAGTATTTGGTGGTGCAATGCGTAGCCATATTGACAAAGAACCTGTGAAGATACTGGGTAGAATAGGTCTTCAGCAACCCATGCTTGTCGTAAAAAGCGACTATGCTTGTCCTTTGAGGCAATCGGGGGGTCAGGCTTGCTGAGTTGGTTGATGCATGTCATTGATCCCAATTGCGTGGATCGATGCTCATGATGTTAATCACTGGATTGTCAGGTCCAGAATCGATTATTTACAGAGCGTGGTCAAATAGCTGGAATATTGCTGAGTGCGGTGTTAAACAACAAGCAAATTATTGACAAAGGTGCTGAAAAGACTCAGGTTATAAGGAGTCCAGATGCATTCCTGCAATAACAGACAGCACCACGAAACTACAGACTTGGGTCTGTCTACATTTACAGTATGGCATCACACTTCAGACCTGGGTTTGCATGTTATAAAAAGGTATTGATAGCCCATTGCCCATGCCATCAACCATATCACAGGAGCACCATAACAAAATTAGGAGGGTCATTCTGTTTCCTGCTGTTCTACTGGGGACCTAGTCTGCTAAGAATCCCCGAAAGGGTCATCTGTATCATGATGATGTGGATCGTTACTCACAATATTGACCACTTGAGGGTCTGGTCTTGACTGGATAATGTACAGGCTGCTGTCGCATAACTGGAATATTGCTGAGTGTGGCCTCAACAGACAACCGACTTCTCATTGGGAGAGTCATCTGGATGTGATCGCCACCAGGCTCCATCACAACCACCCAGAGGGACGGTCGGGTAGCCTAGTGCTTAAAGCGTTCGCTTGTCACACCGAAGACCCGGTTCGATTCTGACATGGGTACAATGTGTGAAGTCCATTTCTGGTGTCCCCCGCCGTGATATTGCTGGAATATTCCTAAAAGGGGCGTAAAACCAAACTCACTCACTCACAAGCTGTCCATGTATGAGTCTCAATCACCTGCCAAATGGTGTTTGTCCATAGTGTTCCGGTTGCTATTTCTTGTTGGGAGTCTGTGTTACCATAAGCCCCCAGCATCCTAATCTGTTCGCAGGAGGCAACTAAATGGATAGGGTTGTGAGGCTCAGTAACTTGCTTGATTGACATCTTGCTCCAGCCATGTGGATTGTTGCTCATAATATCAATCGCTGGAGTCTCGTCCAGACTCGATTAATTACAGGCCGCTGCAATGTTGCTGAGTATGGCGCGCGCGCGCACACACACACACACACACGCACACACTTGGAGGGTTCAAACGTCAAGAACGACCTCCCGCAAACATGCTCCAGAATTGCTGATGGCGATCCAGAAAATATTAAACATTTACATCATTCTTCTCGGTAGGTCTTGGTTTCTAGCTGCTTGTAACTTTGTTAATGCTTGAATAAGTTGAACGTAACTCACATACTGCAGGATGCGTAAGGCTGATAGCTTCGATATTGCCTGTCGATGCCATATGACAATTCGGAATCGGAACCTCAGAAACAAGGCTGTGTGAGTTTCGCGTTATTCAGTAATGCGTTGTGCAATTTGTTCGGGACTCTGGAATTTCAAAAGGATACAATTTGTTGGCAACCTGGATAATAAATTAGGGTGCAATTTGTAGGGTGGGTTGTGTGTAAATCTGGTTACCATGAAGACTCCTCTCACACTACTGTATCGCTACGGAATACTTAGTTCGATCATAAAGCAGTATACAGCTGTGTGCCCATCGAATCAGACTTATGTTATGGACATGCGCTGTCGTGGCCTTCGAAACAGTTGTGTTACTGATAAAGCTATATTAAATATACTCGCTGTCCTCAACACATGGCAAGGGGGTTTATACTTAAATAATTAACATGTTCAGAAGTGATTGACTACCTATTAGCATTAATAATCAACTAATTCGGTTGTAACATTCCATAACGCACCGCCGATAGGCGTTAATACCACTGATCGTGCACAGATTGAGAGTGGCCGACTCTTATAAACTATACATTGTACAGCGGGATTATCCTACTAAATAGGAATTAGTCCGGAAGGCAATAGGATTTCTCCGGTTCACATTCCGACGAGGACGTTCATACCTGCATGAATTCTGTTTGCGACATTTGGTTTTGTACGACATTGGCCAAATGAAATCTCGTCACTTCTGACTGGAGTTGGATGTCATTACTGCTGGCAGTGTTAAGGTACGGAGTCTGTTACTGTCTTCACGTTTTAAGAGAGCATATTTGCATGTAACTCTATATCCTAATTAGTAATTACGGCTTTGTAAAACAAGAGAGCGCGCGACTGTCAAGTTCTTCGTTAAAGTTCTGAAGGAAATCGGTCTAAGTATATGAAGATCCCTTGAATATAACATATGGAAACTGTGGTCTGTGACCTTATATATGATAATGACTGCTAACTGAAACTTCATTATAATGACATATTCAAGGGCGGATCTAGCATTTTTAAAAAGGAGGTCCACAGGCGGATCGATCTTCAACTATATACAAAAAACTAATCGTCAAAACGAACGGTTTCTACGGAAGCCTTTTAGGGCCATTTGTTTTTTTAATTTTTCGATACTATCTTGAAATTTCAAGATACTAAGTTGAAATTTCTAGATACTAAGTTGAAATTTCAAGATACTATCTTGAAATTTCAAGATACTAAGTTGAAATTTCAAAATAGAGAAGTTGAAATTTCAAGATACAAAGTTGATATTTCAAGATTATTCACTTCAAACGTATTTTTACATCTTAGGATGTTAAAAACTTATTATCTTGAAATTTCAACTTAGTATCTTGAAATTTCAACTTAATATCTGGAAATTTCAAGATAGTATCCAAAAAAAACAAAAAAAACAAATGGCCCTAAAAGGCTTCCGTAGGTTTCAGTGCGTCTAAGGGTACATAATAAAAACATTAATCTGAAAAATAAATTCTTTATAACCACGGCCCATGCATAATTGGATGGCTACACCATACACTGGGTAACCAAGGCTGATCTATGAACTAGTTCAAAGTCATCGCGTAAACAAGAAGAATAAATAGTTGCGTTCACGATATATACAAGTATTCATATTATAGAGGACGATTATAGCTGCTTATTTTATATCATGAACGAAAATAATTCTTTCATGAACTCAAAAGTTCCGCATTATCAGTTATTACCATTTGATGCGGCACTTGCGTCTGCTCATTGGCAGTTAATGCACGCTGTAAAAACACATTGTAACCTGCACGAGAAATACATGTATATAACGTGCCGCACGTGCATCTCTTTCAGGTCATAACGAGGCTTCCCCTGCATGAAGGATAACGCGTCATGAGGGCTGGAGAGTTGTTGATGGTGTCGGCCATATTCTCCCTCGATCACACACGTTAGTATGCAGGTTATTCTACTTGTTTTCATAGCTCACCTGTCACCGTCAAACCCAGCTTTCCTGGGGTTCTTGAATATCCGAGCCAGGGTCCGCTTCTCGTGGGTTCGGGTCTCAGTGATACTGATTTTGACCCTTGGTCTGCCAGCATCGTTACTTTCACTTTTTGTTTGTTTGTTTGTTTGTTTGTTTGATGTTTAACACCGCACTCAGCAATATTTTGCAGCTATATGACGGCGGTCTGTAAATACTAGTAATCGAGTCTGGACCAGACAATACAGTGGTTGACATCATGAGCATCGATCTACGCAATTGGGATACGATGAAATCACAGGAACTCGATGATAGCGTGTATAGCATAATATATTCGTATAGAAAAAAAATCACACCCCTCTATATACATATAGACTATATATAGAGAGGGGTGTGAATTTTTTTACGGGTAAATGGCTGTAACATGAATCCTATGTGTAATATCTTCATGCAGACGCATAGATAATTGACATCTGATTTGACATGACATAGGTAAAATTCGTAACAACACAACAATGGAATTTAGTTGTGAGAGATGATCTTACGAGGTTATTGTGCCTGTTACTCTTATGAGGTCTTGGTACATAAGTATTCAAAGACAGCAACATTTGTAGGCAAATCGGTCGGTGCCGTGGAAGAAGACAGATGCCCAGCTGAGAAGTATATCGTTGCCACCGACACACCGCAGAACCTGACCTCGCCTGGCTTCCCTGGAAATTATGTCAGGTGAGCTATGGTATTCGCTGACCAGTGTCCACTGGGGCGGCGGGGTAGTCAAGTATTACAGTTTTAGCTCGTCGGCCTGAAATCTGTGTTTGACACATTGGATGAGACCCAGTCGTGGAGATAGTGTTCGAATATTGTTTAAGGGAAGTTAAACTCTTGTCACTCGTCACCAGTGTAAATGGAAATGTATATGTATATCTCAAATGCAACACACGTATTCATTTGATCTTGCTTTTTATGCCTTGGATACTCTAACACACCTATTTCGTAAATTCAAACTGTGTTAAGGATTGTTTTATGACCTCAAAGTACTCTGTGTAGCTATGAACGCTCATCCCTATTCGTTGACAAGCGCCATTAATGGTCACCAGGTCCCCTGTGTGCGATGACACAGACCCTACTGTTGTAAATGTAAAGCGAAGCAATGGCCCACCTTCGACAGACTGGTTTATGGCAGTGTTTGCGCTATGTCGTGTTTAGAATACCTATTAGAGAAAGTTTGTTGAGACTGGTTAGGAAATAGGAATCCGTGAAAATCCGGGATAGAATAGATCTTCAACCCATGCTTGTCGTAAGAGGTGACTAACGGGATCGGGTGGTCAGGCTCGCTGTCTTGGTTGATGCATGTCACCGTATCCCAACAGCGTGGATCGATGCTCATGACATCAATGACTGGATTGTCTGGTCCAGACTCGATTATTTAGAGACCGCCGTCATATAGCTGGAATATTGCTGAGTGCGGCGTTAAACAACAAACAAAACAAAAGGAAATAGAATTTCCCATTTGTTTGATGTTTAAATCTTTAAATGAGTTACTGCAACGTACTTTGTAAGTAATGTACACTTTTCACTACAGGCCATCAGCGTGCAAGTGGTTCATAGAAAGTGATATTCAAGATGGCATCATCAAGTTCAAGGTCATCAAGTTTGAGCTGGAAGGGTCACCGTCTTGTTACAGAGATTATCTGGACGTTAGAGACGGTAATGCTAATATGCGTTTGGGTCTTTATTAGTCTGTAATAGTTTTTAATGAGTTCCGGATGTGTAAATGTATTAATATATTCCGAAAATATCTCTATAGTCCTCACCACTTAAAATAGAATGGCGATTATATTTTTTCGAAGATATCTGCATGTGTTGTAATACTTATAAAGCGAAAATATGCATTTTCGGCGATGTTTGTTTATTTAACGCCACACTCCGCAATATTCAATCTATATGACGGCACTGTGTATAAAATCGAGTCTGGACCAGACAATCCAGTGATTGGCATCATGAGCATCAATCCATGCAATTGGGTTACGATGACATGCATCAACCAAGTCAGCGAGCCTAACCACCCGAACCCGTTAGTCGCCTCTTACGACAAGCATAGTCGCCTTTTACGGCAATCATGGGTTGCTAAAGACCTATTCTACCCCGGTTCTGTAAAGGTCATATCTTTTCGGCGATAAAGAATATTAGTTGCAGTGTGTACTGATGAATAATATTGGAAAGTACGTTTTTCAATAATTATTTGCTATATAGCGAAAAGGTTAACGTTTACGTGACTGGTGGAGGCAAATGTCATAAATCCTGAGGACATTTGGGATCAATGTCAGTGAGTGCAGACAATTACTGGTCTGAAAGATCACACATTGCATGTCGTTGTGTGTCCTGATTGAAACAGCTGCATGATTCCATTGATTTGACGACACTGCGGCATCGAAATGTTAATAGAGAAGTCAAAATCCAATGTTATATTGTCAAATTAAAACAGTTATTTAATCATCACCCATGATGTTGGCCTACAGGCCCGTGGCGTCTGAGTCCCCGACTGCTGGGGTGGTGCGGTGTAAAGCCCCCGGGGAAGACGTTTAAGACGTCGGGGAAGTCGGCTACGGTTCTTTTCCAAGCAGTGACTCGCGGCCAAGATAAACCAGGCTTCCACATCCAGTACTGGCAAGCCAAGAACGGTAAGCTACTACCTACACGATATAGCCCATCAGGATACCTCATGTTTATCCTAAAAGCCGATTAAGGCTGGTCATATACTCAGGACCTCTTTCTCTTTTCAGGGAGAAATATTCCAAATCATCATCTGTCAAGGGTATTTTTTATCGTATTAATTCCCATGTAATTTTTATTTTTTTAAAGAAATAAAATGATTACATAAATTTTGAAACATATGTTTTGTAATTAAAAAATGATCTTTTTAGATATTAGCTAACTTAAATTGTTAGTGGCTGTACCCTTGATGGGGGTTAAAGTTGTGTAAAATTATTAAAATTACCCAGAGCGGGTATGTAAGACCAGGTCATTCGAAGTAGTTGTTTTTTTTCTGCCAATAGTGCACAATAACTGCCAACATTTGAAGGGATTATGTAAATCCGGCAGGGGTCCATGCAGGTAGCAAAGGTACTGTAAGTCCCCATGGACCCTAGCATGGTGATCTACCTTATAAGCTCCTGGCCATCTATAGTCCTTTTTATTATGTTCGGCAAGTGTGGAAACTGGACTTTTTAAAGTCAGTTAACTCTCTTGCCTCTTTTCAAGACAAGGAGTTAATGCATATTTAGTAAAGCAGCTCACTAGTTAACAATCTGTAAGGAGTATAAAAAGCCATGCACCTGCATGAAAGTAAGGTCTTACCATTCCTTGACACCCTGTGTTATTCTGGTCTTTCTCCAGTCAAGGCTGTAGACCCTTTCCATTCGGCTTGTCCCGGAATGGCACGAGTTGGTCACAGAGGGGTTACGTCCCCTAGCCACGTATGCCAGGATTCCACTCGGCTTATTTCGGCCACTCGGCTTATTTCGGTATTTATATCGGATTATTGGGTGTACTGTTCAAAGTGGCGGTAAACCCCAACTTGTTCAAATGTGTTATATTTTTTCCAGATGTTCTCCCGGACGCCAAGGCGAAGTACACAGTGGCTAACTTCATCCTCGGAGGGATATTTGGTGTTATTCTGCTCGTCATCTTGGTTACGCTTCTCTTTCTTGTCATCATTCGCAACTTACGATACACACGAGAGCGGCATTTACAGCACATCAGAATATACTCATAGCCAGATCAGCACATCAGAATATACTCGTAGCCATATCAACACATCAGAATATACTCGACACCTCAGAATATACTCGACACATCAGAATATAGTCATAGACAGATCCACACATCAGAATCAGACACCATATACCGGTATATGGTCTCTGTCAGAATATACTCATAATTTTGACACATCAGAATATACTCATAGCCAGATGGACATATCATCTTTCATCATAACCATATCGTCTCATCAGGATATACCATTAGCCAGGTCGACACATCAGAATATACTCGACCAGATCGACATATCGGATTTCGTCATAACCAGTTCGACACATCAGAGGACATTGACAGAATCTTGGAGCATTCCATTTACTCATGATTTAAAAACATCCGGGTCTTCCGAACATGAAGCTTCCACTGATTGGTGCCTTCTGATAAATTGTATATGTAATCTTGTTATTTATTAAATATCGTTGACTTCCTAGTTCTTGTTGAATTTATATTACTTGCATCATGATATGTTTAATGCGGTGGATTCATCATACTCGATCCTTGTGGTCAGCCCCCCCCCCCCCCCCTCGAAAAGCATGCATTAAATTAAAAATTCAAATGTATAAAAACAGCATGCGTAAATATAACCTCACAACATAACCTTACCAGTGAAGATCTGGGGATCTGCTTGCCGTAAAAGGCGATTATGCATGTCCTAAGAGGCGACTGACGGGATCTGGTGGTCAGGCTCGGTGACTTGGTTGATATGTCATCGATCCCAATTGCGTGGACCGATGCTCATGATATTAGTCACTGGATTGTCTGGTCCAGACTCGATTATTTACAGACCGCCGTCTTATAGCTTGAATATTGCTGAGTGCGGTGTTAAAAAACAAACCAACCAACCAATACTAAAATAGGTAAAAATAGTAACTCCACAGTGAATATTTAACCAATAACTCAATAACACAAAAAGCTGTAGGCTATACGGAATTAGTGACATCGTTCGGCGCAAAAAATGCAACGAAAACCCTACCATGCATTCTATTATTATGTTAGTAAACACCCCGTGAAAATTAAATCCGGTTTTGAACTGGTCTTCAGCATTTCATGCGTGTAAGTCGACTAACGGGATCGGGTGGTCAGGCTCCCTGACTTCGTCCCAACTAAATAGATCGATGCCCATGATGTCAATCACTGGATTGTCTGGTCCAGACAGCCGTCATACAGCTGGAACATTTCTGAGTGCAACAAACAAGTTATCAGGCTTTGTCCAGTTTGTTTTCGGTTTATGTAAAAATAAACGCAAAAATAAGTGTTTGTTTAGACAATAAAATACCATGAAAACACTTGCAAATTATTTATTCAGAAACAAACTCATCCGAATCACTACGGACATCTTCGCGCGGAACTGCTTTGTTGAATGGAGGGCGGTCGGGTAGCCTAGTGGTTAAAGCGTTCGCTCGTCACGCCGAAGACCCGGGTTCGATTCCCGACATGGGTTATATGTGTGAAGCCCATTTCTGGTGTCCCCCGCCGTGATATTGCTGGAATATTGCTAAAAGCAGTGTAAACCCATACTCACTCACTCTGTTGAATGGCTCTCAGGGCGACAAGGTGCTGTGGGGTAGCCTAGTGGTTAAAGCGTTCGCTCGTCACGCCGAAGACCCGGGTTGATTCCAAACATGGGTACAATAAGTGAAACCCATTTCTGGTGTCCCCCCGCCGTGATATTGCTGGAATATTGCCAAAAGCGGCGTAAAACCATACTCACTCACTCACTCAGGGCGACAAACGTGTTGTTCTACGCCGCTCTTTTATATATGGTACATAGAGAAGAGAACGGTCATCGCGTATATATACAATCGAAAGCTCGTTTGTATGCAGGGGAATTATTAATATACTCACTTGATTTCCGCTGTATACATGCATGCAGTTTCAACAATGTTTCAGAGTTTGGTTTAACACATGCTTACGAGTCTCTGATGTAAACATATTTTAACAGTTGTTAAATAACTTATTGAAAAGGAATCTAGAAACTCTGAAACCGCAGTATATCTAGGCTTGCCATCTGTTATAGACTTACTTGGAGTATATTGGATATATAATTGCTGATGGCACCCCAGACAATATCAAATATTTTCACCATTCCTCTGGGTAGACCTTGGTTTTTAGTTGCTTGTAACTTTGGTAATGCGTTAAATACGTTAAAACTTACTCGCGTAAGAGGCGACAAACGGGATCGGGTGGTCATGCTCGCTGACTTGGTTGATGCATGTCATCGCATCCCAAATGCGTGGGTCGATGCTCATGATGTCCATCACCGGATTGTCTGGTCCAGACTAGATTATTTACAGACCGCCTCATATAGATGGAATATTGCTGAGTTCGGCGTTAAAACAACAAATTCAATGTCTGACCTTAATTTAAATCTAAATCAGATTTACTATATTTACAAAAACAGAATGTTGTTTTATTTTATCATTAGTTATTATAAAGATAAGAAATAAATCTAGAAAAACAGTGAGGAACAAACAAAAAGAATGTGCATCGACCGGGAATCGAACCCGGGTCACCCGCGTGGCAGGCGAGTATTCTACCACTAGACCACCGATGCTTACGAAAGAAGGGGCTGGTTTGTTGAATCTTGAACATGAATTTTGACATTATTTGGTAAATTAGAATAATGTATTTAACTCAATTTACATTTGGTTCATGGTGATATTTAAAACAGCGATCTACCATGGTTGGAAAAAGACAAAAAGGAAATCATATTTGAAAGAATAAAAAAGGCGGGACGCAACGTGGCTCGGTTCATAATATAGCACCACGTGTTGCTTGGGTCACGTGACAACTATTTCAAACACATTTTGTTGGCAGGTTTTGTTGTAACAATTCAAAATATATGTGTCGGAAATGTAATGACACAATCTTTTGCAAGTGCCGATTATTAATAATCATGTTAAGCGTCCATAAATGCATTGATCCAGTTCGTCTGGGTTGGAGAGTTCTCTCCCTTGGACCGACATCCGTCATTTTGGGTGGTATTTTACTGCCGCATCTAACTATGTCTTCGTCTGAATGCAAGTTCTCGTTCCGAAAAGAAATGAACTTTAAATCTTTGTAATACAACTTTCAGGCATTTATTAAATATTTCATCAACCCAAATTATAATTAAAAGATGCCAGATTTCTCATTATTGCACCACTCCCTTGTAGTGTTTAATGAAATTCACCAGCATGTCCTGTTTGATCATTCTTGAATTGATATTACAAATTCGAATTACAGTTATCAAATTGAATTTTTAAATAATTAATTTCCCTTTCACGATATCTGATTACTTAAACGATTTGAAATGGGATATCAAAGTTTCAAGCACAATGTCGTATTTAGCGCAATCAATATGCCTAATAGTATTGTTTGAAGTTATCCTAAAAACGATCACCCACGAACAAAGGAATATATTTCCACAAATTAAATTGTGATAGATTATTCACCGAAGTATGATGTATGGAAATATTGACACGAACATACCAACAAGTGAATTATTGATTTCACTAAAATAATGAATAAGATGGCACCAGCTAAAACAACAAATTTCATCATATACAAAAATTATATTCGAACCCAGTCACCTAACCAAGGAATGCGACAACTCCAGTGGAATGTACATGCTTAGCAATGAATTCTGTAATTGCTTGCTTGACCATAGAATTACAGCTGAGTTACTCTGCAACATCGCATGCATGCCAGCTACCGTATTCAACATAATAAGCGCCCAGGGCGCTCTCAAAATTAGAAATTGGGTGCTCTTATTATAATATAATTTTGGTGAAAAAAAAACGAGAGTTGAAAGATTGAAAATTTCGTGGTTTATGCTGACAGCCCGAAATGATACAAAAGAAAAGTCTGTGCGTATTATACACGACAGATATATTTTCCAGAATTTATTTGCCATAATTAAGGGTGCATACATATATAACACACGAGTGTGTATAATACACGAATAAATAAGTCTTGTGTACATTGACCGGAAGGGGTGCTAATTGGGATTGTTCACTAGCCAATATATTAGCAAATATCGCGGTGGGCGCTTATTAGAGAGGGGGGCTTACTACGTCGAATACGGTACATGCAATCCCCGCTTACAGCCGTAGGTAGCATCAGACATCGTAGACGTCGTGTCCTTGACAGCCAGAGCCAGGCCTCATCAGTTGCAGCTGTGTGTTTACACGACAGAAACATGACTTAGGAAGGCTGAAAGCGGAGTCACACATGTTCTACCTCCGTCAGGAATGTTCTGGTATCTCATTGTCATGTATGATGTCACACGCAAACTGCTGGAACTGGTGCTCTGGAAAACGGCCAAACCACTCAGCTACACAAGCACCGTATCCAAGTGATTTGCCTTGGTAGTACAAATCTGCATCTGCTGTCATTAACCGTTATCACTTTGGCAAGGAGGATCTTCTTTTATGAAACTATATTTTGGTTTGACCTATATATTGATTCATCTTCAAAGAAACACTGATTACGAGTTTTAATTAAATTTGCTTTGAGATAAAAAAAATAAATCTTTCCTATGCAACCCCTATTTTCATGTCAGCCTCTAGATGTAGAGCAGTTTGGTCACTAATGCATGACCTCCTCCCTGGTCAAGTGGTAGAAGGTCTGGGTTCGATCCCCGGCCACGTCATACCACAAGACGTTAAAAGATGGTACTTGTTGTTACCCTGCCTGGTTCTAAAGCAAGGACTGGTCGGCGTGGAGTCAGTAAACCGTGTGTGAGTGGGGTATTCATGTTAAACTGGGGCATGGTATCTCAGTAAAATCGTCATTAGTCCGGACTAGTACAAGCAGCCACACACACACACACACACACACACACACACACGTGCATGCACGTCCATATATAAGTGCAATAATCTTGAACGCAACCTTTAACCCCATTTCACACCACCTCACCAATGCAACCAAATAATAAATTATGACAAAGTTTCAACCTTTTAAGATTGATGTTGGCATTTGTGTTATCATAAAAAAAATTTGCTTCAAGCTCATAAAGTTGAACCAGGTAATAAATTTGTAATAATTATTTCATTAGGATTTGGTTCCTTGTGAAATTGTGCATCAAAATGTTTGTTTTCAGTACCAGGAAAATAGCACGAGGAAATGTCAAACTGTGAGGCCTGCTGGTGTACAGGGATTTTCCTGCTGGCATTCAGGAGGAGAGGTGAAATGGGGGTTTATTGCACTTATCGTGTGTGCGTGCACTAGTATGGACCAATGCCGATTGTGTAGCGCTAGCCCACTGAGATACCATGGCGCAGTTTAACATGAATACCCCACTCACTGTATACTGACTCCGGAGCCAACCAGTCCTTGCTTTAGCCCCATAATGTCAAGCACCAGGCAGGGTAACAACAAGTACCATCTTTTAATGTCTTTTGGTATGACAGGCCAGGCAAATGCTCTACCACTGGACCACGGAGGCAGTCACATTCAGTAGGATGTGTCCCCGATGTGGCCTGCAGGTGTATGACGCTTTCCCTGCTGACATATTCAGCCGGTTATGTCCGCAGTGAGACCTCTGCCCCTTAGAGGCAGAACCATAAACTTTACTAACTGATGAAGCTTGTCTTGATGTAACTCTAGCAATTTGTCAAGTAAATCTGGTTAATAAATTGGGAGTTTGCAAAAGCAACATTTATTAGACTTGGCAAGCTGACAACCATGACATGAGTATTTATGTAGTACTCAAGTTAGAGCAGGCTTCTAATCTGTAGAGTTCCTATTGTCATATGACATCATTCCTGATCATGCCCATGTCATTCTTGTTGCTCTGTGCTGGTTCTGACTTTACTATGTTAACCATAACCTTTTTATTTTCTAAAGAGCCAATATTTTTATTTTGTGATGTTTACATATGTAGAAAATTAATTACGTTGAATCCGTAGCACAGTAACAGAAGCAAGATTAAAGGTGCCATGAATCAGACCTGTTAGAGGAATGGTAGGGTAGCATCGTGGTTAAAGTGTTCGCTAAAGGCCCGGGTTCAATTCCCCACATGGGTACAATGTGTGAAGCCCATTTCTGATGACACAGTGGTGATGTGATGTTGCTAAATGCGGCATAAAACCATACTCACTCACTCAGTCCTTTTATATACCGGTATATCCTTTCCTTGCTTTTCCCCCCAGCCTGCATGATATACATATGTTCATATAAGGAAGGTATCTGTTGCTTGTTGAAGATTTCATATCAGTATAGATACCTAGCATTCATTTCTTGTTGTAAGAAGCAACTTAATGGATCTGGTATTTGGGCTCGGTAACTTGGTGGACTTCTTATCATCATGCACCAACGGTGTGGGACGTTGCTCATAATATCAATCAGAGGTTTGTCGTAAGAGGTGACTATGCTTGTCGTAAACGGCAACTATGCTTGACTTCAGCAACCCATGTTGTAAGAGGCGACTAACGGGATCGGGTGGTCAGGCTTGCTGACTTGGTTGATGCATGTCATCATATCCCAATAGCGGGGATCAATGCTCATATCAATCAGTGGATTGTCTGGTCCAGACTGCCGTCATATAGCTTGAATACTGCTGAATGCGGCATTAAACAACAAACCAACGAACAGACTCCCTTATTTACCGACCAACAACCTGCAGGTGCACTGTCAACCACAACGACAAAACCATTTTACAGCCTGTCGTGACACCTCATCAGATCTGGAGTAAGAAGGTGTACAGTGGGTGTTCACGAGGTCTTGTGCACATGGACAGCACTTCAGTGTCTGACTGCAACAGCGTTGCCACCTCTCTGTCACCATACCTCAACCTTGTGGATCGGTGTTCACACGCCATCCATCAATCATGACAGACGAAATTAAATTTTATTAAATATTTATTTGGCATTTTATTTCATCATGTTGAATTATATTTCTGACCACAGATACATGACAGCATGTTCGCACCTTGCATTCAAATGTCAAACAAACGAATAACAATTACGATACAACTGAATGAGAACTGTACAAGTACAAGATACACTGTCAGTCTTTGGCAGATTGCATAGGTGTCGAGTATAAGGCCATAGCAGACTAAAGCCTTCCTTTAGCACACTGTAAGTTGCAGTCATAGACGACTTTGTAATGACGTTCACAACATTGGATTTTAATGTTTTCACATTTATTTTCATTGGAATAATTTGAAGTGAAATCACAACATTTTATTTTTAATTTTTTCACATTATTTTCATTGGAATAGTTTGAATTGACCAAGGAATAGCCTGAATGGAAACAAAATTAATTTATTGAAATGAACGTCATTATTTCACCTCTTGATCTGCAATCTACTGGCGTAACTGGTTACAATTGACTGACTTCAAATTCAAAAACTTAAGACTGCCATTATTGGCATTATGCAGAGAAATATGGAAATATTTATACCATATAGATCGCAGCATACCAATATTGTTGTTCTATGTGGTACCAATATCTTCATGGAAGATCAGTGCATGAACATACATTGCAAGGCGATGATGAACTGGCTTTCAGGTTCCGCGATCTACCAATAATATCGCTTCCACGGAATTGCATTAACACCAGCACTTTAAACATAACAAGATACAGTCAATGGTTCTGTGTAACTGACAGTGTCATTGATAAAACTGCAAGAAATGCCATCTGATTAAGATACAAAGAATTGACGACATGTTATCTATGAAGTATGGAATGTGAAGGGAGACAACTCTTGTACCACTCTTTGCAGCTGAATGGAAGGCGTTGTGTACATGGTAGTCATGACAATAAAACAAAGAAAATGTGAGCATATACGGGATGTTACAAGGGCGATAACATGAAAATCTGCCTGGCAACTGTTTCCATGGTGACACAAATGAAAACGCGAACATGTGACTTCAGTGACGCTGAATTCAAAACCACATCTCACAAAGGTTTAGTAGATATTTTAGTAGACATTTTAGTTATAGTGACATCATTCTTTCACGAAGACAAATTGCATGACCATATACATTTGCTCTAATATCCACAGGTTCATGCAAGGTATGAGAGCCCTTGGTCATGAACCAAGTGTAAGAGTTTTGGAAGAATCTCCAAGTTTGGTTTCGGTAATATAGCAATGAGAATGTTATCAACATAAAATGTCACACGACTTGCAAATTGTGGGCGATGCTGGCAAGAACTTCGATTCAAGTGATGATAATTTACATATCGACATAACATGCACCGATCAGCAAATGATCTGCCGTTAGACCTGACACAATTGCTGTACAAGAGTAAAATATCAGGATCTTAAACGCAGCTTTTCTGTACACAATAAAAATATCAAACACACTCATACAATCAACCATACAATTTGTATCAAAAATAAATAGTGCTCCTTGTGGTGTTGCCATAGAAACTACTGTAAGTGATGTTTAACTTCCATTTCTCTGGAGGCATACACAGTAGCATTACCTTCAAGTGACGTGAAACTAGCAATTGTTGCATGTAAGGTTCAAAAAGGGAGTTTACACGAATGAAAAAATGATTTACATGATGAATAACATCCCTTAAGGATGACATTTGATTTGTCAAGGTCATTTTTCTGCAATTTAAGATTTGCGTCACTTTTTGCTAAGCTATGTCTTATTAATCTCATTTTCTACTCAAACTTGTCTTAAAAACATGTACATAAACATACACAACTTGCAATGTCGTCCACTGCTCGTAGACATTCCACATCACCAGATGCCTAATGTGTTGTATAATTTAATTACGTAACTGAGCGGACATTTTCAAATATTATTGTTATCATAAATAGTTGTTTGTCATTCCGATGATGCACTTTCACATTTATGCCAAATAGTTTTTAGGAAAGTTGTATTTGTTCATGTACACATCACAGACAAGATTCATTGGTTTGCCTCCACTTAAGCAGTTGTGCTTGTGTCTTCTACAGAATAGTAGGCCTTGCTAACTCAAGAAACAGGTCACCTCGTTCCATTCCATCCTAATACGTAATATCACAAGACAATATTTACATCTGATGTGTATCCTGTATTTTGTATCTGGAACAATGGTTTTTTGACTTAACAATGTCAGCAAAGCCTTCTCTACAATTTGCTCTTTGGTGCAAAACATAAATAATCACCATTGTTGAAATAGATTAAAATAAAAATTAAATTATTTACAATTAAAAAAATGGCGGTTCAAAAATGAACATGTACATATTGCTAAAAGACACCATAGAAAAGGATATCTACATTTTGATACTCGATGCTGAGGTAATATATTTCAGTTGAATCCGAAATCCATTCTGCATGAATGGAAGATTCTCGATAATGAAGATCTCACAAATGACTGCAGTGGTAACAAAAGGAGAATTAATAGCCATTGATTAAGTAATACCTACACATACTCTTCATAATCATTTCCTGGAACTCCTTCAAGTGCCTGCTTTTCATTGTCTGGCAACAAGGCAATGTCTTTAAACACTCCTACAAGTTTATCAAAGTTCGGACCCCAATTCAACAAGGCATCAAAATTGAATGCCCCGTTGGGTTTTTGATTGGGATTGAAAGGATTGTCCTCTGATGAAGCAACAGTACTTGTGAAGGAATCACCATTAGAGTCCATGCCATCAGAATTCACACGACTATCAACGGGGTTTTCGTCAGTTTCGCGTACATCGGGTAACTTCGAGAATATCAACCCCTGGTCAAAGTCAGTTCTGGTCCTGTCATTTTCATACTCAAACTCGGAGCACGTGAATGAATCGTTGGCTCCACTGTCCTCGGAACTGGAGTCTGGCGGCTCCAACAACACTCCACTGTCCAGCTGTTCCTGCAGCTTCATGCTCCGATATTTATGTTCGCCACTGGAGGACGACAAGGCTTCGGCCATGCTGACAGGTGCGATATTGTCTGGGCGAGCATTTAGCCGGTTAATCTCTTCAACAGTCAGGCCCTTCTCCCCATGCTTTCGGCTGTGTCTGGTAGGCTTATGTAGATGTGACGTGGGGATCCTGGGAGCCGAGGAGCTGGAGCTGCTGTGGCTGTGATGGCTCCCAAGGGAGTGAGCCGAGTTGCTCCGACTGTGAGCCTGCGACAGCGGAGTGTTTCTCATCTGAAGCTGGCCAAGAGGACTGGCCCGGTGATTGTTCTGGAGCGGACTGTTCCTCATGACCGCTTGAGCTGAGTTGGGGCGCCGGACGTTTGGAACGTGAGGACTGTTCCTTGCCGGCACCGAAACAGCAGACCCGCTCATTGAATTAGGATTGTTGTAGCCATTGCGAGGTTTGAGCATGCTCGGACTAACAGAACCAGGACGGCCACCAGGGCCGAATGTCAATGGGCTCTCACCATGGCGACCATACAGAGCCTTCTGCTGATATGAATGAGGGTTGGGTCTGTATTTTGGACCCTGGCCATTGCGTAAATGTCTGTAGTGCAATGCCACATCTATATCTGAGGGAGCAATACTGCTAGCATTTTCCAGATCGTAACACTCAGGAATATTCTCATCGTATGGCTGCATGTGACTGACACTGCCACCATTCTCTACAATAACAGTCCCATCTTCTAATTCCACTGGCTGTGGAAGAGCCCGGCCCATCGAGTTAGAACCAATCAAATCCGGTTTTGTTGAGAGTGAGCTACTTTTCTGCAGCATCAGTTCATTGGTGATGTGGTTACCAATAATCATCTCCTCATTTGGGTTCTCCACGTATCCCGAGTCTGGGTTCTCCTGAGACCCACCCAGACTGTGGCCGAGGTTGCCGTTCGTCTTCGTCTGACTTTTCAGACAGGTTTTCTGGCACATTCCACGTCGCTTGAAAATGATGAACACAATGACGATGGCAATGATAACCAGAGTGAAGAAACAGATGACGATGATGACGCCGATCTGGAGACCTCCGCCGCTGTCGGGGGCAGCAACACAAGCAACTGTCTCTCCATCTATGCTACACGTCTGCCCACCTCCACATGGGTTATTCTCACACAGGGCTTGGCAACCTGTCTCCACACTTCCCGACACCGTGATCGCGTACCGACCATCGGATCCTCCGAATGGAAGTTTCTCATCATCAACCAAGAAGGAGGAAATACACCCATCAAAACCTGAAGTCAACAAAGACAAATTGTTAGTTGGTAAAACGACGTTAACCCTAATTATACACTTAAAGTTGTAATGATATCAAGTACCTATCTAATTTACTTAAAAACAAAAAGAAGGAAAATAATCCATCCTATTATGATATTGAAATAGTTCTAATCCCCACCCCTCTACCACCAAAGTGCCACAATCAGAACTGGGTTGTGTCCCTTTGTTATGCCAGGATCTGCTAATCATGTGAGCATCTGACTTGTCCTGGTTATGTTCCCTAGTGTGTCAACCATACTTTTAAACAATTGGTAATTGACCTGAGTGATGGAGCCTTGCTCCAGCATTAAGCTGACGCCATGATGTAACAAACACATTCACCCCAACTCCACGACTTCTCCAGCAAACATTACCTGGTATGTTGGTGCCAGTTGGAACAGTTCTTTCTCCACTTAATTTCATTTTCGTTACATCAACTGAAGAAAAGTCGAAGGATGATCCAAAATTCTTTGTGTCAGTGGTAGTTTCGTCCACTTTGAGGATGAAGTTGTTCCCGGATCCAGTCACAGTGACATTATGCCATTTGCCATCTGTCACAGATGCACCCTCAATTGATAGTGGTTCATTGACGTCACCGTTCATCAGGACAAACTTCAATTTGCTGTCCTCAATCTGAATAAAACACAACAGTTTTCCAGGTAAAAAAATTCCAACTGAATATATAATGGGTATTTCAGATTTTTGTAAATAATGTTCAACTGGAAAAACATTTAAAATCTATATAAAAATAAGTCAACACATTTCCGAAAGTTTAAATATTTTTCCTCAGAAAGTTTTTAACCATATTAGCAAATGAAGCATTGAGAATGAATGACTTACCCAGACATAGGACTTCTTGTTGTTGATGGCAACATACAACAGATTTCCACTGGATTTTGTAGTTCGGAAACGAAGGAAAGCCTTCGAACTGTCCACTGCTCGTTTTCCCCTAGAATTCATTTCCGCTACTTTGGTGTCTCTGCGATAATTTTCACGAACCTTGTACTCCACTGTTGAATCAGGTCCAAACCCAAATGGTTTCCATTCTGCAAACACAACCACAAACACATTGATAACAAAATCTCAAAAAGAACAAACTTTGATTTAAAAGCAACATTTCTAATCTTGCCAGTTTGAAAACTGCATTCTACAAATATCTTAGACAACTATATCACACATTAAGCAGACACCTGCATAAGTAAAAAGAAACCTGATTTTCTTGTTCTCATATTACAGGCTTACACATGCAAAGGAAACCCCTAACTGAATGGACTTTCATTCATTTTTTTCAACAGAAAACATGCCCCTTACCTTCTTCACACTTATCTCCCATGTAATCCTTCGTGCACTGACACCTGGTGGTCGCCCACTCGTCCACGCACTGACCACCATTCTGACAAGACACCAAGGCACACTTGCCGCCCGAGTTGGACCGCGGACACTTGTCGCTGACCCCGTGCGCATGGAGGGCCCCTTTGATGTCAAGCATGTCGATGCCGTTCACCTCGAAGCTGTGAGCACACCCAACAAAGTCATGTGACTGCACATCTCCAGCGTATTGGAGAACGTTGGAGATGTTGCGGACTCCTCCGATGTTGAGGGCATCAACTGACTCCACCACCTTGGACCTGGAATTAGTAAACACGTGATTAACACATTGTGTCAATGTACTGGACATTGTTTACTTAATGAGAACACAAGGGTTCTCCATCTGAACACAATGAATGAGAACACAGGGTTCTCCATCTGAACACAATGAGAACACAAGGGTTCTGCATCTGAACACAATGAATGAGAACACAGGGTTCTCCATCTGAACACAATGAGAACACAAGGGTTCTGCATCTGAACACAATGAATGAGAACACAAGGGTTCTGCTTCTGAACACAATGAATGAGAACACAAGGGTTCTCCATCTGAACACAATCAATGAGAACACAAGGGTTCTGCATCTGAACACAATGAATGAGAACACAAGTGTTCTCCATCTGAACACAATGAGAACACAAGGGTTCTGCATCTGAACACAATGAGAACACAAGGGTTCTCCATCTGAACACAATGAATGAGAACATGGGTTCTCCATCTGAACACAATGAATGAGAACACAAGGGTTCTCCATCTGAACACAATGAATGAGAACACAAGGGTTGTCCATCTGAACACAATGAATGAGAACACAAGTGTTCTCCATCTGAACACAATGAATGAGAACACAAGGGTTCTCCATCTGAACACAAGGAATGAGAACACAAGGGTTCTCCAACTGAACACAAGGAATGAGAACACAAGGGTTCTCAATCTGAACACAATGAATGAGAACACAAGGGTTCTCAATCTGAACATGCATCTACTGACTTTGGAGACAAACTATTTAATAATGTTTTCAATAAAACAAGAACAAACCTACACCAAAAATGACATTTCTTTCTAAAACTTGTAACACTTTTTACCCTAAACCGGAGTAAACTTTTAAAAAATAAATCATGAAAGATCACAGGTCCCTCCATAAGACAAAATCTTTGGTCTCTGAGAGTTAACATCATACCTTAGCAATATCTTAGCAATACCTCCACACATCATTCTCATGTTGGAATTGAAGCCAGCATCCTCACTGCTAAGTAAGTACTCTTAACAGCTGGACACATTAATGTCACATGCCAAATATTTAATCATTTAAACATTCGAAGATGAACTAAACAAATTATCACAGACCCATTCAAGTAAGGTGGGCCAAGACTTGTGTCAAATCTAGCCTCTTATCTCCAGCCTCATGTAACTAATAATGTGCCAAGGCTTCTAATTGGCTAATTGACATAAAACAATTCAGTGCAATTCCGGGATGCAGCATACTTGCCAAAGGTTTTTCAGCCTGAGGTACAAAATTACAACAATCTTCCCATTAAGAAATCAACTATTTACTTTCCCCAACCGAAGCATCTGATGGCAGACCCACATATTTGCACGCATCAACACACCCATAATATTATTTACATATGTTGCACGCTTTAACTTGATTTAGAATATACAAATGGTCCAAACATAAATATTTAAACTTTTCAACATTTTGGTTAATTCACAGCCCAAAATTTAATTTTCTCGTTACATAAGCAGTTCCCCCTGGTGTGTGTGTCTGCCAGATAGGGCTCACCTGTCAAGTTCGGCTTATATTTTGAATTCTTGGCCAACATTATCCTCCGGCGAGATCAAACGCTTAGTGAGTGATGAATATAAAGCAAGACAGGAGAAATTATAGCTTGCGATAGATGTGAAAAACCTTTCACTTTTTGCGTCTTATGTCATGGGTGTACATGCACGGTGCACCATGTGAGAATACTCAATCAGCGCCCTAATCTACAGGAAGTGCCTCCCGGTCGACACACACTGTCATCTAGCTCTTCGTCGAGAGTGTTTCACCATAGTCTTCACCCCTTTGAAGGCGCCAAACGCTTTTGAGATAGTTGCTGTTGTGTTGAATTACATTGGAGCATAATCTGTCTACACTTTCTGTAGTAATGAACTTTGTTAGGAAAGCAGTTCACGGGTTCTGTGTTAGTAAACTGTCCCCAAATGCCTCTCACAAAGCAACATCATTCATTCCTTGGAATTTCAGAACACACATCATCATACAATTCTAAGTATCTAAGATATGTACTCCCCAGGGAGTTGAGAATGCAACATGAATAAAAACTGACCAAATGACATGTGAAAAAATGTCAAGTGCCTTTTGCACGACTTCATGGAGAGGAGTCTTGAGCAATGTAAGTGTTGTGTGGAGTTTCAAACCATATCATCAGTGTTTTATAAATGTGCCATCTCCACAGTTATGAGATTAAAGTTAACATTTGGTTGTCGAGGCAATTTCATGGGTGTGGTATTTGATCTATTCAAATTAGTAGGACTTGAAGAGTAGGAAAGGGGGAATTTTTGGCATAATTGTCCTTTAACTGCTATTTGAATTCAAAACATACAAAGGCAGTAAATCCCTCTTCATGCCAATAATACATAACAGTGAATGACAAGGTTAATACTTAATGTACGTCACTGTATGATCTCAAACTTCCCAGCGGAGATAACTCAGGTGTTCACGTGATCACAACATAACACGTTGTCTCTACAGGACCCCTGGTGCTTAATACTCACTCCTGTCCAGGGACAACAGAAAAGACGTCAAAACAGCCAACACCCACCGATAGGGGAATTGAATTGATCTGAATATGTATAACACGTCTTAGCCACATAATACACCTTCACTGATAAATCTGGATCTAAATGTTTAGGATTAAAGTTGAGCTTTTATTAAGTTCTTTGGGAGACATCCAAAATATAAGTTAAAATAACCATCTTCATATGTAAAAAAAACATACAACCATCTGAACTGAGCAAAGTTTCAAATTTAATGTTCTAATTTTGAAAGGAATACATTATGAAACTACAAGAATGTCTCTGTGTAGAAATGCAAAATGAGAGCTATAATAACCTAATCCACCAAACAGACACATGACAACACCTGACTTGAGAAAATGTTAAATATCAATGTTATTTCCTAAATTATATTTTTAGCCCGAAAACCAACTGCCCAACCCCAACACACTGACATGAGAACTTTAAACTCACATATCTTTGCATCAGAGAAAATATCCAGTAGAATAAAATAACTCATCAGCTTAAACAATTTCTTTCACATTCTTACTGTCATAATACTTACATGCCATCTACTCAGCTTTAAACTATTCAATTACAAATCAGCTTAGCCATTATATAATTCTGGTACTATTTACCTGACACTAATTGTATTCATGATGAAAGAGAGGCATACGTGGATGTATTTTGGGGCTGAAATAGTTTGTTTTTTGACTGTTTAAATCTTAAATCTGTCCCAGTTGGACAAACAACACCAAACCTGTAGTTTGTCACAAAGTTTTAAACACAAACTATTCAACTTCCTCATTGGCTGCATAGCAGCAGGATTAGTTTTCCAAATTTAACTCGGAAACCATCCTAAACAAATAAATATTGAAAGGCACAAACAACTGCAGAGGAAGACACAATTTCTATTTGCAGAATATTTCAAAATTCGGCACCGTCTTGTCAGAAAAACGTTCCGAGATAATCGCAGCTAAACTAGCCCGGTTTGCCACACCGCTAGGCCTATGATCCTCTTCCTCCCTTTGAACAAGCAGACAGAAAAGTCCACCTAAATTCAGGATAAGGAAAAGGCGAGGTTCCTGGGATTTAGAGCAGGGAGGGAGAGAATACGTAATAAGAGACCGAGTGGGCTTAGGGACACCAGAAACCACAAGTAATTTGCTTTTGGCTAATCAGAATGACTAGTTACAGTGATCAGCTGTAAAGGCTGACCTGAAATTGTGATGGAATTCTGTGTTGTCATAGGATTTGGTCAATCCTGATTCACCTAAGTGGTTGCCTCACATCCTGTATGGTCAAACTCGACAGATGGAGTCAAGATGGTCATTCTAATATTTACACAATGGATTCAAATATTTAACTGAACCAGGAAATCTTATCTCTGCCAAATTATTTTAGCTAATTGACCACACAAACATTAACATATAATTAAAATTAACGCAACTAACTTTTAAATGTCACATTGTATTACTTAGTTAGCAAAACTATTCCCATCTAAATGTCAACATTCTTGCTATGGATGTCAGGAAATATAAAATGATAAATCCTTTAAATAAGTTCAATGAGGTATCATTTTACACATAATGAGACATTTTGGATGACTAAAAAGCCTTAATGTAAACAGATTGCTCTTTGGTAAAAGGACAACAATCTCCACGATGGATAAAATATGACAAAAATAATTCCCCAAATAGAACCAGTAGCACGTTGCCGAGTGTATGGTCATGAATATTCATGAGATTATTGCACTGAGTATTGCTAATGACTGGTCAGCTCCAGTAAGCTGTGGACACAAATCTTTAACTTAAACAAGGCCCCAGTCAACAGTCATAGTAACAAGCGCTGGGGTCGACGTCTGTACACAACTTATCCCCAGATTGTTTGCCAGCATCAGGAAAGACAAGTAATCCACTAGTCAAAACCAATGCTGAAATATCGGGACAAGTATTTGGTAACAAACGCGTGACAAAAATCAAACAGTCACGATCCATCATACGAAGGTGACGTTTCACGGAAGGTGGCGACGAGATGTAAACTGTACATTGTGGTTGAAGGGATGTATTCTGAGTCAACAGTCCCTGGTGGAAACATGAGCTGTTATTTAGGTTTGACAGTGGGGTAACAGATTACTTCAGGAAAATGACAAAAAAACATATTCAGCATGGCGGCATGTGACGCTATCCCGACAACATGTCCGACATGCTCGCTTGACATGAGTGTTGCAGAGGAGGGATGGAGAAACGACAGTTGTTCAAGTCTGTGTGCAAACATCAAGGGTGAAATTGGAAATCGGAACAACAGACGGCTCATTTTGCAGAATCACGTACATATATGCTGAGGTCTGTGACACTCTGTCAAAGATGGCTGACATGCTGCTCAGATAGTTGCTTGCAATTGTGATATCCTTTACGACAGATGACTATTTGTCTAGAATCACGAGAAATTGTGGATGTGGTGTTAGGGAGTGGGGAATAGTTAAACGATGAGTAAGTTGTCTTAAGAGGGATGGGTGATAGAGAAAATGGATTATAAACTTAAATTTACCCCCAAAACACCCTGCTATGTTAAGGTGGAGTGATTCAAATTCATATCTTGGGTTAAGGTAAGCATAATTGATTAAAAGTGGCAAGGAAATGTGGAAAAAATTATAAATCTAAATTTATCGTGTTTAGAGACTGGCTTCCTGTCAAGACAACCGATGGGTTCACATTGCAACGAGCACCCACCCTCAAACCTGTCGATTCTGCACATATTGAAGTACTGTACAAATACACTCCTCGGCTCGAGGGCCAACATTTCGAAGGAATATACACACGGGGCAGCACTTCAGCTGTCTCCTCCCCATGTTTATCTTATTACACAATAGTTTGCAAATGATTTCAAGCACTTGTAAACACTTTTCTTAAATTAGCAACCGAAAACCTGCCTCCCTGTTTACAATTACCGTGGAGCAATAAGCCATTGTCGTTTCACCTTTAACATCGTACAAATCATCAGCCACGTTATCAATGAGATTAAATGCAGTTATTACTTTCAAATATCTCCACTTGAAATTAAGTGGTCTTGATAAACTTGGACATGGTATCTTAATGCATACAGTTGTACTTCTGATAGCTTATCCGTATAATAGTTAATTTTCTGTGAGTTTCAACAGGAATCTCTGATTCTTCGGACAGCGAGTGTCAAAAATGGCTGCCAAAAGATCAAGGGTCAAGACTGTTGCAATGAAAGAGTGAGCAATCGTGTGTACCTCACAACAATAATTGCCCTTCAAATAGCACGAAGGCAATTGATGGATTCTGAACAACAAAATTCACAAGTGATGCCTGTTAATCTGTCATCAAGATATTTTACAGCATACATTTAGAAACTCTAAACCTATTAAGTATCGTGTTGAAAGAAGAATGATTACCACGTATGTCCTAATGGAGTGGGTGTTTGGTTTAATTCCACCTTGAACAGTATTTCCGGCCATGTCAGCTTGATGTGTGAGGAAAGCCCAAAGTGATGTAGATCATTGACGCTAACCACTTTGATGAAACCAACAAGTATGTGTATGGTGCCAATAAAGCAGGCGAATGTGGGATGTAAACCCTTGATAATAGGTTCCTGGCACACCTAAGGGACATAACTCTGCAAAGGTAACCACAGCACCTTCACAACTGAGCCACCCTACCTCCATATCACAATGGAACAATGCCTCACGACCTCAATATATTCCTTCCAATCTCGTGTGATCATGATTCTCCCATTTTTTAAATTACTGGCATCCATTTTCTTTGGAGATAAGCCCAAAAACTTTGTCTTTTTAGCAACTTGGAAGATCGATTGAGGCAACAGGCACACAAACCAAGAAGCCAGATTTATTTTTATTGCACTAGGATCATATGTTAGATAGATTAATCTGGCAAAAACATGACTGTGTTGACTATAACGGTACATTTTATACTGATTAAATCAACGTCTATTGTGATTACTTCGTAAAAGTTTATCTAGAACATCTATCTTCTTACAGCCATCTCACGACCCAAGTTTCAGATTCCGGCAAACGTCATTTTGATATACTGCATGTAGACGTATATTACCTCCCAACAAATGCACGTGTATTTAGTTTCTTACTGCCTGATGCCTGCACTCACATGTTGTATGTTCAACTCAAGGACTCATATTGTGACTCTTCAACCAACACTTAGTCAAGATCGGTATATAACTGGTCCTAAAAAAACTTGATTACCAAGATGAGGTTCTAATGCTCAGAACATCGACAGAATTGTACAATATGATCATAGACAGAGTTTTGTCGCTTATATTTATATATACATATTTATTGATATCTTAAAAGTTAAAAATATGGGAAATGAAATCAATTTATCATATATATTGAAAAAAAATATGTAAAGATTAATGAATATTTATTTTGATATTTGAATGAAATTGTGTGCTACAAAAATATATCCCCAAATATATTCATGATCCCTAACAGTTTTTGTTCAGCATACATTATGGAAAGCTTTACTTTGATTAAAAATCAATGCTAGTTATATACCAAATGCCATCCAGTATGAAAAAAATATCTGTAACATCGGACAGAAATTGATGTACGCCAACCTCAGATCAAAATGATAGTTTCTTAAATGTCCCTATCCAGTCTGACAGAAGATTGTGTCAACAACGATTTGTCAAAGACAAATATCCTAAAATCTTTCACCAAGACCGAAGTAACAAGAAGAGACAGGCAGAAACAGTTGAATCCTTTTTTCACATCTGTTCCAATTCAAATGTTAACACATGCACCTTCAATGAAATCATTGAACTCCCATTGTGGTTAATGCAGTTGAAAACAATCACAATGCATGACAAGGAACCTTACCCATTATCGGCCATGAAGACGTAGCAGGAAGGATGTCCCACGGCGCACTCCTCGCAGGAAGTGCTGTTTCCGTTAGGACAGTGCTGCACCTTCAGGATGGCGCCCTGGAACATCAGACGCAAAATGGGGTTAAACATTGAGAAACAGGTAGCAGAGTAACAGGTTGTGGAGTTGTGGATGCGTCACAAGACAGTTCTATTGAAGAAAGGAAAATATCTTTCTTTTTTTTAGAAATTGTAACCATGGACTATCAGAAATATATTGATTTTGTTTGCTCGTTTTTTAACACCACACTCAGCAACATTCAAGCTAAATGATGGCAGTCTGTAAATAATCAAGTCTGGAACAAACAATCCAGTGATTGTCATCATGAGCATCAATATGTTTTCTTGATATTTATTAAGAAACATGGTGGACATACATGTACGTCCTACATACAAATCTTCCCTGTGTTTCAGTAAGATATATACACCACATTTAAACACATATTGTCATTTAAAGGACAGTGCTCCATGGTATATACAGTAAACTATGTTTATAATGAACACGCTTATCACAAACTGACTGATATAAGGAACTTATTTCTTAGTCCTGCCCATTTGTTGTATATATGCTCATAATGAACTACGGTTATAACCAACTCAACTTGGCGATCCCTTTGAGTTCGTTATAACTGTAGTTTACTGTATAAATATATTTCAAAGTTAAACACATGTTGTCATTTAAAGGAGGACAGTGCTCCCTGCTGTGTTGGCCATTTTCAGTCAAGGTTTTGATTTCCATGTGTCAATTATCAGACCTGAACCTGAAACACCAGTGGTTGATAGCATGAGCACAGACCCACACCCTCAGGGCACAATGCCACCAAATCAAACAGAGTTGGTCTTTCCCATTAATTCCACCTGGTCACATCAGATCAGCCCTGCACACAATCCCCATTTTGTCACCTCTTACGACAAGCATACACAATCTGCCTTGTTATCCTACAGGGGGTATATCTAGAAAATAACATAATCTAGGCTTGTATTTTAAAAACAGCAACAGAGCTTAGATATGAACCATGTAAGAATACTATTCCCGTGAAGGAGACATATAATTATTATCCATGATCAAACACGATGATAGTGTGAGTCACCATGTTGTTAGCTACACCCTGCCTACAGTCCCCGTGTGGCGAAGAGACAACAGAAAGTCCCTCCACGGAGACGATAATCCAAGGCTTATCTACATACAGGGGGCAGTTTATAAGAACAAACCAACACCTGCTGACAAATATGACGTACCTCTGCATTTAAGAAATATTTAGACAACTATCAAACAATCTGTATCAACTGAACACTCTGTGTGTTTATACCACAGAAACATGATTATACATTAGGCATGGTTATATATCATGAAGCCTAATAAATGGTTAAATGCTTATGTGGCTGACTACAGAAAGATGTATTTCAAACACAGATCTTACTTTACAGCCTTTATGATTGTGATCTTCAAAACTTGGCTTGTGCCTCATAATATAAATACTTGACTATGTAATATTTTCACTACATAATAATGAACATTCACTGTAAAAATCTTAGTATGATTTGCCTTATCATATTTCATTTTGAACTGGTCATTGTATTATCTCCTAAAAACAAGCAAATAACACTGGTCTGTCTTGGTTAAAATAGGGAACTTTGAAGTAAACAATCCAAACTAAATTGTACCACAGTAAAGTGAGTATGGTTTTACGCCACTTTTAGCAATATTCCAGCAATATCACGGTGGGGGGAAACCAGAATTGGGCTTCACACATTGTACCCATGTGGGGAATCGAACCTGGGTCTTCGGCGTGAAGAGCGAACGCTTTAACCCCTAGGCTACCCGACCGCCCCGTACCACAGTAAATAACTCACCTAATTACAAGCCAAACAACAGAAAATCACATCAATATTTTGAATCATTATTCAAAGCCAACAATTTTGTTCACCATCACTTAAGAAAAACAGCATGTTTAGCTGTAGACAAGAACAGGGGCTACGACAAAGATAAGCAAATAGTTAGATGACATGTAATCCCTGAGGTAGTCATTAATCAGCTCAAGTCTCCCTCGTACACTAGAGGGCCCCTCTCATACTTCCACCTATAATCAGTTACTAGGAAACAAGCATGATCAGGCACAAGGCAGTCATGTGACACACATTCAAAGCTATTTTGTCAATCTGTGTGTATAAATCAGAACTTGGATCTCAGTTGTCTATGAGAGTGAGACGGTGCATTATGACAACTGCCTAACACAGTAACTATGTTATCCTACTGAATGCCCACTTGAGGGAGACAGAGTAGGACTGTACTAGGCAAACCCGGGGGGATTTCTCTCCTCTGTGAACAATGTTTGCATTTGGGAAACAACTTCATAATGTCTCTGAGAATAAGTCCCCCGAAGCTGTGACATTTAAAGATTTACAGATTTGTATACGATCACAAAAGGTTTTCTCAAAAATGCAATTTCGTACAACATCAGATCAATAGATTTTAATTTGCAAATTATCTTATTAATATAGGACTAATAATATTGATTTTTACTATATAAAATTAATAATCGAGTCCGGACCATACAAACCAATATTGGATACCACAAACAAATAATCCTCATTTTCAGGGTATGGCAACTGATTGTAGCTACAAAATTCTATTGGTTCTTTGGGGGATTGGCAACTTACTTTCTATGGAACAGAATCAAACCAGAAACTGGACAAAAACTCACCTCTGTGACTTTCTGGACTTGCACTCTATACCATCGTCCATCAGAGACACCGCGGTTCACTTGAAGCACCTTTGGAAACACAGACGTGAACTTGAAGGAAAACCTCACATTTCCATCAATGATCTCCAAGGCTACAAAACCTAGAATAGTGGGGCTGACAGTTGCTTGGCTGAGGAACAGGAGGGCATTTCTCTTGTTGGTGGCAAAGAAGAGGGTGATGTCCGTGTTATTGAGGTTAGACAAGGGAGGGAACTCCAGGAAGGAGCCCTCACTGAATCCTTTGCTTGATTTTTCACATCGGCTGCCAAAATAACCGTAGACACAGTCACAGGTGTATCCTCCTGGAACGTCATTGCAGCTACCACCATTCCAACATGGCCGACTGGTGCAGTACATGGTGCTTTCACACACCTCTCCGTGGAATCCGTCCGGACAGTCACAGCGGAAGGTACCATCCAGGTTGACACACGACCCTCCATTAACACACGGTTTTGAAAGACACTCGTTCACATCTTGTTGACAGCTTGGTCCGTTCCACTGTGGCGTGCAGTGGCAGACGTCCTGTATACACGTGCCACCATTGTAGCAGTAGCTCTCTCCGCAAGGACCAATCGGGGTCTCGCAGAAATCGCCAGCAAAAGACGGTGGGCAGATGCAGGTTGGTTTGACTTCTGGTTTGGCAGATGTAAGGATGAGGCTTGGCGAGTTGTGGATAGAGTAGCCCGGGTGCATGACAATCTCGCTGTCACACTTGCCGCCATTTTGACACTGGTGGTTTTGACAAGCACTGTAGGAGGTGCTTCTGATGGAGATGCTGGCTGTGGATTCTATCGCCTGCTTGTTCGTCTCCAATGTCTGTTGCATGGAAGTTTTGGGGATGTGGTCACCATTTGGCTTCTGAACTGACAAGAAGACGATGAGATCAGTGCCCATCTCCTTCAAGCTGTACACTATGAAAGAGTTTTGTGGTGAGAAGGCATTCTTCAAAGCATTCACAAACCGAGGGTATTTGTCCTCGAGGAAGGATCTTGCTGACAGATCGGCTACAAGCATTGGTACTGAGTTATCAACGGTGGCATTCTTGTACTCACTAACTGTGACTGACACATCATAGGGTTCAGACGCTTGATGACTTGGCATGCCATCAGAGCCTCGGATGCGTAGGTTGTAGGTCTTCTCATCGACTGAGCCAATCACTCGAAGATCACAGTTCTGGTAGATGTTGAATGTGTTTGTATCCCCACCTTCGATGTTGCAGCTGTAGTTGCCAATGGCATCATCATCCAGAGGTCTGACATCCGCTACCAAGCCGATGGACGACATCCCCTGGAGAATCATCAGCTGGATGACCAGTGGCCTTGGCCTTGGAGGGTTGTCATTCACATCCCCAACAACAATCTTGAAGGTCAAGGTTGATGTCATGGTAGGTATGCCGCCGTCAGTGACCACCACTGGGAGCGTGAACTCGGGGGTCTGTTCTCGGTCCAGAGTGGCTATAGTCTCCACTCGCCCTGTCTGCGTGTAAATTTTGAACTTATCCGAGGATGATACCATACTGTATCTATACGGAGCTTGATTTGGTGGCAGATCACGATCCTTTGTGAACTGAGGCAATGACATGACAAACTGTCCAGCATCTCGGTTCTCCTGTATGTGACCTTCTGGCATGTTGGGGTCAAAGTATGGGCCGTTGTCATTCACATCTTGCAATCTTATCTTAACCACAGCTGAACCTGCAACAGTACAAAAAGAAAAAGGATAAAACAATCTGTTCTCAACATCATCAAAACAATTATTAAAATTAATTGTGAAAGGATACAAATGAAAAAAGCTACTCAAATGAAATACCAGTGTTAAACAAGCATGAAATACTCATATCCCCTGCCAATACCTCCTTTTTCAGTCGTTTCCATGGATACTCAAATTTTTTATTTTTTTTAAATCTCAAACTTTCAAAAAGCACCACTTCACCACGAGACCTATCTATATTCCAAGTTTGGTTACGATTTCTCTTATGGCTTTTGAGTTCTGCTCCGGAAACAAAACATCATGGACGGACAGGCAGGACTCATTTCTATATCCATCTTCAACTTCGTGGCGGGGATAATAATATATCATTTTTTAAACTAAGTTTAAATCAATGTTACCTGTTTGAGGAGGCAGCCCTGAGTCCACAGCTCCCACAGTCACATTAAACTGATCCTGAGTCTCTCGGTCCAGATAGCCTTGGCCGGTTGTCCGAATCTCTCCATTGACACGGTCAATCTTGAATCGGTTTCCATCATTACCTCTGAGAATGGTGTACACAAACTGTCTGTTCTCTGGTTTATAGTCATTGTCTGTGGCTTCAACCTTGATGACATATGTGTCCTGCAGAGAATTTTCACTGACTGTAGCCTCATATATGTTCCTGCTGAACACTGGTGGATCGTTGGCATCTTCAATGGTGACATACACCTGGCAAGTATCTGTGTCGTTACCTTGGATGCTCCCCCAGTTCTTTGCCATCACGTTCAGGATGATCTCTTGTGAGGACTCATAGTCAGGTCGCCCAGCAACATGAATAACTCCAGTCTGATGGTCAATGCGAAATCCTCTAAGGTTGCTGGAACCAATGAGGAAATAATAAACTATGCCGTCAATTCCCTTGTCTTGATCTGTTGCAAGCACCGACCCAATGGATGAGTTGATTGTGGCAGACTCACTGACTCTGAAGTTGTAGCGCGTCTTCTCAAACTGGGGGAAGTATTCGTTGACACCAACCACATGGACATGGACAGCAACAACAGTCTTCTTCATATCCGATCCTCCGTTTAATTCGCTTGGGTTGTAGGCCATGATCGTCACACTGTATGCATCTTTCACCTCATAATCCAGATTACCCTGGGATCTCAAGATTCCTGTCTCCTTCTCAATGGTGAAAATGGAGTTCCCCACAACCGAGTAGTGGATGATGGCATTGTCCCCACTGTCTGCATCTGTAGCATGAAGGGTGTAGAAGGATGTGGAAGGGGCCGAGTTCTCCGGGATGTACGCATCATAGTAGGTCTGGTTGAAGACGGGCGGGTTATCGTTGACATCAGTGAGATGGAGAGTGAATGTCCTGTTGGTCTCCTGATACACAAGAGCCTTGTCTCTGGCAACGACAGTCAGCAGGTGAGTTGGATGTGTGTCAAAGTCAAGAGCCTTGGCAACAGTGAGTGCACCGCTTTCTTTTCCCATGCCAAAAAGACCAAGCTCGTTTCCAGTGGTGATGAGATACATGACTTGGCCATTAATGCCAGGATCGTTATCCGTTGCCGAGAAGGTTTGTATGGTCTGTCCAATGGGAGTGTCTTCGGCGATGGTTTTCTGAAAGATTTGAGTTGTGAATGCAGGAGCAAAGTTGTTGACATCGGTTATCTTGAAGTGGACATCTACTGTAGTAGACTGAGGCGGTGTACCCTTGTCCTGGGCTTTCACAAACAGGAGGTAATCAGCATTCTGTCTACCCTGAAGAGAAGCTTTCACAGTGATGAAGCCAGTGTCTTGATCAATCTGGAAGAACTGGGAACCATTTCCTCCTGCAACAGCATAGAACACTTCTGCATTGATTCCATAGTCATTTTCATCCACAGCCAGGATGGTGATGACAAGGTCCCCAGTGGCTCTGTTCTCTGGCACAGCTGAGAAGTAGCTGCTCTGTACAAACTGAGGAGGATGGTTGTTGGCATCGATGACAGTGATGATCACCATGTTCTCCGACGACAGGGAGGGTGTTCCCAGATCTGACACCACAACGTCCAGGGTGTATCTGTTGACAGACAGTGGGTGGTCTGGCACATGACGGTAGTACAGTGGTTGTAAGGCAGTGATATCTCCCGTCTCAGCATTGATCTCAAAGACATCGGAGGGGCGTTTCAGTGAGAAGATGTACTGATTATTGGGTTGCTCCAAGTCTGCATCCATTGCCCTCAATCTTCCAACCACTGCATTGGCTCCCTGTCTTTCCTGGAAGTCAAAGCTGAGAGTGTCTTCTCTGAACACAGGAGCATTGTCATTAACATCCTGGACCTTGATGAAGACCTGGGTTTCCACTTGAAAGTTGGCATCCTTGGCAATGACCCTGGGGTAGTATCTGTCCACACTCTCCGCATCCAACAGCGCCACAGTGGAGATGTTGCCGCTGATGCTGTCGATGGCAAAGTTGAGCTTGTCCTGATCATTCTGCAGCCAAAAGGTGGACTTGGCGTTGTTGCCGATGTCCTTGTCTGATGTTATCATCTGTACTATGAAGAAGTTGAGAGGGACATTCTCTGGCACTGACAGACTGTACCGCCTTGTAAACTTGGGTGGGTTGTCATTTTCGTCAAGGATGTGGATTGTCACTGTTGCTGTTGTGGTCAGACTTGGGGTGCCCTAAAAACAGAAATGCAGCAGTGTTGTCAGTTACATCTTCAACAATAATCTGCATCACAAATAAAAATCTATGGGATGAAAAATGTCAGTATTTTAAAAAATGTACAGGATAGTTTTTGTTTCAAATGAATTCAAATGGCTTGAATCATGAAAGAAGATTTACGTGATAAGCTTACCAGTAAATCTATTTACATCACTGCAGCTGATCATAATTCTGTCAAAACATTATCTCATTAAACTTAAATGTACATCCTGCTCCGACATCCATCACAATCCTCCTGCTCAGGCTATCTTGAAACCATGTTACCAAAGATATAAGATGGTCTCTTTAATTTTGAAAAAAGTCACATCCAAGAGATAAATGAATATTATACTGCTCCACTTTTGATAGGGACATTTTATCTCTCCACTGATTCATCTCTCCACTGATTTTCACAAAATGTCAAGTGTATATTTAATAGAATGACAAATCTGATGATCCCTTTCAAAAGTTGGAATATTTCTGCTTCCTTACCTGGTCCTTTGCCTGTACAATGAGATGGAAGAGGTCGATGCCTTCCCTGTCTACGATGTTGTTGGTGGAGATGAGGCCAGTCTGGGCATCCACCTGGAAGGTCGTGTTGGTGTTGCCACTGTGGATGGTGTATGTGATCTGGCCATTCTCATTTGAGTCGAGGTCAGTAGCAGAAAGCTGTTTCACTGAATAACCCTTCTGGACATTCTCTGGGATGCTGGTGTTGTAGAAACTCTCTTGGAACCGAGGGGCGTTGTCATTGTCGTCTTCCACACTCACCCTCATCATCTTGTACTCCGACAGCGCTGGGTTGCCCCCATCGTTTGCCTCAATCCACAGCTCAAAGCTTCTGGTTGTTTCAAAGTCAATGCTTCCTAACACAGATATGGAACCATTCAGTTGGTTGATTCCAAATCCTCGGTTGACGTTGCCCCCGGCGATGTAATACAGGATCTGATTGGTCCTGGTCGTAGTGGCCGATACTGTGGTCAGAATCTTACCAGGGAGGGAGTTTTCCTTCACAGACAGGTTTGCATCAAATGGGCTGAAGACTGGTTTAGATTCGGTGTATGACATCATGTCCACACGAACATTGACACTGTTGGAGTTAGGAAGTACGCCCTGTGGAAAGAATAGAGAACAACATAACTATCACGGAGTTCATTTTACATGTAACTTCAAGGAATTTATTCATTTTCAATTTAACTTCTTTAAAACAGAGTGAATACAAAGATGAAGAAAGAAAACAGGAAACATATAATACTATACACAATGAAAATGTACCTCTGTGTATACAATGTGACAATGATCCTTATATTCTGCCATCAGCATATATTTTTAATCTGCATCATGAATTTAACTGGTTCACATCACTTTGGGAATCTTAAGGAGACATTGCTGCCAACTCCCAGTGTTGGTCTAGACACTGTAATTAGTGTCACGTGTGAATCTGAGACATTACGTAAATAGTCTAAGGAATAACTCTTGAATTGAATATCCATCCGAAAATTGGATTAATCAGACAAGTAAGGTGGTGAAAGACTTGTAGGAGTGGAAAATGTCCCGAGCCTTGTCCTACTCAGTCAAAACTGACATGATGCCTATGCAAGAAAACACATCTTTGAAAAGTCTCGTTTGTGTTTGACTCACCTGGTCCGAAGCCCGGACGATGAGGCTGTACCGTGACCCGGATTGTGAAAGTTCCTGCCCTGCCGTGATGACACCCGAATTGGCGTTGATGACAAACTTGCTGGCATCTTCACCAGAGAGGGAGTACCTGACCTGACCATTGCTGCCGATGTCCCGATCTATGGCTGTCACTCCCAGCACAAATGCTCCTCTGGCCGTAGGACTCAGTACAACCTGGGAGTAGCTCTGCTGCTCGAATTCGGGGGAGTTGTCGTTGTCATCATCGATGTGGATCACAACCTTCGCGGTGGCCGACTGAGGTGGGATCCCCCTGTCTGAGGCAATGACGACTAGGTCATACTCATTGCGTTCTTCTCTGTCCAGTATTGCCAAGGTAACGATCTGACCGGTGTCGGGGTATATCGTGAACTTCTCACCCATGCTGTTCTCCAGGCTGTAGCTGCAAGAATACACAGAATGACTTGTAGTGGAATATCACAACCTCTGGTGATAAAAACATCTGGCCAACACAATTTCAGTTCGAAATCTCAGGTCATGACAACCTCAGGTCATCAAAAAAACCAGTTCACTCAAAATCCCGAAGCATTTTTTTTCCACAAAACTGTGGAACAGGTTTATACAGTGAATTCTATGGGAATCAAAACCTCAGTCCATCACAACCACTCCCATAATGAGTTTGTACCACTGCAGCCATGAACCACCCAGCCAGTCAACGACTGTCAACATCTCACCACAAGTTGTATTTTGTTATGATCGTTTCAAGTCTGGAATATCAGATAGTTTTAACAGTGCTGTAGAACTACTACTATTCTATACTAGGAGTTTAAGTTCTTTGTTTGTCTGTTTGTTGTTTAACGCCACACTCAGCAATATTCCAGCTATATGACGGTAGTCTGTAAACAATTGGACTGGACAAGACAAGACAATCTAGTGATTGATATCATGAGTATCGATCTACGCAATTGGGATACGATGACACGCATCAACCAAATCCTGTTAGTCTCCTCTTACCACAAACATAGTCGCCTGTTCAGCAAGCATGGGTTGCTGAAGACCTATTCTAACCCGGATCTTCACGGGTCACGGGTCTATGTAAAGTACAATAGGCCCGGTCTCATAAATCATAATGTATGTTAGCTACAGCAGTGAAAGCACGATGCTGGCACTGGGAAGAGTGGCCCTGTTTCTCAAGTGTTCCTCCCTGCCTCTTGTACACTCAGTGTAAGTCACATGTAAAGTTTAAAAGTTTTAATCCAGTGCTGACTACATTACATTGATTACATTCCGAGCATCTGGCACTGACAAAACATAAAACGGTATTCTATTTTGATCTTATTACAGAATCTTCAATAGATCAGTTTTATAAAAACCACACAAGTAAATCCAAAACAGCCAAAAATCATAAAAAAAACAAAAATGTTAAAAATACTGCCGTTTGCTTTGTGAACTCAAGATGCTGTTTCATTATCCTTAGAATTGGTTTACTCTGCCAATTTGTGCAGCATCAAAGAATTCAAATTCAAGACTTTTTATCACAACTAAAATCATCTCAAAGACCGGTTTAGAAACAGAAAACATGTCTCTTTATAAAAGCAAAGCTTCAAAACTTCAGCGCTATGTGAATTTTGGATAATCTAATTTTGACATACAGATCTAAAAGAGATTCACATCAAAGAACAAAGATAATAGAAACAAAGTGACAATAAGTGAGATTTATCAAACATTCACGATCTCTGTATGTTCACTAAAAGTGATAGCAGTAAAACATAAGTTTCATTCTTATCTGAAACAGTTGTCAGGCAAACAGTCCCCAGTGAAATAGTACCACAAGAACAAACGTGGACCTCAATGTACTGTCAGATAACACATCATTCCATGCCTTGATAAAAAAGTATATTGAGGGTTTTGTTATCATTTCCCATGCTGTTTGCACCTTAATGTCTTGTGTGACTCATTAGCAAATTTGCAGGTAGACATTAACATACCATTTACCTGACCACTTGTTACGGCTATTTTTTAGTAAATGTGATACCTTTTTAAAAAAATAATTAAACAATGATTATTTCCTGTTCTTGGGCCAAAATACATAAAGTCTGACATTTAAGCCTTCAACATTTCCATGTTTGGTCCCAGAATAATGGATGTACTATACTTTTTATTTTTCAAATTTCATTTGGATAAACATTTCAGTTGAGATTCTCCTTTATCAACAAAATAACTTTTTATAAACTTTCAATCCCAGTTTTATAAAGTGTTCTTAAGAACTACAACTATCACAAATCTTTCTTAAAAGTTTAAAAGATTAAAGAGCCATAGATCAAGATCATTTGTGGAATTTTGCCCAAATGAAGTACAGGTCGGTGGTCCCAGATCACATACTTTAACTCCGGCTGATGGATCCTTCTACAGATGATAAAATAAACCATAAATAACAAACAAGCAGAGATGCATCTTTGTGTCTGTGTTTGATAAAACTGCCTGCCATCAAACACCCTACTTTCTGGACTTTCCAAACTTTTTTTCAAATCAATAACAGGCCACAGTTCATCTCACAACTGGCTGCTTTTTCATAGAATTACAAAAGCTGAGTATGGTGCCAAAGATCACGTAGTTTAAACCATGACGGCAGATCCTTAATGATGATTGAATGAACTAAAAGTGATTAAAATATCTCCATCATGGGAACACTTACACAATCTCTGCATTTTCCCCTTCGTCCTGGTCTGTGGCTCGGACGGAGAGTACGGAGGTGGGTGAGGACAGGTTCTCCAGGACATGGCCTGTGTATTGCGTGTTGTCGAACACAGGAGGGTGGTCATTGACATCCTGTACCAACACCTTGATAGTCCCAGATCCTGTCAAACGGGGAGAACCTGCAACAAGATGGTCAGTATTAGTCATCATACAAAAAGTAGACCTACAGAACACATCAGTCTGATACTGCTTACCAGAACACATATTTTTCGATAATTAAATTGATACAAAAGTACATAAATAATTTCAAACAATAACTATCTGGTCCTGCTAATTTTGGCATGAATTTTCTAATATTTGTCAATCTGTTTTCTCATTTTAACAGTTTTGTTAAAAGAAAATCAACATGTTTATCTAAATATTTTCCATAATTAATTTGGGAATGTATTATGAAGAAAGTACATCAGAGGACTAATTAATCCTAAAAAAAAAATTAATTTTTTTTTACATTCAACAATCTTCATTGGTGTCACCCTCCTTGAAACATGTAACAATGAAACTTACGCAATGAGGACCGACAGTAAAACCGATAGTCTATTCCCACCCTGACATGACAAACTTACATAAGTCGTCCGTAGTTTAAGGTCAAGTACTTCCATGTGTGTACCCTTAACACTTACTGTTCCTCACACAATGAGGTAATATCTCCTATCTATTTTATGACCAAGAGCAACACAGAGGGCAGCGGCAGACTTTTGAAGACTCCGATCCGATCACACACTCATTAACATGGAACACCATCAAGACGAAAACTTACACCATTGTTCAAATACTATTTCCCTGGCCTTTAACATATCAGGACAATAAATTGGTGTGTGACAGATAAGCATGAAACTTGGTATGTTGAGGTGTGCTGCAAGGTCAGAAGTGAAAGGAAATCATCTGTTTTAGTTGTTTTTCGCACAAGAAGGTGAAGGGTTATATCATTTATCATGGCCGTGTCCCTCCCAGCTCCTCCCCTAATAGTGTGGTGTCTGGGCATGATTGTCTACATATATACTTCAAAGAAACCATCTTCACGGTCTACTGAACATGTGGTGCATGGATGAAAAACAGGTTAATAAACAAAAGACTGCTCAGGGTCATGCTGAACTAAAATAGTCTGACTTTTTAAAATATGTTTTGTTCGAATTGTACATAAGTTTCAAGGAAAACATTACATTTGTTTCTGATAATACTTTCCTGAACACTTCTTCTCAATACTAGTTGAAACACTGAAACTTCCCACACTCTTACCCTACACCAAATGTTAACCTGCACAATAGCAAAAAACAACTTACAACGTTTGCTTTTCTGAGCATATCAGAATCTTGCAAACAGAATTATTGAAAGTTTCATCACATGCTGTTGAAATCTCCACATTGTTTTTCTGCTTAAAGTGCTAATACAATTAAAACCCTCTCTCAGACGCATAAAACACTAAATCCTATTGCCCAAACCGATACTTTTGGGGAATCCAACTACAGATTTTAACAAGATTTCTTTGCTTCAAAATTGGATTAAAACATACCATGCTGAAAGCATTGTAAGATCCTATAACCCAAATGCTCTCAGGAGAAATACGCCTCCACATGGCATAGAAATAAGCAGAGAATTTTCAAAGTTTCTAAGAATGTCTACAGCAGACAAAATGTGAGTGGAACTCTTCTGTGGGCATTAAATATTTCATTTTCTCGTCACTTCACCCATATTTCTGTCGACAACTCATTGAGTAGCTAAAACAGTGGCCAAGGCACAAGCTCCGGGTTACCAGTACATATGTGTGAACGGAAACACTGCCAAATGATCCACTGTGTGATCAGAAAAACAGACTTATCGTGAAAATGATACAAAACCTTTGAACTAACTTTAAATTGCCCAAAACACATCTGAAGTAACTTTTCAATTGTTAAAAAAATATACATGAACGTGATATCACCGAAGATGACAACAACCATTGAACTACTCCTCTTCCACAGCTGTGACATTCATTCATGTATGAATATTATGATCTTAACAGGATCATAATATGAGTCAAATAGCAAGTGTGATATCATTTCTTGAAAAGTAACATATCAGGCATAAAAAAAACATTTATCTGTCCGTGTTTTTATAAGGGGGCATCCACAAAAAAGGATCTTAACAATAAAATTATTCTGAAATATGACATGAAGAATGATAAAGATTACCAATAATATTAGTCTGTCATACAGACCCTGAAACAAATATATCCAATACAGCCCATGCAAGTCTATAATGTTTGGCAAGTCTAGATTAAAATGAAGAAAGTCTCTGGGCTCCTTTTTATTATATTTTATTTCATTCTAGCAATTTGTTATCACTGTGCTTTACTCCTGCACAAGGTTCTCATTTAAGGAAAAGAACAATTCAAGCTAACTTCAGTGATTCAATGATGCAGTCATAACCCTATGATACTAATCTCAAACTAAGCATGGACATCCTACAGGGCAACCGAGCGAACTGAGCACTGGCCTCTGTATGCAGTATTAAATGTGTATTAAGACACATCTCAGAGACTGATGACAGAGAACCCAGGATTTTGGTTCCCGTTGTTAGAGACTAAAGCGAACACAAAAACAGGACTTGTAGCACAAATCTCGAACTCCATTAAAGCAAAAACTCGGTGTAGATGTCATGAAGTTGCTGTTAAATAAACAAGCCCCTGGGAGGCAAATCTTGTTCAAATACACCACCCTTCACTCAAACACCACAACAGTGAGCTTCAAAAGTTAATACAGTTAAAAACTGTGTTTTATGCTATGACAGTAATCCAAATGAATGTACAAGTTTAAGGTCAGATAAATATATGGTCATGTTTAAGACCTCTTAGATCGTCACTCGTACAACAAGAATTAATGTTGACTCCTCACAAAGATTTGAATTTTTTGGATGAAAACAAAAAATTGTTCGGTACCGTGATGATAAATTATTCGGACATCCCGATTCACGTCAAACATCACCTTGTTTGTCTAATATTTACTTTAAATGCTTAAGAATAACAGTAAAACGTGAACAAAACAGAACTAAAGTAAATTAGAAACAAAACAAATGAAGCAGCTGCAAATCGTTGTTGACGAAGTAACTAGATAAAAGGATTTCCATTCTTCAATGTCCCCAGTTCTTTGATTCTGTTTGTATACCTGACACTTTTTTACACTAAAATCCACAAAATGACACTATTTGAAACATTCCCCTGAAATCATGAAGCCCCTGATAACATAAAGAAAAGGAACAAAATAATGGGGCAAGGTTGAAATATTTTGTAGCCAAACTTTTGATGCCTGTTCCCCAAAATTGAACGAGTTACAATCATGAACTGTTTATTATTCATTTGTTCCAAGAAAATTGTAATAGGACACACACAAAAAAGAACAGAGCATGCAAAGAAATGAACTATTCGCGTAAATACATCTTGGAAACATTTAACAGTCCATTGGGTTTGATGTAATACTGGTACACCACTTCCCCCCTCTGTTCCTCTCCCTCTCTCGGAGAAGCCGTAGCCCGACTTCATAATTGGTGCTACTGCCGCCTGCCAAACCAATATGCCACACTTGTTTTTATTGGCATCGAGAAAATTAAGCAAGTTTTTTCCTTCCCATGTCAGGAAAATGTATCAGTGATGGACTTACCAGACAACTCTGACAGGAAAGCCACAGAAATTAAAATGGCATTCACCAAGGACGGTTCAACTTGTTATGTAAATCATCACAGAGAAATAACGAAGTTATAGACTGGGGGCACATGTACGACAGCATTATTTTTATTGAATGTCAGTGGTAGGCTCCCCTGAACATTGAAATTCCTTTGTCTCACATTCACTAGCGATTTGTGCCGGTGGAACATTTTAGACAGGCCATCATCATATAGCTGGATATTATTTCCACATGAGAGGTGAGATATTTATGTTATACAGCGTCAATCCTCCATCAGTGATGCCGTGTAACAAGCTTGCAGGATGGTGGCCAAATAAATGTTATGCTGACAGGACGTCAGTTTTCCTTCATACAACATTCTCATTCATGACAGTTTAATGCATATCGGTAGTTTTTCATTTATATACATATCACTTAGATTGTCACAGGAAGTGAGAGTAATGGCTCAAACCTGCTCCTATGCAATGTAGGAAATTTGAATTTCAGAAAAGACAAAAACAATCAGAAAACTATTGCTTTTGTGTTAATGAAAAAAAATTGTTTGAATCGATTTGTGTTTTAATTTGATAATTTCCCCAGAATGCCTGAATATGATTGTTGGTCTTGAGACCATCATATTACATTATTACATTAGTTTACAAAATGAAATCAAACTGGTCGAGACAACTTTTTGTTTCTTTTGTTTGTTTGTTTGTTTGTTGTTCAACGCAGCACTCAACAATATTTAAGCTATATGACTGCGGTCTGTAAATAATCGAGTCTGGACCACACAATCCAGTGATTAATATCATGAGCATCGGTCCACGCAATTGTGATACAGTGACATGTGTCAACCATGTCCGCGAGCCTGACCATCCCATCCCGTTATTCACCTCTTACAACAAGCATAGTCGCCTTTTACAGCAAGCATGGTTTACTGAAGACCTATTCTACCCTGGGTCTTAGTTATTGAGAGACCATCTAGAACAGATTTTCACTCCAGTGTACAGTGATAAACTAAGCCAGCCAGGTCACGACTCGGTTCAATCCACATTCAGAAGCCATTTTGACCAACTGATTCCCAATTAATTCATAAACAAGGAGTAACAGGAGAAGCTTTTTCTAAACATTTTTAATAACAAAAATGATCTAGATGCCAAGTACACAATGTACCAGCATCGGTTGATTCAGGGTTGAGACTTTCCTTATGAGCAAACATAATTCATATTGAGCAGCCATTGTGCCCAAGGAAGTACCATCCCCGTCAGTTCTGTTCCGAGAGACTTACTCAGAACCTCATCCTACAGGGCACTATTCAGACCTCCAATCTCCCTACCGATAAGTCCAATGGATAAGTGTCACAGAAAAAAGCCTCCCGATCAGTAATCAGACTCTAATATCCGCTCCCAACACTTGTAAAAGGAAATGTCAAATCTCAGCATCTTTTTTGTTATGCTCAGTCCTGCTGTTATGAATAGTGGCAG